GGATCAGCCGTCGGACCACTCTTACTACTGGCGGAAACACAAGCTTGACACTGCCGGACAAACTCAAGGCACAACGACGACATACAAGGGAAATAGCACTTAGAACGAAGCAGATCATACATCATTCGCCAATTACCATGGCCAGAATTCACATGAACAGAAGAGACGACAGCATGTTGCAAAGACGTAGGAATAACTGGCACAGACACCAAACCATCAATAGGCAACTTGATACTACGCACTAACATACCATCATCAACAAGCAATTGATCACGCACCTTTATGAACTCAGGAATGGAGACCAACTCACCACACTCCAATTGAGCAGCAGCAGCTCGAATGGTGGGATCCACCTTCTGGCCTTCACGTATCTGAGCTAACGTGACAGGGCCAACCACAGACAGGCAGGCGGCCACAACATCAGTCGGTGCAAGAGCCTTTGCATACTTGATCCAGTCAGTCGGGACACGCGTCAGCTGATCAGCACGGTTCTCGTTCGTCGGAATCCACACGACCTCGATCGTCAGACCTAGCGTAGCGATGAGATCATCGATGATCTGGAGGCGAAGACGCACAAGCAGCTCTTGCAGACCACCAGTCTTCACACGTTTGGAGTTGGTTACTACTTGCGTCAGCCATGCTGCCACTGTCTTAGAGTCAGTCAACAGCTTGAAACGGGAAACTCCCCACTTAGCGGCAAGGGAAATGCCTTCGACAGCGGCTTCCAATTCAGCAATGTTAATATGCCGCTTGTCGTCAGGCTTACGAAGCCACGAACCATCCTCGACGATGTCACCACCGACCTCCAACGCCACGCCGACAGCAATATCAGACGCATCGCACCACACCTGGCATTGGCTTTCACCGTTGGGGTCTACGTGCCACACACCGGTAGCAGGATCGTGCTGGCTTAAACGGCAGGCGAGACTCATGCAGCGCTGAACGAGATCTGCAGGCAACGGGTCGTCCCAGCCAAGCTTCTCCAGACATGCCAAACGCTTCAGCCAACTACAATGAGGACGAAGCCATGACGCAACAGGGTAGTGGCTCGTCAACTGGCCACACCACTTGTAGAGCTCACGTTTCGTCGTGACATCAGCAAATGCGACATGCGACTCATCACGCCGGGACCAGCGCACTCGACCATCATCAGACTCGTTGAGCTGCAGTCCTAGAACCCGTGCAGCCGACATCTCCATAGCAGGCTTAGTTGGCAGGCTGTAGCTAGCGAGCTGTTCTGTCAACACAGTCCGTTGACTCTTGGGGACAATGATGTCGTCGACATAGTTATCTGTATCGGGCAAGCTGCCGGTAGCGTACTTGATGATGGTGTCCATGAACTTCGGCGCCACACTCAGGCCAAACGCCATGCGCGTCATCACGTAGCGAACACCACGCCACTCGACAACTTGGAACCGTAGCAATTCCGGGCTGACATGGATTTGCAAGTACGCCTTGGTAATGTCCACTAACTCAAATTCATCAGCTTCACCCTTGAGCCTCCACTGGCGCAACGTCTCGGCGCACACAGGCGACTTAGTGCCAGGGTGGGACACCAACAGCTTATTCAGGTGGCGATAATCCAACACCGGACGCACAGGCGTAGACGTCTTGTGCGGCTGACTCACAGCCATCAATGGCAAGACACAGGCAGGGCGACCATGGGTGTCAGCGTCGTGCTTCACCAGCCAGCCTCGCTCAATCCACTCATCTACGGCAGAGCAGAATTGCGTCTCCTCTGCCGCGGTTATTTTCTTCCGAGGGTACTCGCTGATACCAGGACCAACACGGCCATTGGGTTCCTCACCAGACTTCCATACCCACTTGACCTCCCAACGCTTCTCAGCCGACATCCAACGCATCTCGCCGTCATCAACCTTCAGGATGACATCGTTGCCGTGAGTCTCTACATGGACATGATGCGACAGCTTCGAAGGCGGGCGCGTCGAAGCTGCAGACATTGGCGAGTCATCGGCAACTGGCTGGAGAACTTCTTTGTCAGCACTATGGGTCATACCGTCGGTCAGCTGATCCTCATACACTTGTACACGTGTAGGCTGGCCAGGAGGCGGCACAGCTGCTGATGCTACTGACACCGACGGGCTACTATCTGCATGGGCTGGACCGGGCCCAATTACGACACGCACAAGCTGATCATTAGCATACTCTACAGACAGGCGCCCACACAAGGTCACCAGGTCAATGCCAATCAGTACATCGGCGGCCACTACACATAAATCAGGCACAACGACAGCATTCAATACCACTTCATGAATGCTCACCGGTCCGTCGTGTCGCCAAAACTTGAGGGCCACTGTGCCACACGTCTGCATGGTGTTGCCATCCAGTGCTACGATGCCGTCATTATTGGTCAATGGCGTCACATCGAGACCAAGGCGATGCAGCAGGGCTTCTGTCACTAACGTGCGAGTGGATCCAGTGTCTATCACAGCTGCAGCACGCACACTGTTACTCGCGTCAGGACCAGCACATTCAACAAACACACGAGGTAGCTTCGGGCACGATGGCGATGCAGATGCCAGGAGGCACACGTCCTTGGAGTGCACCGAGGCCCCAGCAACTTCTGAGCTAGCCTGTGTATCCAGCCACTTCTTCCTCAGCAAGCAGTCCTTCTTGACGTGCCCTTTCTTGTCGCAGAAGTGGCAGAACGGGTCCTTGCGCCGGTGCTCTTGCTTGGCCGCGTGACCATTCCCTGCTCGGGATAACTTCGGGCAATGCCTTTTGAAATGGCCCGGTTCTCCACAATGGTGGCAAAGCCGCGGTGATGGCGTGGCAACACTGTCTTGCACATATGTGGCAGCTGCGGACACTGCACCAACTCTGGCGCCGGTGGCTGATCGCAGTGCCCGGATCCTATCAAGGCATTCAGACACCTTCAGGTCCCTGCCTGCCATGGACAAACGGACATCCTTGGCAAACTCAATTGGCAATCCGGCCAACAGCTGCTCGATCACCACAGGATCGGTATCGCTGTCACTCTTATGTCCAGACAGCTCTAACAGACGGCACAGCTCGGCAACATATACCTCTGGACTTTCGTCCACTTTCAGCTGCCGCTGCTTAAACAAGCGGTACGCCTCACTGCGGCTCACGCAGAAGGACTTCCGCAGGATGCTCCTCACTGCATCCTTATCTCGCTTCTCCGTCTCACTCAGTTTGGAGAACACACGGTGGGCTTCGCCCTCCAAGAACAGCGGCAACCGTTTCATCTGTTGCTCCGTGCTTGTCCACCCCGATATATCTGCCAGTACTTCAAACTTCGACCAAAACATGTCAAAGTCGTCCACTCGGCCCCGATACGGCTTCACGAATCCATCCAACTTAAGTGACGACATTTCACTGTTGACAGAAGACGCACTGTCACTAACACTAGTATGATCAGCACCACCTTCACTGTGCCTGGATACCACGGATGTATCCTCAGGGCTCCCAGGAGTCAACAAATTTTCAATGTCACGATTACGATGTCCAGGCGCCTGCGGAGTTGTCGGTGTGCTACTAATACCCCTGCCTCGAGCGTTCCTAAGTCTAGGAGGCATCGACTACCAGGCCACAACAGCACGCTTCGTCAGCACTCTACCAGTGCTCAGCGAACAACACACGACACGTGAACGATCGATCCGGACACAATTTACGAATTCAAGAAAATTCCAATTCGAAACCACGCTCGTATTCTCCGGTCCAAACCAGCGGGGTTTCGGCACCACGTTGTTACTCCACCACTATGCTCTCTATCTCTTCCAGCTAGCACTCCAGCACACTCGCACATGCACTGAGCCACAACTATCAACAAGGAATCAAGAGAGTTGAAATATTGAAATAGTGGTAAAGTTGGGAGAAAAGAAAACTGTTCTTTTTCCACGAGATCCAAGATTCATCAAGAAAAAGGACATGCACAAAATGGCGACCATGTCGTCCATTGACGCGTAATCATGGTAATCACAAACTAGTGCAGCGACCAAAGAAAAGACACAAGTGAAGAAGAAGAAACAGCGCTGCAGCAAGAAGATCGGATCGCTGCAGTCGTTAAAATGCACTAGCCTACTGACTGTAGTTCCACGTGAGCATGCAGTCGCGTGGTCATAAACAGAGTGCGTACACACTCACGTCATACCGATACGTCATACATGACAAAAAGAAAAGAAAGGAAAGTCACGCGCGAGTCAAACAAATCAAAGAGCGCGAGACTACGTACTGCAAATACTACGAAGAATTTGTTTGATAACAAATGCACAAGACGAGGAATTTGTTGAGAACAATTGGACAAGAATATATATCTCTTCGAAACTAGAATGGAGTCCGTGATGAGAATTCCAGCAAGCCTGGACGCAGCTTCAAAGTAAGAATACAATCAAATAACTAATATCGTCAGAACTATTGTAACAATACAAGCAGTCGATTTACCACTGTGTTATCTCTATATTTACACGTGTGTGTGCGTGTCTGTGTGTGTTTGTGTGTGTATGTGTGTGTGCGCGCGTGTGTGTACGTGTGTGTGTGTGTGTGTGTGTGTGTGTGTGCACTTGTGCGTGTGTGTGTGTGCACTTGTGTGTGTGTGGGTGGGTGGGTGTATGGGTGTGTGTGTGTGTGTGTGTGTGTGTGTGTGTGTGTGCGTGTGCGTGTGTGTGCGTGTGTGTGTGTGTGTGTGCACTTGTGCGTGTGTGTGTGCACTTGTGTGTTTGTGTGTGTATGTGTGTGTGTGTGCGCGCGTGTGTGTACGTGTGTGTGTGTGTGTGCACTTGTGCGTGTGTGTGTGTGTGCATGTGTGTGTATGTGTATATGTGTGGTATGCGGATATGTATGTGTATTTGTGTGTGTGCAATATTGTATTATTCACGAACATAGGTAGCGGTTATGCAGAGCCTGATAAGGACATCAGCTCCCCCGATATTCTTGATGGTGGGTTACAAGCACTGACAATAGTCTCTATTTCCATCCCAAGCAATTACACTGGTCTTGTTAGATCTCATTTCTCTGCTCCAGTCACCTTGAGTAAGATAAGAACCGTACCCGCACGATTAGCGCCCTGTCTTGAATAGTGCCCTGTCTCAAATAGTGCCCCTGTCTCTGACAGCCAATGAAAACATAAAGAGTTCTCTTAAATAGTGCCCATCCCCCCCCCCCCCCCCCCCCCCTCCCCCCGAAGCTTGTATCCAAGTGCAAGTTTGGTCTTGTCTTGTCTTATCCATGCCATTCAACTGGTGGTTCAGGACCGAAATCTCAGTTTTTGTCGCCGTTTCTGTTGAGTCGTGAGAGCAAACTTCAGCCTCTGTTCTTCTTTGCCTTCTTTGTTTTATGCTGGATGACGTAAACGTACCAGCATTGAAACAGTACTGCCCTCTCTTGAATAGTGCCCCCTCTGTGATGGACTTTGGAAAAACTAATCGTGCAAGTAGGGTACTCTGAGGGTACTCTGAGGGTACTCAGTTCTCAGAATATCTAGGTGTTCAACATTTTCAGTATGAGAGCAAAAGGCCAGGTTAGGTGAACAGAAATTTTCGGTACAGAGAAGCAGTTCTCTATTTGATTATGTGTGTTAGTGTTTGTTCCGTGTATTGAAATTTTACGTATGAAACAGATGCACCGAAAGTACCGAAAATAAAAGTACATGTAAACCGAAAATTTGTGAAATTCTAGTATACTGTATGTGATTCTTGCAAGGAATTTCACAGGCCAAGCAAATCACCTTACTTCTATGTCCTATTGGTATCAACTGATCTCTCTCACACACTCCCTCTCTCTCCCTTTCTCCCTCTCAACTGATCTCTCTCGCACACTGTCTCCCTCTCTCTCTCGCTTCCTCCCTCTCAACTGTTCTCTCTCACACACTCTCTCCCTCTCTCTCACTTTCTCCCTCTCTCCCTCTTGCTCTCTTTCTCTCACATACTCTCTCTCTCTCACTCACCCTTGCTCTCTTTCTCTCACACTCTCCCTCTCTCTCTCCGCAATATCTATGTATGCAGAGGCCATTGAGCGAGCACCAGTAGCACAACCACAAGCAGCACCACCTCAACAAGATAGAGACGACGTCAGTGAGGCGCCGCGTGAAAAAGCTGAAGTGAAAAAGACAACTGTGGCATCGAAGCGGTCATTCTTCCCTGAGACATGGCTGTTCAAGACACTGCAGCTCCGGTAATGAAGAAAAAAATAAAACGTGTGCTGTGTGGATTTGTCAGTGTGTGTATGTATGAGTGTGCTAGCGCGCATGTTTGCTTGTGACCTTTCTTATTCTAAAGATGGCTTTTAGAGGGTTCAGCTTTTTGTTGTGTCCAAAGATTCCCCTTTTCGTTTCGAATCCTGTTAGGTATCCAAGTCGGAGAGATGCCTTCTGCTGACAGCTAATTGGGAATTCGTGGCCTGGCACAAGTGAAACATGGATGCAGTGAATGGGGTTTTCGGTCTTTGACCACTTTGTGGTGGGTCTGATGTACTCACCTCCCATCGCTTTAGGATCTGCCTCTGCGCCATTGATCTTATGAGGGCGGTGGCGTTACTACGGAAACGGAGAGCTCAGTCTAACGGAGTGTGACACGAACCGTGAATTGTTTTTGCTGACAGATCAATGTCACTTGCTTGTATCCGTATTCTTACAGCGAGTCGCAAAGCATGGAGAATATCACTGTGAAAGTGCCCGACACAATCACCTCCTGGTCAGCGGCAGCCTACGCCGTCTCCAATCAGTACGGTCTCGGCGTGGCCGATCCGGCCGAGATCACCGTGTTCCAGCCGTTCTTCCTCTCAATGCAGCTGCCCTACTCTGTGATCCGCTGTGAGATTCTGGAGCTGCCTGTCAGTGTGTTCAACTATGTACCTGGATGTATGCAGGTAGGTTAATGGTAGCTCGAAACGTAAAACAGTACACTTATTCAGTTCGGACTGTCCATGGCCCTTAATATTCAATCTTCGGAAAGCTTGCCTCCATGCTTGTTGCATCTCCTCAGCAGGGCTCAGAACCAGCCGAAGTGATTGCATTGCAGTCTTCGTACCACACAAAGGGTTAGACCAGCCTGCCCATATCTGGTTTTAAGGTTTTAGGATGTGTAGGCCTAGCATGCAGAGATCAACTTGAGTTTACATACGGATGTCTTGTGCTGCTTGTTTCAGGTAACTGTGGAACTGCTAGATGCTCCATGCTACACCAACACTGGACTTAACACAGTGCAAGAGTTGTGCCTGTGCACCAACGATGTCGACACTGTCAGATTCAACATCTCTTTCAAGTGAGTCACACGCACAGAGATATTGTCTGCCCGCAGCAGATATACCCAGTGTGTGATGGCAACGAATGCTGGGGATATTTAGTATCCTGCACCAGAGCGAGACAGGGACAAGGACATGGATAGAGACACGGAAAGAGACGGAAAATGGATGTGGATGGGGTAGGAGGGGTAGGGGGCTACCGTAAAACTCGGTAAATAAGTACCTGCCCGAAATAAATACCCCCTTCATTCTTTTGACTCTGTCTGTTGAAGTCAAGTCAAGCCTGATAAACATACTGCCCAAAATAAGTACCGGTACGGTGCGCACATGCAGCATGTAGAATGTACATCTACATAAAAATGGCGTCTCCACTACACACAAGTCAGGCCCGAAAGTTAGTTCATGCCTGAAAGTCAGTACCCGCCCGAAAGTTAGTACGGGTGTGGCCACTAAATTCAAAAGTAAATACGTACTTATTTACGGACTTTTACGGTATGTTGTAACGAGTCAGCATTTCACACTCCGTGACAATCACTCGGCAACGGGAATAAACCTGTACGTCTGAATAGCACCATGGCTTACTTTCTATCTTCTGTCTGCAAAGCTCTGCCTGAAATACAGGCACTGCATGCTGTTCAGGCGGTGGAGCACCCTGCCTATTATTCACTATGCCCGCCTTGCTTTCATGGTGCAGTCTATGTTTTTCTGAATCATACTTCTCAGCGCAGATCTCGTGCAATCACAACTTAAATGCATCTGGCTAAACTGCTCCGTTTTCTTTTCGCTCTCCTGCTTCAGCACTCTTGGTGATTGTCCAATCACGGTCATTGCCAGGACTGGAGGCACCCAGCCGTGTATGCGTGACGGTGAGACTGTGGCCAATGCCGTTGCCGTCGACCGTGTACGCAGGGTGATGAAAGTCGAGGTGAGATCACGCAAACACATGCGGTAGAAGCTTGCTGCTGTAGGATAGCATGGAACGTCAGAATCCTCTACAGTTTTACATGGATAATCAAGTAGCGTGCTCCACTGTCCGAACAGGTTGCCTGATGATCAATACTTGAAAGTCAGAGTTGCGACACAGCTTCCAATCTCTCTCTTGAAGAGTCTTACATGGATATTAATTGAAGAAGTTTACAGGCTTCTGCGTAAAGATTGCTTCTGTAAGAGTACATGCTTGTGGATTACGTCGACGTGAAAATAAGGCTTGCTGATGGTCCATTTAAAAATTCATACTTGTATTGAAAAAGGTCTTCTACGAAATAAATACTAGGACCTACGGCAATACTAACGTTTTCTGTATCTCCTTCACTTCAAATTTCTTCCTTTTCTTTGCAGCCTGCTGGTGTGGAGATGGAGCATGTGGAGAGTCGCTACGAGGTCAAGAAAGCACACGGTACGACAGCGAAACGTTACTGCACCGTCTAAAAATGTTTTATGACTGTCTTCACATGCACTAGCTGGAGTGCAGCGAGTTTCAGCGTAACTCTATATGCTAGTCCGAGTGACTTTCTGTATCATTCCTGACTTATTGTCATGTATTATAATTGTATCTTTCCCAGCACAAGCCGGTGTGCAGCAAGTTTCAACACTACCTTTGTGTGCTGATCCGAATATTTTGCACTATAACTCCTCATGGAAACACGAATGGATGTTATCTTATCTTATCTTTATTAATTTTTACTTTACCATAGGTAGAGGCATTTGCTGCCTTTTTGCTGTGTACCTATGGTGAAGTAAAATGAAGATAACATCCATTTGAGTCTCCATGTTTGTTCTCATCACTGCTTTGGTTTGGATTCTGTACTTCATGTGCACAGACAAGCCATACAGTATCGTGTTCCCGATCTCGGCGCCGGAGGACATTGTTGCTGATTCTGGGCGCGCATGGCTCTCCATTACTGGTAAGCTGTGGACTAAGTCCGGAGTTACTCTGCTACTCAACAATAATTGTACTAGTGCTGCTGTTCTGTATATATATATATATAATACAACACAACAGAACAACAAGGACAATCAAGGCTTATATATAATATGATGGTGGTCACAGACAGATGCAGATATCCAAGCACACAACAACATTGGGTTTAGCGGATCATCTTCTACAACATGCTGATGACTACACCATAGCTCAGTGGCTAGCGCAGCGCTGGCTACAAGCGAGGGTCCCTGGTTCGAGTCCTGGTGGTGACAGTCAATTTGATCTTCAGCCTTTTCCCGTTTGCGTCTTTCCCTCAAACCAATGAATATAATATTTCTGTCTTCCGTTTGACCGTCTTGTTCAGGTGATCTTCTGGGACCGAGTCTCGAGGGTCTTGAGAATCTCCTTCGCTTGCCGTACGGATGTGGTGAACAAAACATGCTGAACTTTGCACCGGGTATCTCCATTGCCAAATACCTCATCGAGACTGGACAACTGGACCAGATGCCTTCCGTCAAGGAGAAGGCAACACGCGTCATTCTTCAAGGTACGTAACCCAGGCCCGAGGCAGGGGTTCTCCCATCAGAGCAAAGCATTTCCCTGCATAGAAGCTACACAATGCTAACAAAACAGTTACAGGTCATTTTCTCCCTAAATTACCAGCAGCTCCCGGTTATAAGTCGAATACCCCATTGTAAGTCGATCCCCACATTTTCACCTTTGTTTACTGGGCGTAAAGGTGGATTTGATTACTGGTAAGATACGGTATTAATTTTGTTTTGTATCCGTATCATGAACTTCTGCACCCCTACTCTGAGCTTTTCAAGAAATGACTGGCGCGTTGTCCCCCACAATGTGAACTGATCCACCTAAATGATCGCGAATGGCGGGACCCAAACGCACCAGTAGCACTGTATTTTTGCGGGAACGCTGGTATAGTTGGTAGCTGTGACAAGCTGTGGACCCATGCTGGTCGTCACAAGTTCTTGTTCCTTTTTCTTTTTGGCTTCTTGGTTTTGCCGCACGGCAGGTTACCAGCGCGAGAACCGTTATCGTCACAGCAACGGCGCGTACAGTGCGTTCGGTGAAAACAGCTGGGCAGGAAAGAAGGCCGAGGGCTGCTTGTGGTAAGGGAGCCTTTGATTGGTTTGTATGTCTGCAGTGTTTCGTGAGCCGGTGGAGTCGGTCAGGTCATCACCAGACCACCTTGTTTGCCACCAACGCATGGTTACTGCTAAGGAGGCTATGTGTGCCAGCTATTGTCAATCATTACGTGTATGATTTATAATGCAGTGGCAGTACGAGGCGTGCGCCATCCCCTGGATTATCAAAATGGGTGCTTTATCATTTTTCTGTTGTCTTTACACTTCTTCTTGCTTTGTAGTAGAGGTCTCATTACTACTATGTGTGCCTGCTATACCATATTATACAAACTCTATGAACGTCTATGGTATGGCTGGACCGATCAAAATCTGCGTCTGGTGGTCCTGGAGCATACGGTGTGTGTTCACAAACCACCTGGCATAGTGTTGTTTTGAGTTTGTATACATGTCGCGCCCTTCTAAATCCAAGGTGCGAGTAAGTTTAGGGGCGTCCTTTGTAGCAATTCAAAGCCTGTCTAAGAAAAGATTTTTCGATCAGTGTGAAAGACTGTACCGTTGAAGCAGAAATTCCCCGTTGAATTATCTTCGAATACGATTTCAAGAGTTCTCATTGCCTGCTTCGTGTTGTGTGTAGGCTGACATCATTCGTTGTGAAGTCATTCTGCAAGGCCAAAAGTACGGAACTGATAGCCGTAGATGATGAGCAAATCTGCCAAAGTGTGGAATGGATAGCGCGCCAGCAAGAGAGAGATGGAACGTTCCTGGACAATGGCTGCCTGCATCACAAAGCCATGATGGTAAGAGGGACTAGCAAAGTTCAAAACAATTCTGCAACGATATCACCCTTTGTTAGATAGAGTAAAGAAGCAATTCTTCAGACTTCGTGTCTGAAAAGGCGTGTAGAGGCAAGGAGTTGGGTGGTGTCTCACGAGTGAATTGGGGCATTTTGCCCAGTCCAGTCCAGAACGGGATCTGTCTTTGTTGCATTCAGTAATGTATTCGTGATATTCAGTAGTGCCTGGGACTTACAGCAAAACCTGTCAAGGCGACCACTAGGATGATAAGGCGACCACCTGTCCCAGAACACCACTGGAACCAGGATCGAGGGATGCTATTTTCCAGTCAATTGACCCTGGATAAGGAGACCACCTAGTAACAGAGATCATATTTTGAAGGTCCCTTGAGCGGTCGTCTTAGACAGGTTTCCCTGTACTTGCAGAATGTCTTGTTCTTGGTGAGCACTCCTGCTTCTTGGCGAACGCACTATCCGACAACGGCGCATGCTGACTTGACCCGTGCATGAGTTTGTCACCTGCTTAAACTCCTTGTGAATATGTCTACTTCCTTTTTCCCTTATGTCTCGTAACCTCCTAGGGTGGAGCCCAAACAACTTACAGCCATACGGCGTATATCTGCCTGGGACTGATGGAGCTGGCTGATATGGGATGCAACTGTTCATCCAACACACTTATGGTAAGCAATTTACTGAAAAATATGTGACTCGTGTGCATACAAATACAGTCACACGCACCTGCACAAGCACGCACACACACGCACACACACACACACACACACACACACACACACACACACACACACACACACACACACACACAAATGACAAATGCACTTGAGCAACACCACAGCATGATTATTATTATTATTAAATTTTCGAATTGTTCATCTCCTGTATCGTAAGAAGGTAGTATGTGTACATGTGTGTGTGTACGTGCTTGCGTGCGTTTGTGTGTGCATACCTTGTCCTGTACACAGACTGCTATTAACAAGTGCAAAGCGTACATGAGCAGTGAGTTTAGTGCAGCCAGCTCACCCTACGCTGCCGCAATCACATGCTACGGCATGGCCGTGGGTGCCAGTCCAGAAGCCCAGCGTATCTGCCGCTCCCTCAACGAGAGACGATGTAAGTATATGTACGATTTGTACTCACTAGTATATTTTAATTGGAATATACTAGACTACACACTGGAGTGTTCTGCTACGAACGTGACATCAAGACAAAAGCCAAATGTGTTTTTTTATGATTCTCGTGATATCAAGCTATGGTAGAACTGCATGCACAAACAAGCACACTGTCATGTTAGAACTGATATGCACAAGCAAGCACACTGTCATGTTGGAAATGTACTAGAAAATAGAGCGGTCCTAATTCAATATCTGTGACAAAAAAATTGAGTTTGTATATCTTGACTGGCCCAGTACATGACAATATTTTGCCAAAATTCTGGATTCTGTTCCACAGCTCAGCCTGGGTGTCATTGGGAACAGAATCATATGGAGAAGCCCACATGCCGCAACTCCTGGTCTTGTTACCGGCGGCAACCGTCAGCCAATGTCGAGATCACCGCGTACGGTCTTCTGGCCAACATGCGCCGTGGCAACGACCTGTCTGATCAGATCTGTATTGCAAAGTGGCTGGCTGGTCAGAGGAACTCATACGGCGGATTCTCCTCCACTCAGGTACTGGCTCGGATGAATCTCTTTTTACTTCTGCAATATTATGACGGCATGATAGTCATGATTGATCCTCTATTGTTTGTCGCCAAAAATGTAAAAAATGTAAATTATTTTCATGTTTTACTTTTTGGTCATAGTTCTGTAACTTTTAGATAGGCAAGGATCACTATTTCTCTCTTACCCTCTCGGTCTCTATGTCGCATCCTGACTTGCAATTGTGTGGATAGAGGTTACAATTATTGTGATAGGAAGCAATGCATTTAAATATCACGCCAAGCTCCTCATGGTTTCTTTATTACTATTTTTCTTACCTCTCTCTGTCTCTCTGTCTCTGTGACTGTGCCTTTTCCCTATCTCTATCTATCCGCATCACTATACCTATGTGTAATGTAGGACACGGTGATAGCTCTGGATGCCCTAGCACGTCTCTCCAGCCGTCTGTATCTGGACGAAGGTAGCAACACACAACCACTGAAGGTCACCTATCGCTACAAACCGGACAGTGCCAATACCTTTGACATGGAGAAACATGCCATTACCAAGCATAACAAGATGGTCATCTTCCGACGTGAGGTAATGTCCCAGTTAGGCTTAAGCTGTAAGGAACCAATAGTTGGGGAAGCTATGATTCCACAGTCCGGGAGACACACAGTGCCGCATCCAGTGGAGTTGTCTTGAACCCAGAGTAAATCTGGCAGGTGCATGTTACGCAGTATGAATCCCAGTAGCTGCTTGAGTTGGCTTGCTCTGATGTCATATTAGCTGTGGAACACTTTTAAATATTCATTGATTTTTTGGTTTTCGTTTCCTGTGCGCAGCTTCGACCCATTCCGGGAAAGCTTCACATTCGTATCCGTGGTGCTGGCAGTGCTCTGTTCCAGGTTGCAGCACGCTACAATGTGCGCGAAGAGGTGCCAGACGCAGCTTGCTCTCTCTCACCAAGCGTCTTCATGCGCAAGGAAGGCGAATATGTCATCGAGATTTGCACAAGGTAGGCAAATAAGATTAGGCCAAACACCCAGAAAGCATACCATATCCCATCTCAGTGTTTTGAGTGCAGTCTGGTCAGAAGTTCTCGTTAGGTTTACAACAAAGTTGCCTGTCTTGCTTGCCGTGCATCTTAGGTATCAAGGTGCGTTAATGAGAGGCACAAACACTTGTCTTCAATTTGCAATTGCTCTTTTCGAGAAGAACCATCATGAGAACAATTCCAGAGTTCCAAGATCCTTGTTCGCATTGAAGTGGATGAAGCAGCACAGCAAACTCTTGTTTTGGTTATCTGTATGTCGTGTGTGCAGATGGCAGCAAGACAATGCCTCAAACATGGCTCTTGTCACTCTCAAACTACCCAGCGGTTACACAATCATGCCTGATGAACTCGACGCGGTAAGTCCTCTTGTCTGTGTCACCCTTAGGCTAAGTAAGTATGCACTTCTCAGATCTGCTCAGCACACGCTACAAGCCCACACAGCATTCACTCGAATTGATGCTCTACAGCTTCAGTTGATCGTATCCTCTAATGCTTGTCTTCCTGTCTGTTTGCCTGCGTCCCTGTACCTGTTGCTAACACTGCAGATGAAGGGTGATGCAAGTCTGCAGCTGGAACGATGGGACATTGACGGCAGACAGGTATTCTTCTACTTTGAGGAGGTGAGTAGAATATCTGGTTAACTGTGTTGTTAACAACCTGTTGCTAGACTGCAAGGCACACATACATGATCCATTATAGTTCTCCATTATAAGCCCTGCGCTTATATTTCGGAGACTGGGCTTGTATATCTCGGAAGCCCTCTTGGAGTGTGCTTATAATAGAGACTGGGCTTCTACAAGACACTGGGCTTCTACAAGAGACTGGGCTTCTACAAGAGACTGGGCTTCTACAAGAGACTGGGCTTCTACAAGAGACTGGGCTTCTACAAGAGACTGGGCTTCTACAAGAGACTGGGCTTCTACAAGAGACTGAGCTTGTAATAGTGATAATACGGTATGCTGTGGTCCTTGTTCCAGGTCTATTCAAGAGGCATTTTTCTCGTGCAGATTATAAACTAACTTACGTAGTCTGATTTTATGTTGTGTTTTGCTCGTTAGATTGACCGAGTTGGCAAGTGCTTCAACGTGACGATGGTACAGGAGATGCTTGTTGACAAGAAACAGCCGACGTTCATCCGTGTACAGGATTACTATGAACCAGCTCATGAGTGCACAGTCGAATACAGTAAGTCACTTGCGAGGGACTTTTCATATCATCGATATGGACTGTGATTTTGACCAGTTCTGAAAGTGTGAAACTGCAAGTTGTAACAGCCAACATCTGTGCCCATACTTCGGTATTATGTTGTATAGCCTGGAAGATTCGTGTTTCCCTTTCATGCAAGAGAGGTGTGATGATACTAGTAGCTTGATGGGATATAATCCGGCTCGAATGTTTTTCGCAACTTGCAAACAAAGAGTTTCGATCATCTTTTGTTGTGAAATTCTAACCTCTTCAAGTATCTTGCAAAACAAGAATTTTGATCGCTGTGTGATGAATGTTAACCTCTAGCATACCTTCTGTGTGTGTGTATAACCATGGTAACAGGTCTGGACGGCCAGGAGAAGCGCTGCAAAACCAACTACACGTACGATAGCTGCCACACGCCGTGCAAGCCGCAGACCTGCCAGGCGTATCTCCTCGGCGAGCCGGCTGACCCGCAGCTGTGCGATTCCGGATGCCGATGCAAGGATAACTTCCTGCGACTGGGAGACCGCTGCGTCATGGCCTCCGACTGTAAGCGGCCATGTGCTCAGTGGGAATATCATTCAAATCACGCAACTAGAAAAATGCTTTTATGTTTAGGGCATGCAATATGTTGCTGTTTCCGATAAAAAACGGATAGGTTGAGATATGCCTGGGAGAACTTCAACTTCAGTACAAAAAGTATGGAGAGTAAACTGTAAGAAAAGCGGGGAAAAAACTCCAACCTCACCAGGACTCAAATCTGGAACCCCGCTTCTGTTGAGGAGTGAAAAGAGTGTTTCTTTGACATGCCGTACATGGTTTACACCACAATGAAAAATTTAATTGTATCTTGCACCTCTATATGTATTACCCAATCATCTCCCGAGTGAACTGTGTACACAATATAGCAATATAGCATGCTGTGTTTAAGCCATTCTCTTTGTTTCTGTATCTTTCCCTTTCCTCCGTTGTAGGCAAGCGTCTTCTCAATGCTTGTTCTGAGAACGAGCAGCAGAGCGATTGCAGTGCCGGTTGCCAGGAGACGTGCAGTGACTTGACGCTTGGCCTGCCCCGCATCTGTCCGTTTGTATGCCAGCGCGGCTGTGTCTGCAAACCGGGCTATGTCCGTGAGAGTGAAGACGGCACGTGTGTACCCAAAGATCAGTGTAAGGTTCTTGTAATGTGTGGTTCTTGTGTCTTGTAATGTGCGATTCCCGTATCCACTTTTCTCTCTCTCTCTCTCTCTTTCTTTCCCTCCCCCCCCCCTCCCCCAACTCTGTTTGCCTTTGGTGCCATAAATGTAGTAGTCGCACCATATTTCAAAAGGTTATGAGTCGGCCTTTCATGAACTAAAAACGCAATTGAAAAGGTTGTCGATTTACAGCCAGGACCAATCTCCACTATCCCGGGAAATTGAGGCTCAAAATCACGGGTAGACTTCTAACTAGGATTGACTTGTGACTGGTACAATAATGGTAGTTGATGGCATGACTCACTGGTGAACGTTGAAAGGAGCAATGCATGATGATTTCCAGATCAATTGGAAAGTCTGGTATTCACAGGCCACACCTAGTAGGGAACTGGTGCTAAGTGCAATCCTGTTGCTCAAAGGCTGTCATGACGATAGCTCAGTCCTCGGGGACATAGTGATGTATGTATGGTTTGACTGTGTATCTCATGTGCTCTGTGTGCTCTCTGCAGGCCCTGATCCGTTTGCCAAGCCTGACCAGGGCAAGTAACAAGTGGGAATGTTGAACATCAGTACAGGTAAGACATGGAGACATTCAACTATCAGTACTTCGTCTAGAAATAAATGACATGTTCACACAGAAGAAGCACGTGATTGTGCTAAGATTGTTTTTCATAAGTTCGTGCTGTGCTCTCAGTGTTTGTCTCACTTCATAGTTCCCACTTCACTTTATGTCTGTTGTCTCACCCCCTTTATGCTTAGTTTTACTGTCACATTTATTGTCTCGCCCCTTTGACTTCATCAAGAGTTTCATTTTCCATATACTCCAGAGGCAGCCTTGTGGAAGCAAGTGCCATTATTATTGACACAACGAGAGTAACTAACTAATGGCTTATTATTTACTTGTATGTTTTACTAATAACTTTGCCCAGTGTGGATTCTGTGCATGGTGTGTTGTAGCACAATAACATCTAAACACACCACTGCTCTCTCTCTCTTTCCTGTGCTCATTGTGTCTGTCTAGATTTGGCTGCGGCTATTACACTCGTCGTGAAGAACAGTTGAAAGCATTTGACGCTGCACCAGCGGGAGATTTACACCAGATTTCGCCGGCCACATTTTCTCAATTTCACACTTAAACACATAGATCATGATAATTATACTTTTTTTACTTTCCGATCAATTTAGGTTGTACCTCTCCGGAAGCTTAGTATGACCTCATTCTCTGTCTTTTTCTAATAGCTATTATTACACATGCTGCATTTGAATTACTGAAATATGATCTACACTTCCAACTAGTACTGATGATGTGTTTAGGATATTTCTGCCCCTTCTCGGTATTTTCAGCAGCCACTTTTCAAGTTTCATAGAATTTCTGCAGACTAAACATCCCTCTCTGCCCAATCACCATTATGCACAGTTTATCAGATGTTATACACATACCAAACAATTCTTTACGCACTGACTCAAGATTGGCTTTATCCACTATTGCATTATTTGATCAGATCGAGGATAACAATTTACCACATACAGATCACCCAAACGGTACGTTTCGTGCTGGCGGTCATTTCATTGCGGTTTTTATGGAGGGGCATTTTAGGAGTGGGGCAAGCATGCACACCTACCACCCTTTTGCCCCCTGGAAATGATTTGAGGGGCCATCATTATTTTTGCACTCTCCCCCCCCCCCCCCTTTCAATGGTTACTTGCCACTTCAGCGCCACCATTTCAGCGCGATACATTTCCGTGCCAGCACTTCAGCGCACGATTTCACAGCACCATGACTATCAGCGCGGTACAGCGCCAGCAATTTAGCGCAAAAAGTAAGGGGCGGTAATTTACAGCGCTAAGAAGTTCGGCGCGATAAAGTACAGCGAGAAGTCACTACTTGTCATTGTAAGCAACGTTCATACATACATATAATTATTAAGTAATAAATTGGTGCTGAGAAACCTGGCGCTTAGATCTGTGGCGCTGAGAAAGGTCGCGCTGACGTATTTGGCGCTGAAAACATGGCGCTGATTCTTAGATATTCGGCGCGTATCTGCTGGTGCTGAAATAGGTGGCGCTGTAAAATTCGGCGCTTGGATTCACGGCTCTGAAACGGTCGCGCTCACCTGGTTGGTGCTAAACTCGAGGGCGCTGAAATGGAATAGAATCTTTCCAACATCACCTTTCCCACCCGAATTCAGCCAGAAACTTCAGCACACCGCCTGGACCCAGGCAAGAACCCCATGCACCAACCCCTCACGGACGTACGCAGGTAGAAACTTCATACGCGTATATCACCCCCTCCCCCCTCTCTCTCTCACACACCATTGACCATTGGACGCCCATCGCCAGAGGCGATGATAGCGATGCTACAGCAGAAGCCATAGCAACTTGTGCTGGGATTGCACCATTCAACAGCTTGCAAGGCTGAAGAATTGACCACCACTATTCAGCCTGGTCTACACCACACAGCTTTGAAGTGGCTTTTTTCTGGCCAGTGAATCCCTACTTTTTGGTCTTTTTTTTCTTCTTTTTTTCCCGCACACACATCACACCACATACTGCGGCATGCACTGGCTGTTGGTAACCACCCAGGAGAATGAAAGAAAAGTCAGGAAGAGTCTGAGAAAGAGAAGAAAGACGTGTGTGACCATAATCGTCGGGAATCGAACCCGCAACCTATCGATTGGAAATCGCTGCACATACCACTGCACCATATGGGACACACACACACACACACACACACACACACACACACACACACTGTGCCCCACCCGCACATACAGAAAAAGGTCACAGACAACCAAGCATAAACATTACAGTCAAATACTAAACGAAAGAATGATAACCGAACAATATGCAAAACCACAAGAAGTAGAGAAAGGATTATCAACGAGCACACTGATAGAATGCAATAATTGTATTCCCATTTGCAATGCGGGACCACCTATCAGCAAGCGGGAATTGGAAAATAATTATCAGATAGGAAGTGTCTAGCATTGGCAGCGGTTGTAGACTTGGAAATGATCATGGAGAAGCAGTTGAATAGTAACTCCACACCACCGGATGCAACTGCACTGCTCAAGCTTAGCAGGCAAGATATCAACTCGTTCTCAGGTTTGATGTACGGAAAAAGAAATGAAATGCACCGATGGAAATTCAATTAGTCCCTTTACGCGCACTGTTCAGCTATACAGGGCTGGGGAATTTAGTACAGCAAGGCAAAGTTGGGTAACGGTTTATGATAAGATACTAAAATGCCCACATTCATTCTCAGGGCAGTTAGCTCGCTACACACGGCAGAGTCAGCATATACCATTGCCGGCTGCGCTAGCAGTAGAGCGGAGTCTTTATGATTAGCCTTCACTCCGACGCAAGCATAGTCAAGTGCAGGCGCCCAGTTTCGAGGCTCTGCGGAAGTCCAACACGCATGTAACTGGTGCATTTATTCAATTTTCTTTAGCTTTGTCCGGTTTAGAACTGATCAGTATAGATTCGTCTATGATGCCGACTAGGATTGCTCTTCCAGGGGTTACTATGGTGACGGACCCACCACTGCTGCACTGTGGAAAAGTAGAGATCCTTCCACCTACACATCCCTAGTGCGTGTTGGTCACGCTCGACAATACTACCTCAAACCATCATGCAATAGTTCAAAGAATGTGGCTCGTCACATAGCGATGAGAACGTGGCTCAAGTCAGATGGCAACGAGAAAATTGCTCATCACACGACAGTTAGACGTGGCTCACCGCACACCAGTGGTGAGGTGGCTCCTCTCACATGGCGGTGAGAATGTGATCGCCATGCCGTGCGGTGTATGTCGGCAGCTGTTCGTTGACGGTGAGCACGTCGGTGCTGGCCGCCATGTCACGCATCGGGTACGCGTCCGTGTTCATCGGCCCACCGCCAGCTGCCCCACCGCCCATTTCCTGGTGAAGGTTATTGCCGTTGTTGGTGGCGTACTTGGACTGGCCGCCGCCACTGGCACCTACACCGCCGGCATCGTACTGCTGTGCCGGGTGAAAGCTGCTGGCGTTGCTCAGCATGCTGGGCTGGTGCTGGTGCTGGTTGTTGAGCGTGGCCACTGGCGTCACCGTCTTGCGGAAGTGGTCGGCGTTGTGCCCGTCCTGTGCCTGGAATGTGGCCGCTGTCTGGTTGAAGTGACTGCAGTTCAAGTACAGAAATGATTGGGAAAAAGAAAAGTCACAAAGTCTACTCCTCCATAAATTGCAAATTGTGTTTTGTTTGCCCGTAAAAGAGGTTCTTTTTTTTAAAGTAAAAAACAAACAAAAACAAACAAAAAGTCACAACGCCATCGCCTGATCCAATCCCACTAGGATCCCAAAATTGCTTTGGGAATGTTCAACATTTTCTTTAGACTTCAGACCTAATGGATAATATCATTGGAACACACACTTGTTTTAGCTAGGCGTAGAGACGTCGCTTCAAGTTGACGACACACTTACCCATCCAACGCGTCATTGGGCGCACTGATGGTCGGCACGTTTGAGTGCGACAGTCCTACGCCAGGCGTGCGTTGCGCAGGCACGGGACGTTGCTGCTGGTGCTGCGGTTGCTGCTGAGAGTCCGGGCCTGCGGTGCCAGCATACCTGGGAGGATAGGACGGAGATCCTTGCTCACTGGTTGGATCTGTGTAGTTTGGGTTGTGCAGGCTCATCCCAGCGCCTACATTGTACCTGCAGTAGCAGTAGCAGTGTGCGGCAATGTGTTTTGTCATAAGGCAGCAGTAGCAGCAGTGGCAGTTGCAGTAGCAGCAGGAGCAGAAGCAGCAGTCGCATTAGCAGCGGCAGCAGCGGCAGCGGCAGCAGCGGCAGCGGCAGCAGCAGCAGCAGTAACGACAGAAGAAGCAGGAATAGCAGTGGCAATGGCAATGGCAGCAACAGCGACGGCACCAGCATAAGCAGCAGTAGCAGCAGTAGAAGCAGTAGAAGCAGCCGCAGCAGCAGCAGTGGCAGCATCAACATCAGCAGCAGCGACAGTAGCAGCGCCCGGTGTACACATGCATACAGAATACATGTACGTCCACCCACAGTGTTCATGCAGACAGAATACATGCACAAATACACACACACACAGTAAGTTATCCAAGAAGAATACATGCATACACACCAAAACAATAAACAACAAAACAAAAACAAAACAACAAAAAATACAATAAACACCAATAATATCTTGTGATATTATCCATCTCTATCTATGCTTGCTAACATGATGAAAACGTTTAGAAGAATGCAAGCCTGACACACCAGTCAGGCTCTGGCTCAGGCTACTCGAATAGACACGTCTTGGAAGGACAGTGAAACCTGCCTAAGACGACTGCTCAAGGGACCTTCAATGTTGGTCTCTGTAACCAGGTGGTCTCCTTATCCAGTGCTATTTGACTGGAAATAGCAACCCTTGGTCCTGGTTGTAGTGGTTTTTTTAGGACAGGTGGGTCGCCTTATCCGAGTGGTCACCTTGACAGGTTTTACTGTGGTATCAAGAAAGTGGCTACAGGCAAAGTTCTTGATGTAAATCACGAGCCGTGGAAGGACCGCTGGATTTGTTTACAATAATGCAATTTGTCTTGATTTTTGACCACTAGGGTTACAAATACTACTTTGAAACTTGAGCAAGCATCAGAGCACTTGGTTCATACGCCTTGATCCTCGGGGGGGGGGGGGGGTGGTGGCGTTCCTACGGATGCGGAAAACTCGGCCTCCAGGTGAGTGTCACGCGAACGGTAAATTGTTTTCAACATGAGGTTTTATCGTAGTATTGGAAAGCATAAAACATGTAAAATAGAACACTAGCAGAACAGTCACTTACTCATGGTGGTCGAAATGATAGTTAGTCGAGGTCTTGCTCGCCGATGATCTCTTGCGTCGGCATCTCAGCAGGCACAGCGTCATCAGCAGCAGTATGAGCAGCACTCCGCCGGCAATGCACAGATACAGGTAGGTATCCTTGAAGCCACTGATGATCGACGACGTCTCGCCTGCAGCAGCAGTTTGTGCAAGAACACACAGCACCAGCAATTACATCATACTCTGCAGGGGCGTCGGATACGTTACGATCACTACGGTATTGACCGTACCACTCTTCGTTCCGGGCATCCTGTGAATCAATATAAAGCACTGATCTGGTTTTTAAGTTTCGAAAATTTTCATGGGAGCCACCCAACCCCAGGAGTAAATTACACTCCAGCTGCAATGCCTTCCGACGTCCATGCTCTGGCTGATATTCATGAGCAGTTTTGACTCACCTACAACAGTGATGCTGGCGTTTCCCGTAGCGACACCCCAAGTGTTTCTAGCCGTGCAGATGTACGTCCCTGCGTCGCTCTCCTGCACGTTGCTCACCACCAGGCTGCCGTCCGCTTGGCCCGGGACCGAGGTCAGGTTGCCCTGGCGTCTCCAGGTCACCGTTGGCGCTGGATCTCCCTCGCTGCCGCAACTGAGCGTCACCTCGGCACCACGAGAGACGGCCATCGCCTCCGGCATTACGGGTATGATTGGGAAAGCTGGGCACGAAATCGATTAAAAAAATGTTAAGCAGATGCAATGGTAAGTATACATAGGCCTCCACTTCAATTACATACAGTATTCATACTGCCCCCAATTACATACAGTATTCATACCGCCCCCACCTTCCACCTTGGCAAAAAAAGAACTTTGCTATGTATGCACGCACAGCTACAGATGGAAAAGGTACAACATAGCAATGATCTGATTACTTTCTACGAATTCCGCATTTCAGTAGCAATCTCACAGGCTCAGTTTGCCATGTGACGTGCTGGTGCAACTTCGCGGCTGCGGTGCTCCAGATAACCGGCGTCCCAAGAAAGGACCGGTCACCTACCGCTGTCGTGTCTACCCCTACAAGTGCTGACTGTAATTTGCCGCAAGATTCTACCACATACAGATGCTGCTGTTATTTTTTATCACCGTCACCACTGTCGCCATTGTCGTCATTGTTAACCCTTTATTACCGGATTACTTGCACAGCATGCACCAGGATTACGAATTTCAGCACAATTTCCAACTTCACCAGGTCATAACTTTGGTCTCCTTCACTTGATTTTCACAATCTAGGGCTCGTTGGAAAGCTCTTGGCAAGAGAAACGCCATGGTACCAAGTTCCATTATCCAGTCGCCACAAATCAGGCGCGGTAACACAGCAAAGTCGTCTCCAAGCCTGATATGCAAGCAATTTCGTCCCATCAACGCCATTCCACTCTCCTTCATCGTAGAACGCTCAAATTTGTTTGAGACGATTCCAACTTCAGCTGATTACGTCAATATCACGTGCTTAGTCGCTCAAAGAGCACAAGTAAAGGGATTTCCCCCAAAAATGGCGAAGTGATCGATCAAAAATTTGAATTTGCCGAGGTGAAAATACGGCGCGCAATATCTCTGGTGTCCGACATCGTAACTCTTCGGCGATTGTTGCATTGGATAGCCTGGAGTTTCCGCTACCAAATAGACCTTTCGATTGTTGAATTCGCACAAGAAATGATGGAGTTACGAAGATATTACTGGCCTGCGGACTTTCGATCATATATGATCGAAAGTCTGCAGGCCGGTAATAAAGGGTTAATGATGCCATTATTTCACATGGGAAGTAAATTCAGAGCTTTCAAACCTCTTACTGGGGTCCAAGATGAATACCTGCATTGATCTCTAGTCTAGAGGTAGGGAAATGATAACCATTTACGGTCTGAACTCAATGCATACGGAGTATCACCGTCTAAAATATTGCCTTTCGACTACAAATCTCGTGTTTTCCAAAAGACCCGTAATTGACCCAGTTACAATAGTTCCAAAATGTTGAATCAATCGAATAACCGTGTTCCATAGGTGTATAGGCGGACAGTACGGGGCTAATTTTCTGTATCACGGTTTATCAAGGCACCTACCAGCCATCGTTGCCGTGGCGACTGCGGGCAGACCGGGTCCGAGGGAGTTGACGGCGCGCAGCGTGAAGCGGTACGCGGTCAGACGGCGCAGACCCACCACCCGTGTGCGGATGGGCGTCGTGTCCACGTCCTCGACCACCAGCGTCTCGGGCCTAATCTGAAAGTCGGTGTCCAGCGACTCGTACGTGAGCTCGTAGCGCACGATATTGCCGTTGGGCTCGATGGGCTCTCGGAATGTCACACTCATTGCACTCGTATTCTGCTCGGGCATGGCCATGAGTGCCTCGGGCGCATCAGATTCTACACAGGGTAGTTGGTGATTCACGGATATAGGGACAGACAAGCATACATGGACAACAGTGATCAATAACAAGACAGGAGCTTTGGAACAAACATCAGAAACAAGGAAATCGGTTAAGAAAGTACATGTACCCACACATATACATATTCCTTGCCCCTTCTCACTGCCAGGAAATAGGTCATTTCAGTCTCCCCTTGGGTGATAGGTGTTGGATGATCCTTTTAAAAGTGTGGTGGCGTTCCTACAGATGCAGGAACCTCGGCCTCTAGCCGAGTCTTAAGCGAACCGTGACATTATTATTTTCTGGTTGATGGGAGAGAGATCCAGGAGAAGTCATGGAAAGATTACTCTGTTGGATACTGCTCAAGCACAGCACACATGAGCGACATCAAGATTTCCAGAGCAATCACAACAGAGGTACTTTCTGCAACTGAATCCGCTCTAGTCGCACTTTCGGCTCAAAACAGTGACAATTCCTCTCTAGAAGAAGCTGTGATCTCTGAATCAGAGGAGAGTGATCCAACCTAACAGATGTCTGTAATGTCCTTGTTGAGCAATACAAAGTTGTATTTTGGTGAGTCAATCATTAGTTTTGATTGTAAAGTGTGGGTTATTTCGAGTAATTTGAAGTAAAATAAGCGCCAAGTTTCACTTGTCGGAAGTAGTAGGTGAGTACAAGTGGCAGAAAGGCTATAGACATCCATGGTCTGCACCTGATCTCGGAAATCCTCATTGGTTCTAACACGCAAGTCATCCTGATGAATTTTCACAATGATACCGTAACAACATAATCACAATGTCATGTTGATGTCACTATGATGTCACCATGATGTCACTATGATGTCGTTCACATAACCTCTGTTGTGTGCTGCATACGGACACTAAAACACCCTTATGCTGGTTGTGTGTCTGCAACATCAATGATGTCAGAATCTTCACGAAACCTACCATGTGCACTTGTGGTAACAGTCTGTGCAACACTGATTGGTCCAGTACCGGCGTTGTTGTACGCAGCCACGGTAACTGAGTATTCGGTGAAGCGACGCAGTCCATCGAGCACGCGACGCAGCGGCACGCCCGCTTCGACGTTGACGGATCCGGTCTGGCTGCATGGGTAGCTGCTACACGGACACTGGGCGCAGCTAGCTGCGAAGGATAGTGTGTAGCCACGCAGTACACCAAACAAGGATGCAGGGGGAATACCCTGTGCGGACAAAACATAGCGCAAAACACAGAAGCAGATCACATTCAGAATTCACTCAATCTGCGGAAAGAACTGTTTCGTCCTTTGTGAACTTATCAGCGCAGCGCAGAGAGAATGAGGCCGAACCTGATAGCAAAGAAAAATAAAATTTCCAAAGCCAGATTAAAAAACCAGGCCCAAACGTACGTACCTTGCCAGAGTGCTCAAACTGACAAGTCAGTAAGCTCTGCATAACGCAAACAGCAAAGTCACCGCTACAAGAGCAGGAGCGAAATACTCCATCTGCAGACAGAACTGTTTTGTCCTTTATGTATGAAAGTGTCTGTGCTGTGCTGCAAACATGCACACAATTGAGCAGGTTCTGCTCTGCTAAAAATGCAAACCAATGGAAAACCTACTGTCCATTCCACCTCGACTGATGTTGACGATAGAACTGTGACAGTAGGCTGAGCTGGTGCTAAGTCAGGAGCTAGGAACAAGGAAACAAGAACAAAAGTCCGTTTTTTTTTCAGAGAACAACCCTGCATGGGTAAATGATGAAATTTGGACACACAGCCATTGTCCCAAGGAATTTCCCTTGACTGGCATCCTGCCGAATGGCAGGGAAAAGTGGAAGTCAGTGGGGGTTTGAAGAAACGGTGCAACAAAAAACACAACTGCTGTACTCCACTGTATGATCATGCTAAACCTAGCGGCGGGGAGGTGATAATTTGGAAGGCGGCAGGAAGAATGTTTCCCGCTAAGAAAAGGTATGGGCGAGACCGGGGGCGTCGGACACGGTACGGTCACTACGGTATTGACCATACCACTATTTGCCCCAAGTACCCCGTGAATCAATAAAATGCACTGATTTGGGCTCTAATTTCCCAAAGATTTCAGCTCAGCCATCCCTCCCACACGAGTGAATTGTACTTCAGATGGCTGACCGCACCACACTAAAATACCTTCTGACGCCCCTGGGCGAGACGCATGGCACCACAGGCACAGGTGAAAATAGCAAGTGCATTCAGAGGAAGAGTATGTGTAGCGCTAGACATTGTTGGAAGCGCTAACAACACTCAGGGGATGCTTGTTCATGCTAGCAGTGACAGTATGGTGTTTTACGTCAACCATGACGGCTACAATGGCCAACCAGACCACAACGAAGTTGGGGCCAAAGAGAAAGTTTATTTCTTTCACGTGAAAATATATACAGGTGCCATTTTTACGAAAAAAGATTTATGTATACAAAAATGCATGCACGAGGTCACTACAACAGCACTGTGTACTGTTCAATGCATCACAATCTACTCTAGGGCTAACAAAGGCTCAATGCGTACCATCACAATGCCCCTACTGTCAGTCACCCACTAGGTGAAATTTCAACATAGGGATACTTGCGGTCACCGCAACTAAAGCTATGATCCAATTTCTGCAGCTCAGGTCTATATTTTCTCAAACAGAACTAAGCACCATCGCGTATGCCCCCCCCCCCCCTCCTCTCTCCAAACACCACGATGGTCTAGGATTCGATTCAAGTGCTTTATATCTCCCAAGGATTTAGCCCCGATGGGAGAATTTGAACTCTACACAACCGTATGCTGCTTTTCTTCAGGCTGCATTTTTTAAGGCTCTGTTGTTATGTATTGGCTGAACAGCAAGTGGAGTCAGCATCATCCGCCTGATGATCGTGTAACTATGAAAGCACAGCACCCAAATACAGCTATTCCATCCTTAGGGGCCGGCCGTCCATATTTAGCAATCTTTTACGCAAAACGAAAAAGTTTCGTTTATGGGTAGGTGGGTCGAGGAGAGTTCCTTCACGAAAAATATCGATAGCTGAAACATCAATCCATTCTAGCTGTCAAATGACTCAAATCACTAATATTTTATTTTTCGTTCAGGGGGGTGGGTGGTTGGGGGAAGATCACAACTATACTTTTTCGTTTTGTGAAAATTACCGATAAATCCCGGATGGTCCCCTACAGCGCTTCAGAACGAATGCTAGCTTCAACTAAATGACTTTTCCGTCAATTGGTTATTGGACTGCTTATAAACACAATGTCTCCAGGTGGAATTCCAGTCCTGAAACGTACCTTCTTCCATCACAGTTGCGTTTACCGTTTGACTGGTGCTGGAGCCAACCTCATTAGTCACAGCTAGGACACAATAATACGATCGGCCGGGGTGAAGATTGTCGATGGTGGCATTGCGAGCTGTGGCAGGGATTGTCAATGGATCTGACAGCTGTACGTCACCTGCAATAGGAATACAGGAATCGTGTGCATGGGCAAGCATGCACAGAGATGAACACGGACACCCACAAACACATACACAGATGCATATGTAACATGTGTATGGCACAAAAGGATACTTAGCCAAAGTACTGGGGGCAGCGTGTCCGAACGAGAAGATACAGGCCGCTAGACATTAGTGGTCAAACGAATGTGCTAAACAGCGAATCGAACCTTCTCTGAATGTTCCTAACGAATACCGAACGAATGTCGCCCGTTCCATGATTAAGAAATCAGTAGGAAATTATAGCTACCAACCAGTATGTAACACTAAAACCTTTGTAAAAGGCACCCAAATCATAAGTGAAGTTGCACACTGCAAGTCTGCAACAGAGACTGTAGATGCCATGACTCATTTATGAAGTGGACAGTGATGGTAATGTACCCCTCCGTTCGTCTGCTTGTCCACAGGTCTGTAGTCAGCGCCATGGAGCTGGCCTTTTCAAGGTTCTCCACCTAACCACTGCACAAGCAACTTCAGGCCCGCGACGTGCTTCCGCTGAATTAGCTTTGTCACTTGAGTCGCAGGTAGCCAGGCTTGGGGTAGTTCATGAGCGAAAGGAACCCCCGCACCAGTGACTACGCTCACAGGCCGAAGATCTCTGCACACAAATTCCACCAATCGGTCGTCGCATCCAAAGCCTCAGAGCAGGTAGCCAGGCTTGGGGTAGTTCATGAGCGAAAGGAACCCCCGCACCAGTGACTACGCTCACAGGCCGAAGATCTCTGCACACAAATTCCACCAATCGGTCGTCGCATCCAGAGCCTCAGAGGATCTAGCCGCTGGCACTTTCTTTGCCTTGAAGAAGGCAGTTATCCCTCCGTCCTTTTTCGGTATCGCCCCTGCGCCATCCAAGTCGACATGGTGAACGTCCTTCAGATGGTTACGTAAATTCGTTATTCCGCCATGATCTGCCAAGTCTTTCGGCGGCTTGCACCGAGTACACGTAGCAATATTGTCGTGAGAATATAGAAAATATTGTCAGCCGTTATCTCTATTCCAAAATCCCATACGGCAGAGCGCCTACTCTTCTCGGCCATGACGAACGTTGGGTGGATTTGATGAAGAAAGACTCAACGACGGCTCTCAGCAATAGTTATTATTTCAGACAGACCGTCGAGTGTTGTCACGACTAAAATCGCCTGTGGCACTGCACTTCCAGTTTCACAGCCGGGCGCGGTGCACACATGCAACGTTCAACCCAGACTGTACTAGAGTTCACTGCGCAGACTAGACCTACCGTAGTCTCTGGTCATGAAGACAGCGCGGCACGGCTTCAAAAGTAGACGTGTGTACGTGCATGCATGCATGAAAATCGCTGCTACAAGTCCAGAGTTCACAGTTTTGTGAGTTACGATATTCGTTTGGGCGGTCAACTTGACATTCGAATGTCGACTCGAGAACGAACGTTCGAAGCTTCTCAGCATTCGTTTGACCACTACTAGACATAGTAGTGTTAGGTACCTCCTCTCGTACCTTTTCTAGCTGGCCTGCATGCACTCGCGTACTCACCTTTTGTCTCCTTTTGTTCCGTTGGCCTGGGTAGCTACTTGCGCGCCCATAATTGCCATAGCTACCCAGGTCCTTTATCTTGCCGTTCCGACTGGATCTCTTTCCCTTTCTCACTCGTCAATAATCACCATGTAGTCGTTTCGTTCGTCTTGGTCTCTTGTCCCGTCTCTAATACATGTCGTTCCACTAACCTACCTTTTCCCGTTGTAATGTCTGGATAATGTGTCGTCAGTCGTCCTTTCTCGTATTCAACAGTAGGCATGAACAACAAATATTCCAGAAGAGGGGTGTAGGACAAGATCACCCAGAGAAGTATTCCATAAAAGGTTTGCAATACAAAATCACCCAGAGAAGTATTCCAGAAGAAGATTGCAGTACAAGATCGCCCAGAGAAGTATTCCAGAAGAGGATTGCAGTACAAGATCGCCAAGAGAAGTATTCCAGAAGAGGATTGCAGTAAAAGATCGCCCAGAGAAGTATTCCAGAGGAGGATTGCACTTCAACATCACGCAGAGAGCTCGCGATAACGACATTTTCTCATGCACCAGAACTGTAGGCGTGTAATCATGGTTTGTGGTTATCTTGTAAAAAATAATAATAATCAGTCTTACCAGGATATCCAATGCCAGTACACATTGCTCTGTAACTCAATATTGGCGTGTTGCCGTCGAAGAATTCCGTCGTCCACTCCAGCAAGATCTGGCGGAGGTTGTCGGAGCTGACTTGTGGCGCAAACATGTCTCCCAAATCAGGCACCTCTGCAGTCAGGCGGTGGAGATCAAATTACAAAGAGGAGAATGATGATAAATCCAGGGCACGGTAGAACCACACAGCCTGTGAGAGTGCGTTCCCTGATTCTGAAACCTTTTCAGTCGTGTGATACAGAGATTTGAAGTCATTCAGATTTCTGGGAGTCAAACGACGAACTAAAAACATTATAATCTTCCAGGAAGGAAAAGCATGCAAGCGCTGTATATTGCTTCATTATAATTTTTGTTTTTTTGTTTTTTTTATATCAGAATACACACTCATGCACCGCCCAACAGAGATAATGGCTAGGGGAAGGGGTTAACGTCAACATAGGATAGGAGACAAGGGGTATATGGCAACAATGAGCACAAGTGCGGACGGGGCCTGCGAGGCTGATCTGACCGCTTGTCTCCTAGTCATAGCTACACATTGTGACGGCTACGTGTCAAAAAGCCCAGCTAACGATGTCCTACGGAGGAGATGCATGATGATAGAGGTGTGGGCAAAAATGCTGAAACGAGGTCCAACCTAAACCGAGGTCTACCTATACAATGTATATGATGTCGATACAACCAACGTAACCAAGATTGAGCCATCACCAGTGTTATCCCAGTACAGGGGTTGACCAATAACCGGGGTCGATATAATTATAACCCGGGGTCGATATATTATAACCGGGGTAGATGCTTTATAACCGGGGTCGATATATGAGGCATCGGCAGCAAGAACCGGGGTCCTGGCGATTTTTCAAAATGCCAATAATTGCGAAAAACCGAACCGATGTCGTTTTTTAGTCACCGCGATCAAAGCGGAAAGGCTTCTTGCGATATCGCTTTGAAAGTGCTTTCCTCTTGGTGGCTTCGCTATAATTTGTTGTCATTGCAGTTTTAGTTTATCCGCCAAGCACTTGGGACGTCCAGGTAGGCGTTTTCAGCCACCATGGAGGCGTTTGCGCTCTGGGTAGCGTCTGCAAATCATGCGCTGAAAAGAGAGCGGAACAAATAAATTCTTGGCGGAACGATCCCGTCACGAATTCTTGATGGAGCACGAGCGACTAGAATATTTGGCAGCTGGATCTCCAGAGATACTCCGCTGCCTGTGATAGTCCCCCGCAAGAAGAATCAGGTGAAAGTGAAGAGGTTTCGCTCAGATGACAAGCCATCAGCGGAGGCAGCGCAGACGACGAGTTTGAGAGCTCCGTGACACGAAGTGGTGACGCGGACAGCAGCGCTGAGAGTGACGAACGAGATTCAGTACTCCGTGGCGACTATTCGCAGCTGGATAAGTTGGTGAGATACGGAGACAGCCCTGAATGAACTAAACCTTACTTGATACAAGATATTTTGTGAATAAAATTGTTGCAAGTATACATGCACGCTTGCGGTGCGCATGAAATTTGTCACAGTATTATACATGTATCTACGAGCTTCTGTGCGTAGGAGAGCAAGACATGCTTGGTGGATGTATCTGGCTTGGCCCAGCATGCATATCTAGTCTTGTACTAAGTTGCAGATTCTTCCCAGCCATGTAAAACGTCAGTTGCTTGGCTTCTTTCTGTCTGACAAATCTGCATACAACGCCAGACCTGCACATGACAGGGATTGAGTTTTCAAGTAACATTGCAGCAAGTGCAGGCAACAATGTTACTATAATATCAACTAGAGTACTCTGTGCTTCCCTGAAGACCTATAAATACGCTAACTTGTTCTCAGTCACTCCATTAGAGCTAGCTGTAACTGCGTTCCATTTTGCCTTTTTGCTGACCATTTTCGTTGACCGTCACCCATCATTTTGGGCGTTCTTTTTACCATCGTGGAAGGTGCCCAGAGCTCCAAAATTTGGCCCATATATCACTCATTTAGTGGACAGTTCAAAGCCATCAAAAACTCATTTTCACCTAATATCACCTTACCCTGGTTTTTGCTGCCCATGCCTCATATTATAACCGGGGTTGACCTATAACCGGGGTCGACCTATAACCAGGGTTGACCTATAACCGGGGTTTACCCATTAACGGGGTTGAGCCATTATCGGGGCCGATCCTTTACCGGGGCCGACTAACTGTATAGCTGGGGTCGAGCAATCACCGGGGTTGGCCTTTAACCGGGGAAATACGGTAGTTGGCAGTGACGGTCAAGTTTTTCTCCATGCTTCCCCAAAATTCGAAGCGCAGAACCGGTAGGGTCAGAGTATACTATCAACTTTGGTCTATTTTTTTTCAATGTCAGGAAGCATACAGCATGTCTCCTTAACTCTAAACCTCCAATCCAGAACATTAATAAACTCTCTCTCACCTATCACATTGACGACCGCTGTATCGTTTGCACTGCCGAAGCGGTTTGTAGCGCGGCACGTATAGTTGCCTGTATCTGTGCGACTGACGTTGGTCAGCGTGAACGTGTTATTGTTGCTGTTCACTGCAGCTGCTGTCTGCAGAACGGTGCCGCCTCGACTCCATGTAAACTGCGTAGGAGAGAGGAAAAGACAGGACATTCTACTTGAATTTCAGACATTTACGTGCCCAAATATTCACAAAGTGAAGTCCTTGCTGCAAACAGTGCTCAATACTGTAACAAGGGCAGAGCGTACTGCACACGTCAGGCGAAATTACTGGTCAGTCGGCGACACGCATTTTTCACAAAAAAATTGCGTTTCACCTGCTGGGAGAGTATGCATGTACTCGAGTCTCATCCTGAGCACGTTTTTTTCTCTTTTTTTCAGCTCCAGTATAGCTGTATTTTTCATTGCAAAGCCGTCCTCGATTGTTGTGTTCGTTGTTCAAACGAAGTGGACATTCAATCATGAAGGCAGAGGACATAGGAGCCTGATTGGAGTTTCTCGTGGCATAGGACGGCCACACAGAGACACTTTGGGATTTTCTGAATATAAAATACCGTACGCACGATGCTGAGATCAATTTGTGCGATATCAAATTGTTTGTGATCTACCACATCGAGCAGAACGGGATCCAAACACAAGCTTACCGACGGTTAGGCTGCCGACCTGACTGGACAAATGATCCCTGGCTTCACCAGACGCCAGAAGTCGGACACCATGTCCTTTGCCGCGACGTCCATCTCCAAAAAGAACTCCATCTTCGTCGTGAAAAGTCTTGAAATACTCAATATTCAACCGAGATTCGCGGTCCCACCCTTTCTCAGATCGAATCATTTTTTTGTTGTAGCAGTTGCAGGGCAGATCCCCGCCACTACTTCAACAGAAGATGGCTCCAACGCATGCCTGGAACAAGCCATATCGAGGTTGCAAGCCACCCCTCTCAGCACTTTTTTTTAAGAAATTCGAAATTTCAATGGTGGAAGATATACTATGGAGAGAATTTCAAAAAGTATGTTTCGCGGAGCGATCGCTCAACCTACGTCATTCAAACTTTGCGGGATGGTTCAGACGTACATGCTAGGCATGGAACCACAGAAGATGATATCATAGCTGACACACAGAGTCACACACACAGCAGATTCGTGTGCACAGATACTAAATTAGTGGACGTCGTCATCTTCTTCCCGCTGATCTCAAATGTACTATGACGCGCTATTTCGCCTGACGAGGCAGAACAACAGAGACCAAAAAGCTTTCTCGTTACTCCGAGCTTCGGCTGATGAGTGTTTTGACCACGAAACTCGGAGTAACGAGAAAGCTTTTTGGTCTCTGTTGTTCTGCCTTGTGTGCTCAAAATATTCAGGTATGGGAGGAAAAGACCTAGTTGGGCGAACAGAATATTCGGGCAGAGAGAAATTTGTTTCGTTATTTGCGAGTTTTTTTTGTATACGCGAGGCGAGGTCTTTACTCATGGGGTTGATAGTGCCTATATGCGTGATGAAAGGTTTGAGCAAGCAAGATGATGCTGAACTTACATTGAGTGGCAGTGTAGCACGTGTCGTGCATGTCAATGTAACGTCCTCCTCCAGTCGGCTTTCCTGACCTGCCAGCGACAGCACTTCTGGTCGTACTGTACGTGGAAGAAGAAAGAAAACACCCACACACACCCACACACACACACACATACACACATGCACACACAGTATGGTTGTGGACATTGAAATCCAGTGAAACATAAAGTGGCCAACAAACTCTGGCCTTGAAGCAGGGAGTACGCATACGGTACACATTCTTGTGACTCTAAAGCAACATAGCAACTTCATGCCTGCACCTGACTCGTGCGCTATGATTCCCCTCAGAATTTCTCACCTTGCTCCCCCTTATGTTCGGGCTGCCCGTTTCGGAGCCATCAGTTGCCTGATGATCGTAGTAATACGTGAAACTCAGAGTTGCGGCACAGCTTCCAATCTCTCTTATGACCCTATAGCATGCTGGTCCATTTGTTCCGTGTGTACGTAACCCACATCACGTGTACGTTAAAGGGGAAGTTAAGGCAAAAATTAAAATTTCACCAGTTGTAGTCTTCGGGGTGCTGAGTCGAATGGTCGTGGTCCGAGGAAGCTGAGACGCTCCCTTCCTACTTGAATCCCAATCGAACTCGCGCACTTCCACCGAAACTGGGTGACTGCGCCCTACGAGATGGGGATTTGTATGCAAAATGTCACTAAAAGCGCCATTTCGTTCATATAAAAGCACGGATGACCGCGATTGGCCCATATGTTGTAGTCTTTTGGACGCTGAGTCGACTGGTTTTGGTCCGAAAAGGCTGCGATGCAGCGTTCCGCCTTTATTCCCAATCGAACATGGTTGAAGAAGCGGTCACGTGCTCCTGCGTACGCCAGTCACCTGGTCACCGTGCCTGCAGGGTACAACTTACTAGCCTGTTTGACCTTTTTTAGGTGCAGTCCTGTCACTCGAGTTGAACTCGAGTTGACCCTTGGTGTGAAAGTTGTCACCTGCTGGAGTGGTGACCAGGTGATTTGGGCACCCAGGAGCACGTGACCACTTGTTCAACCATGTTCGATTGGGAATAAAGGAGGAACGCTGCATTGCAACCTTTTCGGACCAAAACCAGTCGACTCAGCGTCCAAAAGACTACAACATATGGGCCAATCGCGGTCATCCGTGCTTTTATAAGAACGAAATGGCGCTTTTAGTAACATTTTGCATACAAATCCCCATCTCGTAGGGCGCAGTCACCCAGTTTCGGTGGAAGTGCGCGAGTTCGATTGGGATTCAAGTAGGAAGGGAGCGTCTCAGCTTCCTCGGACCAAGACCATTCGACTCAGCACCCCGAAGACTACAACTGGTGAAATTTTAATTTTTGCCTTAACTTCCCCTTTAACTACATCACGTGTACTGTAAGACCAGTAATGTGAAAAACATTTAATTTGAAACTCAGATGTTGAGCCATAAATAAATGTAGAAAGGAAAAGGACATAATTATGTGCCTAGTTATTGCACTTTCTGACTGAACATGTACATGTATATAGTATCCAGTTACAGTGATGGAGAGTTACTCTTAACTCGTATCCATAATATGTCCCTTTCCTTTCTACAAACATTTAATTCTAACGATTTTTTTACGGTTTTTGAAATTCGTTAACGTTAGAAGTCGTTATGTGCAAAACGATATTATGTACATTTACAGTCATTAATTTTGACGGTTTTGAGGCAGAATTCGTTAGAATTCCATCTCGCTAACCCACAAAAAACCGGAGATTGTTAACTTCAATTGACGTTAAAATATCTGATCTCACAGTACGCACTAAGGGCGCCGGCCCCGGTCATTCGATGTCCACAGCTGTAATTTGCCGTTATGTGAATATTTCTATTTTGAGCTGCCAGCGGTTGGCGGCGAACAACACGAAGGAACTACTGCCGTGGACATGGAAATCCAGTCGATTGACCGGGGCCAGCGCCCTCAGCCCGTACAGAACAGTGCAGTGCACAGGCTAGTCATGTTGATCCGATGCGACCTGCGCGTTTCGGCGCATATTACGCATGTGTGTACTGCATGGCTGCATGGCCAGCGCCCTGGGGCCGCTAGACGTGCGACCGGATTTCCATGTCCACGACAGTAGCAGAAGCTATAATTATATGCAAATATTCCACAGGCGCCTGCCCGGGTGTCCAACCCTCATCCTTCAGCTCTCAATTCCACACATGGACTGTTCCTTTGCTTCAGTGTAGACGATGTGCTGCACAATTGCAAACTTTAGCATGCAGGCAAATGGACGTCAGTAGCATTATTTTATTTTTATTTATCGTCTCCACTTCATGGCACATAATAATACATAGCCAATACAAGAAAGGGAGGGTGACTCCAACCACGGAAAATAGCATTATCAAAAGAAGAAAAGTAAGGGAGGTGTCACCATGTGGCAACAATTATGATAGAGATCAATCTGCCAAAGTGGATTTTGGATGCAACGGAATAAATCCGTTGATCCCCGAGCTGCAGAGAGTGCTCATTGTCAGACACAGAGCTTAGCACATAGCAGACTCACCGGAGGACGTTCAGGTTGGTTGTAACTCTGAGTTTCATGCCACTAGGCAATCATCAGACAACTCAGTTGCGTGTAAAATTATATTATTCCGATTTTACGCAATATAATTTTAGTCCCATCCTTATTAGCAGTATTACTTTTGGGTTTTAAAGCTCAACTGATTTATTGTAGACAGTTGTCGTTTCAATGGGAGAAGTGATGACAATACTCACCGTTGATAACCAGCTGAAATGTCCTGGCGGCGGACGTCTCGTTGGTGTCGTTATTTCGTGCCGTACAGCCATACGTTCCGGCGTCAGCCTCCAGCCAGGTTCCACGAACATTGAGATCCAGAGTATTGCTGAAAAATATATTTGAGCCAGCAAGCGTCTCACTTTGCTGTCGCTCCAGTGGGAGCACTTCTCCATTGAACGTCCATCGCAGAACCAGCGGCACGGCTTCATTAGAACGCACTACATCGGTGCAAAGCACGCTAAACCCTACACTGTTATCTCCTTCCACTAAGTTCACCAGCATATCTGTGTCGCTGGCATCAATATCTGGTGTATCCGGAACTTGGCAGAGTACTGCAGAGAAGGGAAGAGGTAGGCAGGCAGGCAGGCAGACAGACATGCAGACAGACAGACAGACATGCAGACAAACATGCAGACAGACATGCAGACAGACAGACAGACATGCCGACAGACTTGCAGACAGACATGCAGACAGACATGCAGACAGACATGCAGACAGACAGACAGACAGACAGACAGACATGCAGACAGACACGCAGACGGACAGACAGACAGACAGACAGACATATAACAGATCACAGTTATACAACGGTTGACAGATAGTATGGAGTGAGAGCTAGAACAGCTATCCGGGAGAAAAAGAATAAAAAGAATAGGAATAGTTTGAAGAATAGGAATACGTTGTGCTCACACATATACATCATCTTCACAATACTCTCCAAACGAACTACAATGCTACAGTGCTACAGTGGAGTTATTGGCACATTGAAAATTATGTTACGCTGTCTACATTATAACTCTAGTGTGGGTAAGAGGTCACCCGGAGAGCCCATGTGATCGGGAATAGACAGCGCATGTCTTTGGGGAGTAAACAGCACATGCGCTACACAATGGCATACAATATACCAGAAAACAAATGTCGCCACAGTGCACACGGCACCACAGGCGCTACTGTGATCTATCTCATATGTCCATGTGCCATAGCCACAAGCGACGGTAACTATGCATACAATATGCTTCACCAAGTCAATTTCGTATCGCAATCCTAGATTGGCTAGGGTATCTCGTAAGGAGACCATAGGTCTGTGGGGACTGCCCTAGAGAAATATGAATAAATACTATACTATGCCATACTACTACATACTAGCAAGAGTAGATAAACAAGAGTGTGCAACTCGCGGATGGGTAGGCCCACGGCGGAATTTTTTGTTGACGTAATCTTTTCGACGACGCACGCGCTGCGAGTCTTTCGGAACGTTTTCCCTCGTGCTCTTCTTGGCCGTCTTCACACTACAAGGTCGGTGCCCAGCACGTGCTCTCACACTGCTCTGCGGCAAAATACGCGTTCTTCTGAAAAAAGGTGACGTCAACAAAAAAATTCCGCCGTGGGCGGGGGTATCTGCAGGTTATGCAGGAGAGATCCGGAGTTGCACACTCTTGTTTATCTACTCTTGCTACTACTGTATAGGTACAAATTTTCGTTTGGAAGTAACTTTCGCTATATTTGTTAGGGGGCACGAAATAACTTAAGTTTGTACCACACTAAAGTTTTTTTTCTGAACGTTTGGGGTGACCGACCTCGACGAAAAGCGAAATTTAGTACGTAACAAGCCCGCTGGTGGAGGGATCTAACGAAAGATTTCGTGAACGAAAATTTATACTTATACAGCAGTTCGAAGTCCATCGCATCATGTGATGACTTCCACATGTGCACAGCCAAACAGCAAGCCCAGTAGCCTACCCTAATCAGATCCTCTTACATCATCATCATCATTATCATCATCATCATCATCATCATCATCCAATGTTGCAGATGTGTGCCAGGGATGGTTTGCAGATGACTCGGCAGCTGCCGGAGGGCTCTCCCCATTGCGAAAGTGGTACAACCTCCTTAAGGAAGAGGGCCAAAAATACGGCTACAACATCAACGAAACAAAAACGCAACTACTCTCAAGCCTGGCTTTGAGTCCTTGGCTGCCGAGACTTTTGGTGACACAACTATCCACGTCAAGTCTCGTGGCGTACAGTATCTGGGCGCTGCTATCGGGACTGAGGCATTCCTCGGAGAATTCAAAGAGACAAAAGTAGAAGAGTGGGTGAAACATGCAGAGATTTTAGCAAATTATGCCGCATCAGAGCCGCATGCAGCATACTCTGCGTTGACCCATGGCTTAGTCAACAGATGGAACTATGTGTTTCGAACTATGTCTGTTTCTGCGGAGGACTTGGCGCCGTTGGAGCGGGAGCTTCACTCCTCACTTCTACCGGAGCTCGTGGGACAACCGAGCGTGCCTCTGAAAGACATTGATATTCTAAAGCTCCCGACACGGGATGGTGGGATGGCCCTTCCGGACCTCACGACTCGACCACGGTTTGAGCACCAGGGCTCCAAGCAAGTGTCCGGACCTATGGTGAAGGAGGTTCTGGGCGATTTCGCTAAGGATAGCGATCCAATTTCTCTCGCTGGAGATGTGCCGGCTTCTGCAGATACTGCTGACCGTGGTGGAGCGTCTCCCACTCCCACGATGACGGCAACGGAGGTGCAGCCGCGGGAGGTCGCTGGCAACTCAAACCCTGGACCGGATGTGGCTGCTGATGTTGCTGGTGCTGGTACCCCCTTTCAGAGGATGATCGATGAAATGCGTCACAAAAAGCGTGTCGTCCACACCGAAAACCGGGAGCGCGCAAAGGCAGCCAGGAACAAAATAGTGGACACGAGCGATGAGATGACGAAGCGACGAATAGAAGAACACACGGAGAAAGGATCATCCTCATGGCTGAGCGTGCTGCCCCTGGCGGAGCATGGCTTTCGTCTCACCAAGCGTGACTTCCGGGATGCTCTGGCATTGAGATATGCATGGCCGCTAGCCAATACACCAGCAACCTGTGTGTGTGGTGAGCTGTTCTCAGTTGAGCATCAGCTATGTTGCGCCAGGGGCGGCTTCCCGACACTTCGTCATAACGAGATACGTGACCTGCTGGCGAGGGAATTGACTGAAGTCTGCACTGCCGTTTCGACAGAACCAGCGCTGCAACCTCTTTCTGGTGAGAGGTTTCCTCTTCGGTCAACGAACCGCCGAGAGGATGCGCGCCTGGACATAGCCGCTCGAGGGTTTTGGACCCGTGGGGAGGAAGCTTTGTTTGATGTAAGGGTATTTTGCCCAGATGCTCCTTCCTACGGGTCCAGAACCCTTCCTGCATTGTACCAGCAGCACAAGCGGCGTAAGTGGAACGAATATGGGCCAAGAGTCACAAATGTAGAAAGAGCCGCTTTCACACCTCTCGTGTTCTCTGTGCATGGTGGTTGTGGGAGGCTGTGCAATGTGTTCCTCAAGAGACTGTGCCAGATGCAGGCCGAGTCATCGGGATCTCACTATTCCCAGGTCATTGGTTTACTCCGCTGTCGGCTGTCTTTTGCTTTGCTGCGTGCTGCTGTGTTGTGCATACGTGGGGCTCGGTCACGGTACCACCATCCGGCGAGATGTTTTCATGATGTCTCGATTGCCGTGGCCGAGTCAGGTCTAGTTTGTTAAGTATCGTGCTGTGTCCTGACTGTGCATGCGGGATTGGTATGGCGCTTACCCTTTTGTTGCTGTTTTGTTGCTTTCATGCCTTTAAGCATGTAATTGTGTTCAATTGTTGTATTTCATGGAAAAACGATCTTTGCGTTGGAGAAAAAAAAATCATAAAAAAAAAATAAAAAAAAATCATCATCATCATCATCATCATCATCATCATCGTAATCATCATCATCCCTTTCTAATCATTCGCCATGCCACTGTCAATTGTATTCTGTTTGCCCGTAAAAGAGGCCATGTAATCATCATCATCATCGTAATGATTTACAGTTTTCAATAATCAGCATTTGCCTCCTCAGACACAAGATCACACGACATTGAGTTGTCATTTCTAACACGTGATTTTCAGATCAGGCTCCGATATATTTCCTCACCGTTTTCACACAGCAGGGGTAGAATCACCAGCAAAAGATGCGGAGAAAAGGGACGAAACGCAACGCTACTTCTTCGCCGCGCCATGGTTGACAGCAAGCGTCTGCAGAAACAAAAGTAAGAAACGTAAGGCGTAAGAGAGAACACTAACACAAGTGCGCATACTGTGCAAGGTGGTCTACAAGATGGATGCAAACCACGCACAGTGATGAAACTGTGCGTGGTTACAATAATTGCTAAGTTTGGGGACGGTCAGCAAAAGTAAAGTGATGACTTAGTTGCTTTCGCGTTGACTGCCCCAAATGAAACATGTTCCTACCTGACAGGTCATCATCCTATTGTACTCCAGTATTGTGCTGCTGAGTCACAGCGGGTGTATCACAGCATCAGGGCGTGTGTACAAGTGAGTTAATTTCTCAAGAAAATTCTATCAGCACATCCCTGCTGGAAAACATGTGGAGAACCCCAGAAAAAGAAAAGGAACAAGACATGCATGGGAGATGTAGGGACGATGTGCTGGGCTGTGGTGGGTGTGTATCATTGCATCACGGTAGGTGTACACCTGAGACGTGTCGGGCGTTTGCTGCCAATAGACATACACGTAACACTGTGCGGCAATGGAGGTTGTCTTATCCGCGTGTTCGACTAGCCGACTTCCGTGAACTACTCAAATGTCTGAATCGGATGTACAGCCTTGCAAGTTGCAAAGACTCGGGACGATAAATCGGCCAAAAGAGTACGTTCAACTCCCCCAGCCCACCCACCCACCCACTCATCCATGATACTTGGGCCACACACACGCACGCATGCATGCACACACGCGCACACACACACACATACACACACACACACACACACACACACACACACACACACACACATGCACACACACATGGAATGGCAAAGTGCACAAACAGCAGTGAGGAATTTGGGAAATTTCTAAAAATAATTATGCAGACATGGCAAACCATTCAGTGCTTAGCATGTACAGTGCGTATCGGTTATAGCGTGGTCGTGTAGAAGAATATGCTGCCTACAAGAATGAACTCTCTTATTCTCATAATCGTAACATGGGTTTCAAGTGCACATTTATTCTTACAAGCAAATTTATTGTACAGTAGAATATATCGGTCCTGAGAATGGACTTTGTGTAACGGAACATGCCTGATTAGTACAAAGTGTATCGCCTGTGGTAATAACATTAGATTCTGTCCAATGCAGTTCTTATCTGACTCGCGTTGCGCCGTAGTGCTGCAGGTTCAGCTGTTGTGGTCATGTAACTCATGTTGGATAGCCACATGGTAAGCCTATGGGACTATGACCAGCCGCATGCATAGTAGCACTACTTTGCATGTACGATGATCTCTTGATTGAGATCCCCCCGATAGGCGTCAGCCTTTGGGTAATCCTGAAATAAAGATTATTATATTATTATTATTATAATTATTATCTTCCTGACTCTGCGCACATGCATATTATGATATGTCACACTTGATTTATCGTGTGTAAGAAATATCGGAAATAAGAATAGAAAGTCGTTTTTCAAACACCCACGCTATAACCGATACCTACTGTATTCTTTACAGTAAAATTGATGCCAAACCCTTCATACTTCTACGAGCAATGCACTGTAACAATAAATTCAATGCCACGTGACATTTGAATTACACCCTCCACAATCCACCACACTTGGTCACCATGTAATACAACAACACACCACACTGTATGTTTCTGACTTGATGACTGTATGTAATTTAAGAGCACATCACCGGCTTCCCAACCAACCCCCTCGCACCCGAAGACAGACAGTGCGGAGTAAATCATGGATACTACCATGACAACTGGACATAGAAATAATTCTATCACGATCATTGTGGATTGGCTTGTGCTTGCAGGACGAAATCCTGTCAGCTGACAGTGATCACATTACAGAGTCTGGTGCAGATTCCAAAGAAGCCACTTAGTCCAGCTACACACATGTGTGTCATGACCATGATGATAGTTTTACACGCGCATGTGTATCTTTTGTGTGTGTGTGTGTGTATGGGAGGAAGAGTGAAAAATAGACTCTTGTGATTCGATCTAAATCAGTCCGTAATAATTTGTTCCACTTCACCGCCCAAGCTACCTAAATGAAGCAACGTGCCTGCGGACGCCGGAAGATGAGTGAAGCCGCTTGGCTCTAGAAATATTTGTTTGGTTATTGTGGAAACCAGCACGATAAATTTGTGAAGCACGGTGGCCCTGTGCTAACAGAACTGGTTATTTCGGACATCGATGCGACAGGCTTCATTCCTGTCGACTCGCAAAGTTCAGAAAACGTCTGACACAGCCGTTGCAAGATGATCTAATGTAACGTCTGCATATTCCGAACTTGGAGTTACAACTCACAATGGCCCACTGCACTGAGGACATGGATGGTGCGACCCTCCGTGGTCTGTCCAAGTGATCGACGAGATTTTACTAACTAGGATTTCCCTTCCGCACGTCGGAAAAAATCGGAAATCTCTCGTCTGTTTTGGTTCTTGTTCGTCGCGAGGGAGTCATAAAAATACCGGCAGGGATAAGAATGTCCACGCTCAAGGACTCTTGACAGCCCGGTGTCCTGTCCTGGATCTGCCGCTCTTGGTTTCCTTGTCCTCTCGGAGTCCCTACTGCCGCAGTGCCGCTCCGACCTCCGAACAGTGCACATGCATGCGTGCAACAGACTCAGTAAAGCACACCACATCCCATCTGGACCTTCTGCGGAAAAATACGCGAACATATGCTCATCAAGGGAACACAAAATCTGGACGACCAACAAAACTGACCATTTCGCAGAATTATTATTAAATTTTCACGAGTGCGTATGCGTGTGTGTGTCCGAAAAGATCTTGAAGTACTGTACTTGAAAGTAACTTTACTTAGTTGAAGGTCGTCAAGTCCAAAGCAAATGGAACACTTCCTGTTTCTCGAGCAGCGCTCAGCCTGCGAAGATTGGCAATCTGCTCCGCACAGACCTGATGAGTGATGTGGGCGATTCCGGCACTGAGTCTGACAAAAGCACCACTACTAGTAGTACTAGTACTAGTAGTACTTACAACGAAGTACAAGGCTGCACAGACTAGGTCATGTTTGGTCGGGAGCAACGCTAGATACGCTAGACTCCGACTCTAAAATGTTTTGTTCGATAACGACACGATGGGAACGTTCTTCGGTACATAGATAAGCAAACCAAGGTACGCGTACACACAGCACCCGTCTTGCTCTCTGATCGCGTTGACAAAACTGTAACATGGTATCGATCAAGAAAAAAAAGATTGTATCGATCAAGCAGTACGTAATGCGTGTGCCTGCCAGAACGGCTCGACACCACAAGTCAATAGACATACGGCCACAGAATGTTGACGAGCATGAAAATCAAAACCGTCAGATACTACTAGTACCTTGTCCTTGGCAAGACATAGGCCTGCCTTGTTCACAAATCCAGCAGGCGCACGAGACACGAGACAACACATGGTGTAGAGCTGGAGGGAGGCCAGTTTCTTTATACCCTTTTCTGAATCGCTCGGGTTTGCCAGCACCTTGAAGACTTCACCAGTTATCCAGCCTTGTAAGTGAGATTCGAAATAGATTACAAAATAGTTACTAACCTATTTTGGAAGGAGCTCCTCTCCCGACAAGCGTCGAACTCTCGTCCGTCCTCCACCCTCGACAATGCCTAGAGGGACAATCCGCCACTACCTTAGAATACTACCGAGGACAGAGCCAAACCATGTACCAGCAGCTTGTCTAAACTGGGCCAGCACAGAAGTTCATCTACCGTGTGCACAGGAAAATGCCGTTCGTTGCTGCGTCGAGCGACAGTTACTGACTTCCTGAACTACTTACTTAGGTCTCAAGCAACACGCAACATTTGAGCGAAGATTTCCAACATTTGACTACGGCGTTACTCCGTTAACACATCTGAGTAGCTTCAAAATGATGGCTGCAGTGGAGGGGAGTCAGAATCTCTCACTACTATCCGGCGGTCCTTTTCGTCCTGTAATAACGATGTCCTCCAACAAAAATCAGTTCCTATTTTACTAAGGTCAAGTAAGGATACAGGATAGGTTTGGCTTGCACTGAAAGGAAGGTCAGGATACGAACAGAAAGTATGGCCTTGCGCTGTCAACGCGTGCATTCGCCCACACCACTGCGGCACTAGCACTGGCACTGCACTGGCCACTTCAGATCAGATCCACATGTATGTAGCCACGTAAACCAGTGATAATCCGATAGCGCACTGAAGTCAGTGAAGATCTAGTGCCGTAGTGGCATTCATTGAACGACGTGGTAGACTGCGAGTAGTAGATCTACGACTACGCAGAGCACAGTTTGTCTTTGTGTGCAGTGCAGTGTGTGAGTGTGACCTCAGAGCAGTGTGTGCGGAGGGCATGTGTGTGTGTTGTGGGGGGGGGGGGGGGGGGTGTTTGCGTTATGGTGCGAGACAGACACGATAGGCGGGTATGCTGCGTATCGTATGTAGACTGAGCACCCATTATTATCAGACAAGTAGTGAGAATGCAATGGGCGATACGAGTGATAATTTTGGGTTGATACGACTACAAAATAGACTGACATACCGGTCAGGACGTATCGATTCGTCCATATTCAAGCTGCCAATCTTCACTCTCTCTCTCTTGGTTTCATGGTGATGCCGGAGCTGATTCGTGCCGTCGGATGGTCAAAACAGAGGGATGCATCACCACAGAGCAGGAACCGTGCATTTGATCCTGCAATGATGGTGTCAGGCGAGTGAAGGAACGCATCTGCCATACACCACGCTGGCACACACACGCACACGCGCACAGACGAAAATCATGTCTACATGCACCATGTCCTGTGCGTAGTTGAATCGCTCACTGCCCAAAGATCTTGGGCACTCGGTGGACGGATCGGTGGCGCGGAAAGTGGTGCGCTTCAATGCCACTGCCCAGCACACGTTGCTAAGCTGTGAGGCTGCATTGAGAGATCTAGCCATCCTGTGCTTGTTATGTGTGTTCAGTTGTGTTGTGTCGACAGCAAGAGACAGCTGACTCTCAAGACCCTCTCCATGAAGTCAATTGATCTCCACTTAACCGCCCACAGAGATTATGGCTTTGAACACAAGTGATTTGTTTCAAACTGGACACAGAATGAGCAAATCCTTAGGACCAAGACTGAAGACGGAGATGAGTCGCACTGCCTTCCATGTACTAGTAAGTACTATTACCAAGTACTAGACGACGCAACCTCAAAGCAGGGAGCATTCAAGAGCGCCCACGCATCATTTTACCGCTTGTATCCTCATAAACATTTCTCATGAAGTATGAACGTACAACGACAACAATACAATCCTCGGGATGAGGAATTCTGCAGGTAAATTTTACCGGTAGTGATAAAAAAAGGTTTATGAATATGAGCAGGAATTCATTGCCAGCATCAGGAAGCATGCGCATCCGGATCCGTACCGTGTGCACCTTCCGCGTAGCTACAACACTCTCTAGCCTAGGTATGTACAATCATGTAGGTCTATTCCTGTTGCCTTTCCGCAGAACAGGAACCAGGTGAGAACAGTAAAATCATGAATGAAGCAGGCCCGCATTACCTTATGTGCAAATACGGCATAAAACTCAAGACATGAATCAGCATGACAACTCACGACGGTGTTTTTATTCAGAAAATCCGCAGATGGTTCGTCTGTCAACAGGCCACAGATGACAATTAAACACAGTTACTCAACCTTTTTAGGACACACGTATGCACATGTGGATACATGTGCAAGTACATTGTATGCATTTTACTTGTGTACGTTTTTACTACAAATTTACACTGTCATGTACCAGACATGTCACGTGACTATTCCATAGGAAACAACCAATGAGAGCGGAAAGCCAAATCCACAGGATTAACTCCTGGGTGTAGAAGACAATCCCACAGGTCACATGATCATTTTCTAATACTAGAGAATTGTAGACCAGCGTGTGTTTGGGGTGGATACAGATATCCCTGCCCGCATTAGAAGTTGAACAGTGTGTTTTGGTGAATTGATGTAAAGGCTCTGAGTCGCAACAAAGCTGCTCCCTCTGTCTCTCTCTCTCTCTCTCTCTCTCTCTCTCTCTCTCTCTCTCTCTCTCTCTCTCTCTCTCTCTCTCTCTCTCTCTCTCTCTCTCTCTCTCTCTCTCTCTCTCTCTCTCTCTCTCTCTCTCTCTCTCTCTCTCTCTCTCTCTCTCTCTCTCTCTCTCTCTCTCTCTCTCTCTCTCTTTCTTTCTCTTTATCTGTCTGTCTCTTTTTCACGCTAAAGAACAGCAGTCATTTTCATTGGTTCTCCTTGCTACTGATAACGTACTATTTACAATTATCCTATCTAATTCCTGAAAAAATGCATTCAGAACACGAGAACTTGCGAATACGAAAAGTAAGAGTTTAGAATCGTAATTGTCGTTCCTCCATTATTTAATACTTTGGATTTCTTTTTACACTGCTTTGTTGTGCACCTGTTGCTATTCACCTTTCGCGTTCTTTCTAATAGAGGATTTGTGTACGAAAAGTAAGAGTAAGGGTCGAATGGCGGGGGGGGGGGGGGGTTGAATGTACCCGTCAACTAATTCTATTACTGCATTGCTGTTTTGTCTGGTGCATTTCGCATTCCTAATATGAATTATCCCTGTGCTGAGATGGCCATGTTTGACCCTTCCAAGCTCTGCTAAATACTGTGCGCGTACCGATTTCAAGAGGCACCGAATGTTGTTTCTTCCCATAGACAGCTGCCATTAGCGCTGGATCGGAATATACATGTACTTACCTGCATATTCGACACAGATGCGAATACACAGAGCTCACAAGATTCCTCGCTGGTGATCAATTTCTCTTGGATGATCAGTCAATCAGTGAATAATTAGCTAGCTGTGTTTCGGGGAATTCGCCCCTCATCAGGTGACCTGGAGAAGGCGAAGATTACAGTGGTGGCCAAAAGTTTTGACCCACCCCATGGTATCGTCAGTACAGCTCAGCCTGGCTCCTAAACACGCCGTTTTTGACTTCTTTGAGGCCAAAGCCGATTGAACTTGGCTAAGGAAGATTACATGTATGTCTGAAGAACATCATGTACATGTACATGTAGTGATCTCTACTCTCTAGGCCAAACCATCACCAGGTCCAGGGATACAAATCCTACAGAGACGCTCCGTTTCCAGCGCGACAAACACCTTGTGAACACCAGACAGCAGTGTGAGTCAGTGTCGTTCCTGGACTGTGAAAACGGTGTGGGGAGCAAACACCTTTCCAACATGTATGAAATCATCGCCGAAGTCGCTACCACTATCCTGAAATAAATGAATACAAATACATGTAATACAAAACACTATTTTCAAGATCTGTGCCCAGCGCGGGCTTGGGACTGGTTTGTTTGGAGGTGACAGCGTTGAGAATGACCGAGGGCGAGGATCGTCATGAGTTCAACGTCTGTTCTCATCGTCCGTGGACGACACTGACTCACGCTGCTTACGGGTGTTCACGAGGTGTTTGTCTCGCTGGAAACGGAGCGTCTCACTCTCTGGACTAGTTTTGTACATGTACATGTATCCCTGGTGATGGTTTAGCCTGGAGAGCAATACGTCAATAGTCAATATAGTCATGTACAGTCGACCTACCCTTATAACGATAACCTCTATAACGATATTACCCTTATAACGATATTTTCTGCCAAACCAAATCACTCCATTGACTTGTGCATACAATGCCTTACCTCATAACAATATTGCTATAACGATATTACCCCTATAACGATAAAAAATGGGCTGACCAATCGACATTTTCCATTTTATAACAATATCTAGCAGGGAATAATGTAGAGCCCACTATCCAGGTAGGGCAAGCTTCACTTGATAAGTCGCTGGGACATGACGAAATGCAATGGGGGCACCAGTGGGCACCTTGCTGTGTACATACTGGGCATCTACGCCAGTTTTTTATGCTATGAAGAGTGTAAAAAATGAACAAATCCATGAATTATGACGTATGTGTATGAAATGAGCCAGTTACCCATATAGCAATATTACCCTTATAAAAATATTTCTTGGTGTGACGCAAATATCGTTATAAGGGTAGTAGGCCTTGACAGATTATGCTAGCATAATTTTTCGCATAATTCCTACCAAAATCGAATAATCGCATAATTCGAGGCAAATTGCATAAATTGGAATAATCCGCCTGTTCGCATCAAATTCGATACAGTTGTACATGTTCTACAAGTACAAGTACAAGTAGATCATACTAGATGCACCAGGAAGTCGTAGGTTTACGACTCCTTTGATAACATGTCCCATCCACTACAATCAGTGACGGTCGTAGCTTGGTCGGACGGTGCGTTGACCCCGACGAACTTTTGCTACTACAGTACAACGCCCTCTCCAAAAAATTCCCCTGTCATTTTGCATGCACAGAACCATCATATACATGTACACTGTACCTGTACATAAGCAGCATATGTGAGCATAATTTGATAAGTTTTAGCATAAAAATAGCATAATCCTGCAATTTTTTCAGCAATGCGAAAAGCATAATTTCACGAAAATATAAGCATAATCTGTCAAGGCCTAAAGGGTAGGTCGACTGTACATGTATTGTACATGTAATTGTTAATGCTGGTTTACCAGTGTTGGATTACATCATAATAGTGTACATGTACTGTCGCGGACATGGAAATCCAGTCGATTGACCGGGGCCGGCGGCCTCAGCGCGTACAGAACAAAGTCGTTGCATGCAGCGCACATGTTGGTACGATGCGACCAGCAGCAGCGCGTGATAATGCATGCCATGGCTGCATGGCCAGCGCCCTGCGGCCGCTAGACGTACGACCGGATTTCCATGGCCACGACAGTAGGTGGTGCTCTTCAAACATAATCTTCATCAGCCTACTCAAGCTGAACTGGGGACTTGGGGAGGAAGAGGGGTGAATTCCCCCCAACACAGAGTACAAATTTTAGCAAGGAGTGGTGCTTTCTGGCAGGTTGACTGAGTGGAAGGTTCGATGGACTTCTTGTATGCTCTGCAGGGTGGCAGTTGCGAATCACTGACGTGCCAACTATTACCACTGATTACTACCCCCCAAGCCAGGTCAGCGGGAAAAGCGCGAGCTCAGGGAGTGGTCATTTCTTCCAGATTTTCTGAGTAGAATACTAGTAGCCCTTGGTGGATTATGCCGGCATAATATTTGGCATAATCTTGGGATTTCGTCAAAAATTATGCTCCGGCCTAATATAAGGATTCCAACGTGTAAGGTCGGCATAATCTTTCGGGTTTAGACAAAAATTATGCTTAGGCAAGTTAGTTAGGGCAAGAGTACATAACCCCCCAGAGTGTGCAACGCCTGATCCAGCTCTGGATAGGGTCTTGGTCGAGCGGAATCGGATCTTTGCGTCATAATACCGTACACATCTGAGGGGAACCCTGGGAGTCGCGGGTACTCTTGGATCAAAAACAATGGTCCCCTGCCTCGAGACCGGCCTTGCGCTGGTGTGGAGTGTATATGTACGCATGACATCAGAAAATCCGATTCCGCTCGACCAAGACCCTATGCAGAGCTCGATCGGCGTTGCACACTCTGGGGGGGTTATGTACTCTTGGTTAGGGGCATAAAACAGCTTTGTCAGAAAGCCTGCAGATGTTTTTGTTTTTTAAATACCCCAGTTACGACTCCTTGTCATAGCCCTTGGCGGATTATGCCGGCATAATATTTGGCATAATCTTGGGATTTCGTCAAAAAATTATGCTCTGGCATAATATACGGATTCCAACGTGTAAGGTCGGCATAATCGTTCGGTTTAGACCAAAAATTATGCTGAGGGCATGGCCGTGTGTGTATGCGTGGTTTCTCAACCCTCTATGTTCAGCGTGAATACATACTGGAACCGAACATAATTCAGCGTAATTCAGAATATTTGTTGGCATAATTGTGGCATAATCAAAAGCATAATTTGACGATTGGCCGAGCATAGTCCGCCAATGGCTAGAGTAGAAGGTTCGATAAAGGTCTCTTGAGCCCTGGATGGTGATCGTGAACATGGTTGAAAAAAGGTGTCAAGCCAGATCGGCGGAAAATGCGCGAGCTCCAGTTTGGGGAGCAACCAATTTCCTAATAAAATTGTCGCCGAGATCGCTAACACCCTTCGAACTTTTAGCCCTTTTATTCGTTACAAAATTGTATAAATGAGCTGCCCTCAAAGTGGAAGCTCACGCTTTCGGTCCCTGAGCACGGCTTGATAGATTCACGACTGCCAAATAGCCCTTGGCCTTGGCGGATAAAGCCAGATTCTGCTCGAGTCATGCTTCTCTCAGATTTTCACAACTGCTTGACATTTGCACCTGCAGTGTTGCCACATCATTAATATAGCCAAATATCAGCAGTATGAAAAAAAAATGCATCATCCGGGGCTTTGCCCCCGGACCCCCCCCCCCCCCCTCCCTTCAGGGTAACCCCAATACACATGCACACGCACACGCGCACTCGGAACTGTTATGAAAACCTTTCACGGCTTTATTATTATTATTATTATTTCACAATCACGATAACATAGTGCCAATAAGCATGTGATGTGGGCGATTTTAACCAGCCATGGCTTTGTGTGAGACTCAGGCTGAGTTTAAGGGCTTGAAAGTGCTACGTCACAGCATAGCAACAATTTCAAAAATTCAAAAATTGGATCCACTTGGATCCAGTTTTTGTATGGATCCAAGCACATTTCAAGCCGTCTTACTCTCAGCAAGGTGATGTAACCAGTGAAACTGACTGATTTGGCTACTGGGGGCGGGGTTACAACTGGTGGCGAAATAAAAGTCACACCTGCATGCGACATGAGTGGGTTGCTATGCACCCACATACTTAGGCAATAGCAAAGGCGGCAAAGTCACACCTTAGTGGATCCAAATCTGATGTCAACTTACTACTCCCTGGCCGTTTTGACGTCATCACTTTCAAGCCCTAATCCCAGACAGCTGATGATTCGCTAAGCACCTTAGGAATGAGCTATGGAAACACTCGTCAAAAGCGAAAATCTGGATCATTTTTCTTCTTCTTTTTTTCTGAATACCACAGAACCATCAGATGCTGCACAGCGGGGGCGGTGGCATATTGGATGGAAGTGGGGACTTCAAAACCAAGCACAAGGTCAAACTAACTACTTGGACACTTTCATGGCTGTTGTCGGCAGGAGAAGGTCAATTGTCTGCAGGTCATGACACTTGACGGGCCTCAAAAATCAGCACGCTACTGACCTGTCGGCAGGTGTGGCATCCCAGACCTGACGTCAACGATACATGTAACGTCGTTCCTGTCACAACAGAACTCCGAGTCCAAAAGCCGAGGCGGCGGGGGCGACCATGACCAGTAGGCACACATGACTTGTAAAATCATACAAAACGATTCATTATTATTCAGCTCACTACTCAGCTCACTGTTCTTCCATTCAAGTGCAACGACTTTTCACGGATTGCATGCGCTATGCAGTAACATAGTGAAGCTTCAGATTTTCTGCGTTTCAATATTTTCATGCGATGATTATTGATTTGTAAGGATTCTGGAAGCTTTCTTCCGGTGCTGGAAGTATTAGTATTACTTGGAAGCTGGAACGACTGCATATATATCGCGTACCGGTGGAAGATGACAGAATAATAATACAGAACAAGATATGAATCAGAGTATCGTAGCGAGATACCGGTAACATTTCTTGGTTGGCATCGTGCAAGTCAATGCAGCCTTACTACTGTGCCATTCACAGCATGCGACACGCTGCTAGCTGTCGTTCCTAGACACACTCTTAGTACTTTCTGTTCCGCATGTTCTATCTTGACTAATGGCCGGTAAGTCCATAGCAGCGAACGACTGCTACTAGTGCTACTAGGTGCCGAGCAGCTTCTAGCTAGGTGCTCTGGCTGCTGAGTGCTGTGTCTATGGGAGCAATTCACTAGTTCAGGTCGGAGGAGATCAGGCGAGAGGTTTGTAGGCGCTGTAGATGTACATGTACCTCCAGTACGCTGGCAAAATAGCTCAGAGCGTGGCTCACAACATTTGTGGCAATTACTGGCAGTGTAGGCTGTAGTTGTATCGTCTTCGCTCCGTTTTGGGCTCGAAGAACGGTAAGCAGAGTTTGGGACCGCTCAATTTGCGTGTCGCGACCACGCAAGATATAATAATTATTACCGGTATGCGAAACTAAAAACCAAACGCTCAGGGTTTGGGCTTCCGACTTTTGAGCCTTCGTCGTTGTGCTGAGACGTATTTTTGTTAGTTTGTTAGGAATGCATGTGTATTTGACCCGCTGTGCATCTGCACAATGTCAATGGCGATGGAACGAATATCAGGCGCCCTCCGTAAATGGATACTAACGTTACGCATCCGCTGGAGACGTTTCACACGTCGTTCCGTGGATAGGACTAATCAGATGGCTTGTAATCGGTCCCCAATTTTCTTCTTTTCCTGTTGGTCACACTCGCAGATGCGGACGCGCAACAATGGCACAGCGACGACGTATCACAGTCTCCTCACACCGTTTACTAGTGTGCCCTCTCATCCTATCGCTGATTTCGCTTGACCTCGGTAAGTGCTGCAGCAAGAGTCCACAACCAGGAGTACCAGTATACAAGTACATGGATATGACTGTGATTATTATTTTAGGAGAACATTTACTTCAATTGAGACATGAATATTTTGGCAGCAAGGAGATCACTGACTTCCTTTGGCCAATAATTGGTGATGGTACCATGGTGTACGGTGTAGGGTTTTCCTCGCTATGAAGTTCCTGCATTGGCACATTTTCCAAAGGAAAGATTTTTCTGTGCGCTAAAACAATTTTAATTTCAGTGTCATACACCTGCTGAGTGTCAGGCTTAACGTTGAGCTAGGCGACCAGCATCTCCCTACACTCCTGTGCATTTTAGGTGTAATGTGAACTTAGTTGTCGGGTTTCTCTACCAAAATTACCGCCATTAAAGTCACACCGAAAAAAACGTGTGAGACGGTGTGCAGCGGTGATGTATTTTCTATGGACCAGTTGAATAGCATGCTCAGGGGTGTACACCAGATCTGGTGGGAGGGAAATTCTCCAATGTTTCTCCTCTCTCTCTCTCTCTCTCTCTCTCTCTCTCTCTCTCTCTCTCTCTCTCTCTCTCTCTCTCTCTATCTATCTATCTATCTATCTATCTATCTATCTCTATATCTATCCACTCAATCTGCGGACAGAACTGTTTCGTCCTTTGTGGACTCATCAGCGCAGCACAGAGAAAATGAGGCCGAACATGTATATATATTTTCCAAAGCCAGATTTAAACCAGGCCCGAATGTACCTTGCCAGAGTGCTCAAACTGACAAGTCAGTGAGCTCTGCATAACGCAAACAGCAAAGGCACTACCCCACATGGGAGTGCTCAACTGCTACGAGAGCAGGAGCAAAATACTCGATCTGCAGACAGACCTGTTTCGTCCTTTGTGGACTCCTCAGCGCAGCACAGAGAAAATGAGGCCGAACCTGATAGCAATAAAATATAAAATTTCCAAAGCCAGATTTAAACCAGACCCGAACGTACTTTGCCAGAGTGATCAAACTGACAAGTCAGTGAGCTCTGTATAACGCAAACAGCAAAGGCACTACCCCACATGGGAGTGCTCAACTGGTACAAGCTATCTAGTATCTACCAATCTATCTATCTCTCCTTGCTCTCTCTATCTATCAATCTCTCTCTCCTACACAATGAGGAGGAAGAAAGTGGAGCTATCTGGCTCCAACAAGCAAGTTGAACCTGAAGAGGGGGTAGAGGGTGTTGTAACTCCACATTTCATGTACAAGTAGACGATCTTAAGACAACAGGCATGAAACACTCTATTGGACAGCCTGCAACCTTTCTGTCCTATCTCTCTTCCTTCTCCTTCCAGTACTCGGCTGGGGACCCGCTGCACCACGTATTGATAGCAGAGACACAGATCTGTTGGTGAACTTAGTGGAAGGAGATAGCAGTACAGGATTTACTGTGCATTGCCAAAAATCGTTACGGGTCGATGGAGCCGTGCCGCTGGATCTGCGGTGGACGTTCAATGGAGAATTGATCCCTCTGGAGCGGCAGAAGATTGAGACAGTCAATGGCAGCAGTCACGTCTCTTACACTAATACTCTAGATCTCAACGTGCGAGGCACGTGGCTGGAGGCTGATGCTGGAACGTATGGCTGCTCCGCGCGAATCACTGGCACCAACGAGACGTCCTTCCCCGGAAAATTTCAGCTAGTCGTCAATGGTGAGTGTGATCGATTGACACTGCTTGCTATCTTAAAAGAAATTGCTGAATTTGATGAGTTCTCGCGTGTAATCCCCGTGTGTGAAATGCATATGTCCAGACACCAGAAGCATGAGGTAGATGGCCTGTTCGAATGAAATGCGTCCAATCGGATGTGATCATGTTTTTGTTTTACTTTGCGGTGTTTCTTATGGGACGTTCTAGTGCAGTCAGTATCAGTGAAGCTTCTCTGGAAACAGCCATAGTTTGTTAGACGATGGTTTTCAACGTGTGTTACTGCTATGGCAACTAGAGAATCCTTCTCTGTTAGGAAAGCTAAATGCATCAACTTTTCCCCTCATTCCCAGTCTGAAGAAATGCTCTCTCTTCTTGTTGTATGTATTGCTGTGTGTGTGTGTGTGCATGCATGCGTGTATATGTACGTGTGTGCGAGCATGTAAATGTGTGTTTGTGTGTCTGCCTTTCTGTATGTCTGTGGTTGTATAATGATTGTGAGGATGTTTGTACATGTGTACGTGTGTGCGTGTGTGTGTGTGTGTGCATGTGTGTGTGTGTGTGTGTATATGCGTGTGTGTGTGTGTGTGTGTGTGTGTGTGTATGTGTGCACGTGCACGTCTGTGCAATCATGTACATGTACAGTACGACCTGAAGTATTGACACTGGAGGATGCGCAGGTTGGACTGCAAGAAAACGTCACACTGACTTGCACTACGCGTGCTACGCTACCTCTCAATGTGAGTCACACTTTAAGAGCAGCTGTATACACATTCTATACTCACAACACCTAGTTCACGATTATCCCAGGAGTGGATATGAAGGCCCGTGCCCCATCCACAGTGCTACAGGTAGTCCCCAGCCTGGTGTGTAGTGTCAATCATACCTGCTTAGGGCGCGGCACATCTGTGACACTGTCCGATGCAAGCAATGTTAAAGGGGAAGTTAAGGCAAAAATTAAAATTTCACCAGTTGTAGTCTTCGGGGTGCTGAGTCGAATGGTCGTGGTCCGAGAAAGCTGAGACGCTCCCTTCCTACTTGAATCCCAATCGAACTCGCGCACTTCCACCGAAACTGGGTGACTGCGCCCTACTAGATGGGGATTTGTATGCAAAATGTCACTAAAAGCGCCATTTCGTTCTTATAAAAGCACGGATGACCGCGATTGGCCCATATGTTGTAGTCTTTTGGACGCTGAGTCGATTGGTTTTGGTCCGAAAAGGCTGCGATGCAGCGTTCCTCCTTTATTCCCAATCGAACATGGTCGAACAAGCGGTCACGTGCTCCTGCGTACACCAGTCACCAGGTCACCGTGCCTGCAGGGTACAACTTACTAGCCTGTTTGACCTTTTTTGGGTGCAGTCCTGTCACTCGAGCTGAACTCGAGTTGAACCTTGGTGTGAAAGTTGTCGCCTGCTGGCGTGGTGACGAGGTGATTTGGGCACCCAGGACCACGTGACCGCTTGTTCAACCATGTTCGATTGGGAATAAAGGAGGAACGCTGCATCGCAGCCTTTTCGGACCAAAACCAGTCGACTCAGCGTCCAAAAGACTACAACATATGGGCCAATCGTGGTCATCCGTGCTTTTATAAGAACGAAATAGCGCTTTTAGTAGTGACTTTACTCCCTCGCACCCAGACGCTGATTTTTTGGGAACAAGTTTCTATACTTCCGATGGGAGAATCCGACATGGCAGTGCATTTCGGCGTGGCCAGGTCAAATTGTAGAATATCGCATCGAGTGAATTGCTTTATCTGAGAGAGGAGATGTTCGTGCCCTTGAGACCCGAAGTCCCGTTTCCATACGACAAAATTTAGGAGCTCTGCGCTCAGCGCTTTTTCAGGGTATGAATTTCGGGTTGTTCTGGTCGGGTCGCAGCGTCGCGGACTATTCCATCGTCTTCAGCGTCGAAAAAAAAACTACTGGCCATGTGAAATTACAAGGCGGTGAGACGCTTTCGTCTTCCTCTACGAGCGAATTTGTTCTGCGCCAGCATACCTAAGTATGCAATTTCGTACGCGCAGTTCGAGTGACGAGGCGTGTGCACTGTACACTGTACTGCATGCACGGACTGTGCAGTCGTTCTCGATTCTCCCATCGCTCCCATTCATTTCTGTTTCCGCAAAAGTCCAAGTTGGCGCACTTCAAATGACTATAACTCAAGAATGGCTGGGCCGATTCGAATAATATTTACAGATTTCCTATGTACTACGCCTGGGAGAATCGAATGAGACCAAAATCGAAGCGATCGGAGCAAGTTTTGGAAATTGGGTGTAGTCACTACTTTTAGTGACATTTTGCATACAAATGCCCATCTAGTAGGGCGCAGTCACCCAGTTTCGGTGGAAGTGTGCGAGTTCGATTGGGATTCAAGTAGGAAGGAAGCGTCTCAGCTTTCTCGGACCAAGACCATTCGACTCAGCACCCCGAAGACTACAACTGGTGAAATTTTAATTTTTGCTTTACTTCCCCTTTAAACGTTTTTAACACATCAATTTATCAGTCGGGGAGATGTCCTATCTAGGACATCGCACTCTGAATGAGTCTGATTGGTTACCTGTCCCAGAGTTGTCATGGAAGCGTCGGTCGCGCACACGCGATGAAAAGAAGTGCTGCGTGAGCATTTCTGAATGTATGTGGAGGATGCACGATCGTAATGGCGATGGATTTCTTTCCGAATTGGTCAAGTTTGAGGGAATAGGCGGAGAATATCAGACATCGGCGGGGATTGAGGTAGTGTATATTCGATTCTCCATCGAATACCCGACCGAATGGCCGTTTTCGTTTGGGGATTTCATGTGGGGTTTCTCGTAGCCACGCGGCGCTTCTTTGGAAACGATTGGTTATTATTTTGAATATTTTGCCTTTGGAATGTTTCTTCACGCCCCGTGCGTTCATTTCGCCCCAAAAACTGGCCATGCAGAGGAGGAAGACGAGGCAGCAGGCGCTAGGCCCGTAAATTACTGCCTGGAAGATAGTATTTGGCCAAAGCTTGCTGTTGGCGTTTTTGATTTCTTGGATACGACAGCTCTTGGCTAAAACTGGACCTTGGACGGTCTTTCTTGGATATCACCCCAGGACGTGGTGGTCATGGACGTATCGCCATCGCTTTCAGCCAGATCCTTCTGCTGCCTGAAACCAATGGCGAAAGTAAAAACTTTATCGCAGCAGCAGCTACTGCTCTGCTGAAAGTGCGAACACAAATTGCTTCGCCAATCCTCTTGTGCACTTGCAATTTTCAATGCGACCAAAACGATTCGCTTGCCAGTTCATTTGTCCAGGCGTACTCCACAACGAGGAAAATAAAATTCGTGAAGGCAAGAGGCAAGAAACGAATCTCGACTCGCTTGAGGCAAGCCGCCAGGAGAACGACAACTAATAATAATTACTTTTGAGACGAAAGGCCTTCGTTGCGTAGTGCGAAATGTTCATCTTCCTCGGACGCGACACAAAGTTTTGAGTCACGTGTCACGATTACTATGGGAACAGCATAGTATGTATGCTGGGGCATGCTGGGTTCCGTGATGTCCTATCTAGGACATCACCAGGACTGATTTATTGCTCATAGATTTGAGAGAGTTGAAAGCGGGAAAAATCTGAAGAAAAAAAATTGACTGCCACCACCAGGACTCGAACCAGTTACCACGGTTACGGCCACCGATTCTCTACCATTAAGCTATGGTGTAGTCGTCATGGCAACGGCGACATTTTCTTGCTATTTGTGCGTTCTACGTTACCTGCTGTGCAGTTTACGTGGAGTCGAGGCAGCACCGTTCTGGAAACAGCAGCTAAAGTGAACAACAACACTAACACGTTCACGCTGACCAATGCCAATCGCGCAGATGCAGGCAACTATACATGCCGTGCAAGCAACCGCTTCGGCAGTGCGAGCGATTCAGCAGTCGTCAATTTGATAGGTGAGGCTTTGGGCTACCAAGTGTTGATGTCGTATCTCAAGATATGAATGTTGGCGAAAGTGGTTCAACTTTTCGGGGGAGGTGTGTGTGTGTGTTTTCCGGAGCTGCGGAAAGGTTGCGTAGAAGGTGTATACGTGCGTCCGGGAGGAGGGGGTTGAGGATGTTATCTGTGCATTGAGTGGTGTGTATTGAGGGGGGGGGGGGGGGGAGGGCTGCAACTGTGCTTTGCTTCCGGGTAACGGATGCTGAAGATGGGACTGTACAATCATGTGGAAGGGGTGGGTGGCGGGGGGGGGGGGGGGGAGGGGGCGGTGTACTGCATAGTCATGTGATATGTACTGGCGACGGACCCCCCCCCCTCCCCCCCCCCCGACACCCCCCCCCCCCCCCCCCACCCACACACCCCCCCCCCCCACACACACACACATACACTAGTGGTGAGTTGAAATTCTTCTCTGCTTTTCTTTCATGCAGCTGCTCCGGATGCACGCCCATCGATTTCAAGAATTGTGCCTATTTTTCTCGGGTCTCTGCAAATAGAATGGACCGTGAGTGCCAGTATACCAGTATACTGTTGCTCATGTTCTGATCCAGTTTTCTTGCAATGGCACATACACAAGCACTTTGTGTGTTTTCAGTCGTGATTTTCTCGTATGTTTAACGAAGCCACCGCCCCCCCCCCCCCCCCCCACACACACACACACACCACATCCCCATCCCATCTCCGTCTGTCAATCTTCAACCATGTACCAAGCAGAAACCTGCATCCATCCATACATCCCCAGCCCTTCCATCCACCCTGTCACCGACACCAACACACCGATTGATCAAAGTTACATACGTTTTTGCCTGCGTGTCTGGCTTTCGTCCTCTCCCCACAGGAAATTCCCCCTGAGTACATATTTGGTGTATTTTCTCGTCTGCACGTTTGGTTTTCATCTTCTCCCCACAGGGAATTCCCCTGAGTCATTTTACGGCGCTCTTGTAGTCTCCGTGTTTGGCTTTCATTTTCTCCCCCAGGGAATTTCCCCAAGTACATATTTGGTGTTTTCTCTCTGAACGTTTGACGTTCATCTTCTCCCCACAGGGAATTCCCCTGGAGTCAGCATTTGGAGACCTTCAAGGCTACACGATCGCTTACACTACCATCAACTGCAAGCAGTGTGGCATTTGCGGGCGCTCGCTGTGCGAGAGCAACGGGTCTATTGCCACCGATGCGAAAGAGCCGCTCCGGCATGCGCTGCGAGGACTGCATCACGGCACGAAGTACTCCGTCACGGTTGCGGCGCATAACAAGGCCGGTACTGGACCCCGCAGCGCGCCGCAGACTGCGTGGACTAACCGAGCGAGTGAGTGTTGATCATGGCCATGATCACCTTTTTAAAATATTTATTTTTTTGTTGTTATTGTTGAGTTGTATTCTAAAGATGAACTCGGATGATGGGCCAATGTAATCATGGATGGATCACGGATCAAAATAAGAAAAGAGAGAGGACCATATGTTTACAAGTTATCCGTTAATCCTTGACTCTCCATCCGAGTTTAAATCATGGATCATCATGGATAAATAAATCATGGATAAATAAATCATGGATAAATAAATCATGGATCATCATGGATAAATAAATCATGGATCATCATGGATAAATAAATCATGGATAAATAAATCATGGATAAATAAATCATGGATAAATAAATCATGGATCATCATGGATAAATAAATCATGGATCATGTCCTGCTTATATTTTACTTCGCCAATTGCGCGGGCAGTTCTCTCTGCCTTTTGCAATGCTAGGATGCCCGTTTCTATCTTTCGAAGTTAGTTCCGAATCCACGAACCCAGACTTATGTGTAGATTTGCGTAATGCACGGCTACTAGTATCATGCACATATGGAAGAGATTGGTCGTTTGCGTACACTGCATGGGCTGTTGTGGGAAATGTCATGTAATGGCGGCGAACTACTGTTCATAAAGAAAATCATGTTTAGTGTGCATGTAAATGTGTTTGACCTCTCGCGAACGAGCTACACTAAAAATGATGCGTACGTTTCTGACGGAATGGCCGTCATGGTCAATTTCTCCACCTGCATGTGTGGCTTCAATATCACGAAAAGCCGGTCCTGTGTTTGGCTGTTTGGTTGTCTGACTGTCTGCCTGTCTGACTGTGTCTCGGGCTGTCTGGCTGTGTCTCTGCCTGTCTGGCTGTGTCTCTTCCTGTGTCTCTGGGTGTCTTGCTGTCTGCCTGTGTTTGCTGTGTCTCTGGTTGTCTGTCTGTCTGTCTGTCTGTCTGTCTGTCTGGCCATGTGCTGCATGGGGTTCTCATTGATCTATGTAGCACCCGATGCACCCAAATCGCTTCAAGCCAGGCCGGAGCTGGGCGCCCGTGGAATACGAGTGACCTTCACGCCGCCACTGCCCAAACTCGGCGGCGGCATCACACGCTACGAGCTCACGTACGTGTCTCTAGAGCCGGGCCACCAGTTTGTTCCCATCACACACAGCATCAGCCGGTTTTCTAGCCGTCGAGCTACCGTCCGGTTGCGTGTGCTGGGGTTGCAACGGCTGACAAAGTACCTCTTCACAGTGCGTGCCGTCAATTCGTACGGCCGTGGTCAACCTGCGACTATCGAAGGCACTACAGAAGGTAATTCTTAAAGCATTAAGTTTTTTTTTTATTGCATGGCAATTCCAAGCTTGAATCTCTCAAGTATCAACAGCTGGCATACCAGTACTCACATGCCCCAGCTATCAACCAGGTTTCATTCTTTGTCATCAATGATCATGTGATCAAGAGTACATGGTCCCCAAACCTGTCTTGATATACAGTCGTCCCTCTCTAATCCGGCACCTTTTGCTACGGCATTTTCTGCTGGATTAACGAGGGTGCTGGATTAAGAAATCCTGCCCTCTGACCCGACCCTACCCAATTGCATGCATGTATCATACGTCAAAACGCAGGGTTTTTCCGTGTCGACCCCAGTATTTGGTGCACGGCTTTATATTCTCAACTTTTCTCCAGGAATATACACAGTGATAAAGTAAAACAGAGAACATGTTCACATGTATACGTACTCTTGCACACACACGCACAGTCGATTTACGACTGCCGGATTATGAAATCAAACTACGTACAGTTTGAGCGATTCGTTTCAAAAAGTCACTGCCGGAGGTGGAATTCAAGTGCCGGATTAAGATGTAGGAATTGAACGAAAAATATCGGTTTCGTCAGAAAGTGCGCCGGTTGGCAAGGGTTCCGGATAAACAAGTGCCGGATTAGAGAGGGACGACTGTATTTAAAACCTGGTTAATACACTTTTACTTATCCTTGGAATAATGGGCATAATTATGAATGTGTTGCTTTACTGAAGATCTCAGAACCATAAATTCACCCGATGTGAACAACTGTAAACTTTCCATCACTGACCAAGAATTTGTGTTGTCTCGCTCAGCGTTCCCGGTCATCACTTCCCCGCCAAGCATAGTGGAGCTTCGGCGCGGCGCCACGGCCGTCCTGCGCTGCACCAGCAAGGGCACGCCGGACACCCTGGTGTACTGGGTGACGCCGTCGCTGCCGTCGCTCGACGCCAACCTGCGTCTGGTGGACGTGAAGCCGAGCGATGCTGGAACGTACGAGTGCAAGGCGAAGAACAAGTGGGGTGAAGACACCCATGTGACACGGATCATAGTACGCCGTAAGTTTACAAAAAAATTCACGCTTCACTTGAGACTCGGTTGTTTCAAATCTTTATTCTCACGATAGCCAGTGGCCAATAAGGTTGTTGTTGTTGTTGTTGTTGTTGTTGTTGTTGTTGTTGTTGTTGTTGTTGTTGTTGTTGTTGTTGTTGTTGTTGTTGTTGTTGTTGTTGTTGTTGTTGTATACTTTATTTATAGTGGAAATCAAAACAGGCATAATGCCTTATAACATTGGACCCACTGTGAATAGAATTTTAATGGCTATTGTGGAAAAGTAGAGATAGGAAAAAGAAAGAAAGGAAAACGGAAAGTTGGTTGTAACGAACAGATATCAATCCAGTGAGCTATGGAAAACCTACATAGCTGATACTGCAAGGCTTGAGATTTGAGATCCAAATACCTATTTGAACATTTTGCTGCTGATGGCAATCTATTCCACATAATGGCTCCAGCGTGTGTTACGCGCTTAGCAGAACGGTTACGCGGAGGTTTCAGCATCTGTAGGAACCCCACCACCATGCTAGGATCAAAGCGGCGCAGATGCAGCTCCTAGAGAGGTGGGCTAGTCTACTAGTGGGGATCTCAGCGCGTGAACTGCGCAGCCAGTCTGCGCAGGTGAGATTTCGATCCCAAACGCGTCCAGTGCAGAAACCGTGGAAAAGAAAAAAATTCGAAATAAATCAAGTTGAAGAAGACGGTAGAAATGGCTGAATGTTGCGTCCAGGAAATCGACTGTCGCCATTTTCTGCTGTGTCCGCGAGCTGCACTCAAAACTCGATGACGCAATGTATGCGGAAACACCCTGCGCACTGCACGCGCTGAGATCCCTACTACTTGTCTCCCATCACTTCAGGATGTGTACAAGCACGCCGAATAATTACAACTGAAATAGCAACTGTTCGTCCTCCCGTTTGTGTATTCTGCTCTTTGCTCTCAGCAAATTGAGAGCAATGTTTCGAAGTGCTCTGCCTGGACGTGCGTGCAACGATTTCATTTTACACCACTTTCCAGTCTACTCAACCACACAGCATCATGTGTTGCATGTGGCACCTTGATCCGGATTGGTGAATGGGTCAATTATGCTGATTCTTGCACGAGTCTGTCATCAAACTTTGGTGCATGCGGAGTCGATTCCTGTGGCTGGTACTATTCAAGGAAGACATGCTGTACTATAGTAATGAAATCCAAAGCAAAGTTTCTTCGTGCCTTTGCCGTGGCTTCTACTGACCCTATGAAGTGTTTATAGGAAAGAAAAGAACCAAGGAGCTACAATTTACGCTCCAATCAATAACTGGTGATTTTTGTTTTGTATTTATGGATTTTCGACAGGCCTTAGCCTAAATCGAGGGAGTCTCCATCAACAGCTTATGAAGAAGAAGAAGAAAAAGCTGAGGAGAGAAATAAAAATAAAGGATTTAGCAGACATTAAAGCATAACGTGCAGACCCTTGGTCCTCATTTCTCTCTTAGAAATTAATCCTCGGCTCTCCATGCGAGTCTAGATACGCAGGGATCGATTTATCCGGGTTTGCATCGCAGTTTGCGAACCGAAATTCACTGACTGCGATTCGCTTTTCGTTTTTTATCGCCCACAACTGCGATGCACTGGCCACGCGACTGGCATGTACAGAGACCATAACTGTACTGATTGTGTGCAGTTTACATGCGACTGTTGTGCACACTGCTGATTAGGCCTGTCCTGCTCAGTCCGCGCAGCTCAGGGTCGCGGGTCGCACTCTGCATGATTATGTCCACTGCACTAGTACTGGTCGTACATGACTGCAGCCTTTTGAAGTTTTGTACGCGGCGGCGACTTTCCCTGAAGTTAGTTCTCCTTGCTTCTTTCACTGTCAAGCTCAATGCGGTTTGTTTCTGTTCGACAAGACACGGTTGAAGTAGATGGTTCTTAGTCTCATGTAACGAACATGTCAGTGAATCTGATCACTGTCCAGAAGTTTGAAAAAGAACTGGACGCGCCAGGAGTGTCGATTCGTTTTGATGAAGAAAAGGAGAAAAGCGAACATTCTGGGGGCTTTGCACGCAGCGTCACGATCGTTTGAGCACTTTCCTGAGCTTTCTTTGTCAAAGAAATCAGTGGAACTGCCCTGTTCAAGGACATTGTGTTTTGAAGAACTCGAAGTCGGATGGACGCTGAACATGTAACGAGCCCAAGCGAAAACCCTGACGTAAATATTCAGGTCAACCCAAATAGCAACTGCTGCTATTGTCTTCTTCTGTACAAAATCTGCTGCTAACGCTATTGTACAGATATAGAATCATGTAAACTTTTGATGAAGGAAAACTGCTGATCAATACTGGGAGTAGCTATTGTAAAACTGTGTAGCAGTGACTGCTATGCAACAAAATCAAACTAAATCGATCCCTGATATGACATGTCTTCTGGCTGCTTCTCCTGCTCCAGCTTCTCCTTTCCGCCCGCGTCCGACCGTCGTGCACTCGCCACCTTTCCTGGATGGCTTCCCGCTGCCGAGCATCCCGGGCGCTCGGCCCACCGTCAGGACGACCTCGCGCCCGGGCAGGATGGGCGCCGTCAGTCTGTACACCGGCATCGGCATGAGCATGCTGTTCGTCTTGGCCATCGTCATCTCGGTCTGGATATGCCGCAAGCGATTCTCAAAGTGGATGCAATCCGGGAACACTCAAGCCGACCAACCAGGGTAAATTTTATCTTAGAAAGTTGGGCTGGGTGATCATAATATGATGGCAGCAATGGTAATTGTACAACGATACTCATTCGCAACATGAGCAGTGCATTCAGCTGTCTCTCTGTGTTGAGACTTTCCCATAGAACATACCTTGTCAGTAACCACTAGTACCCCCTCAAACCAATGCCATTTCCAGCAACCGCTTCAGTACTACAACTATTAATTGTGAAATTTTTCTCTGATCCTTGTACTTCAAAGTAGCATCTTTCTGCACAAGAGGGAGGGAAGAGAGGGTGGTGATATTGCCATGCCTTGCCTTGCCTCACTACTTGAGCTATTACCGGGTATGTGCTCAGAATTCTTCTCCTTGACAGTAGATTTCGCTTGGAAAGGCTATTGTGGAGCAACGTTCCTATGTCTCTAATGTATCTATGTAAGCCTGAGGCTTGTAGTCCTAGTTAGAGCAATGAAATGGTGTGTGTTGGGGGGGGGGGGGGGGATAAGCAGTCAATTTCACCAAAGTCAGACCAGCTCCCAAGGCAAGGATGACGAAACCTATTGAAGCGACTTATATTTTAGGGCAGGAGGGAAAATATATTCTCAGTGATGACCGATGACAGAATCGATATAAGTCGCTTGTTGCCTGATGATTTGGGGGAATGTTTATTTTCCTAGTGATCGCGTACGCGTGAAAGGAAGTTCAGCTTAGCTTTGCTGAACTGAGCACTGTGTGAACGGTGAACAGAGCGCTAACTCTACTGGGTGCTGGTGCTTGTTGCCATGTGTGCTATGTGTGATGCCACAGGCACAATGCAGAAGCACTAGGCTGGGATAGCCCGAGCTTCAACGACCCCGGCGGAGAGCTTGGCGTGCCGTCGCACTCCGAGAGAGCAGGCACGGACATGGATCCGCGCCGACCTCGCGGCTCACGACTGGCGCCGGAGCAAGAGAGGACGACGTGTAGCCTTGACGAAGCGCACTCGCGAGTCCCAGGCGCCGCACGCCGGCAGGGAAGTGATGTCCGCAGGAGTATGCGGTCGCATCGAACCGTCTCTGCGCAGTCGTCAATGCCTGGTGAATGCCGTGGGTACGAAGCACGCGGTTCAGTTCCAGAAGGTCCCAGCATTCTGTCACAGGCGCCACCGCCGCCATACAGCATTGTGGACAACAACGCCAAGCCGTCAAACCCACCGTCGTACGAATCTGTCCTTGCAGCAGAACAACCCGTTTGAACAACCGCAGCAGCATCTGCATCTCAGCAGAGATTCAATTGAAGACGGTTGATGTGAGAGAAGCACAGGAAATAACCAATGACAGTTTCCCGGCAGCAATTATATTGAGTGTACATTCATTTTTAGTGATCGCAAGCACAAACACAAGCATGCACACACACACACATACACACACACACACACACACGCACACACACACGCACACACACAGCATTATAGAGAAATTATTTCATCACTTATTCAAAGCGCTTACTCGGCTAAGCACATTTTATGCTCCAAGACTCGCCACATTTACTCGAGACCTCCCTTCTATATCAATCCATTCAGCATATAATTATACCATTTCGACTGTACATTGCTGCTATCAATTGTCTGAGGAGTGCCACCTGGCATGAAACTAAGTTTTTATACAACTGACCAGACACACATGGCTGAATAATAACGCAGGGCCTAGGCTAGAGGCGTTAAAATATCACAGTCTGGCTTTTTTTAACAATAATATTATTATATATAAATAAACATTATTATAATTAATGTGTTCATCCATCCACTGAATCAATCTAGTCTGCACTAAATTACTACAGTGACTAAATCTAGGTTCATCTATCCGCTATCTAGTCTGCACTAATCTAGGTCACTTTATACTGAACTAACACTTGACTGTACGTAAATCTTCTCGTACTACACCGCGCTGGTACAGTGCGTGCGTTGTTGTTATGTCACATCCACACTTTATAATATTATTATGATAGCCAACGATTGCGCTCAACGAAATCAAGTGGATCGTTTAGCGCAGGAACCATTTTGCCAGACCTCAGCAAAGTACGAAACTAATCGAAAGTACTGTACTTCACTGACTGTGTAACTGTTCCACACTTCAATTATTGCGCTGTGACAGTACAATCCGTCAATCGGCACCTGGCGCTGCCTAGAACTCAGTTTACTCAGACCAGAGCTCCGACACCAACCGAAGTCCAGAGTTCTGCTGCATAATAATGACAGAGCGTCCCCATGCATGCCATGCTAGCTGTCACACGGACTGTATTCAGATGTGTGCACCATGCGTGCGGAGTTGGAGTTGGAGCTACAGCGCAGCCGGAAGCATTACCGGTATTTGCCTGCATATCGTGCGTCTACGTCTGCATGCGTCTGCATGCCGTGGGAAGAAAAGAATTTTATCCGGAGCGAAATACGAAAATCAATATCTTAGCGAGTCGTGTACTTCTTGTGTTATGACATGGTGCAAGTCGGTGCCGCCTTTGCTCCGCAGCATTCGGTACCCTGCTGTTATTCCGGATGCACGACCTTCCTTTCAGCGGCTTCCTGTTTTCTAAGGCGACCGGTACCAGCGACAAGTCCACCGGATTCGTGGCCAAGGTAACTACTGGTATCCCTTCACATGGTTCAGGGCTAGGGCGGCTAATCGGCAGGTGAGCAATAATATTCCCGGTACTTGTCTTGGAGTGAACTAGTAGTAGTACACTTACCCACATCCATTCTCCGACTACTGACGGTGTCGCAAACATGGTTAACCGCCGGTTGCGGTAGTTATTTCAAATATTTTTTATTGTCCTCACTCCGCTTGAGATCAAGTGAGTTTAGCCACGGTGTCAGGATCTCGGTCCACGCAAGATGCGGTTAGACTCATCGCGACTGATCATCGGCCAGCGTTGTCTGTTAGTGTTACCCCTGGTTTTCAGTTCCGATTCTTCAGCATTATTTTTTGAGAACGAGGTGCGCCTTAGAAGTAGGGGTGAACCGATTGGCCCTTATCCGTGAATCTCTAAAAATATCGATTGACGATCGAATGGTTATCGACTGACATTGTCCTCAAACATGACCATTATGCGTTGCATATTTACGCTTATACTGAGCTTGTATACAAACTCCCATCTCTCCCCACACAACACTCCAGACTTGTATTTTGCATATAACAGGTACTTCGATGACGAGAATATAAACTGGTATATAAACTGGTATATAAACTGGTGTATAAACTGGTATATAAACTCCTTTTTTTTTTTTTTTTTTTTTTTTTTTTTTTTAGGATTTACACTAGTGACCTGCAGTCCGCCTTGATGGTTTTTCGACATGCACGACGGTCCCAACTTCAGGATCTCTTTCCCGTCAACGATGAAGAATACAACGTCGTCCTTTGTAACATGTGCCTTGTGCTGCACCTGGCGTTCGAGGCTGTCCTTCTTTCGCTGTTTCAGCACTCCGTCTGTCAAGCGCAGCACTCGACATGTGCGGCTGAAGAGCCCCGCGTGCCGCTCCTCCTGCGTTTTTGCATGGACATAGAATGCAGATAGCAGGGGCGACGGAACTTCACTACTGATGGTTTTCCAATCGATGTTCTCCTTTCCGCATCCCTCGCAGAGCGGACGGAACATGCGCAGCCATAATCCGTGGCACTGCCAGTGTTCTTAGAAACTGCTGCTTGAATAATGGCATCGTGATTCGTGGTCGTCCTCAGAAGAAACGTTTGGGAGTCGATTCAACAGGCTCGTGCTGATTCATTTTACTCTTACTTTGGAAAGGAGACGAACTCTATGTCTCTAAAGTCTAATGAGCAAACGGTTCTTTTACAGAGCCCGCGGTGAGATCTGCGCGCGGTAACGGTCACTAGCACTGTGAGGTTCAAACTAACTTACTTGGCGCATAGCTGTTACTTCCGATGTAACTAGTACTTCAGTACTAAACTGAAGTCACAAAGAGTGTGTGATGGTACTGCACTAGCACTGCATGCACTGCACAGAGTCAGTGGTAGTCTTGTACTTGATCCGCACAGGTTGGTGAAAGGAAGACTCGTCGAGCCATGGTTGTGGGTTGGAATTCCAATCTCTACCCTTGTGGGGGAGAGGGGAGTTTGTATATCAGCTCAGTATAAGCATAATATAACCTACTCAGTTGATTATATGGGAAATATAAACCAATATACAAACCTCGGCTTCGCCTCGGTTTGTATACAGGTTAATATTTCCCATATAATCAACTGGTTAGGTTATATTATATACATACAGTCAACTTCGCTAATAACGACTGCGGATATAACGAAAATTCGCTAATAACGACTGCGGATATAACGAAAATTCGCTAATAACGACTGCGGATATAACGAAAATTCGCGAATAACGACATAATTTTCATGCCCAAAGCAAAGTCCCATCCAACACTGTGACACATAATGAGACTTCGTGTTTAACGACACTTCGCGAATAAGGACACTTTTCTGATGCCCCGCCCAGTGTCGTTATAAGCGAAGTTGACTGTACACACATGCACATGCATGGTCCCACAGCCCTGCACAAGCAAACAGCAGCACAATATGGCTTGAAAGTGATGACGTCAAAAACGGCCAGGGAGTAGCAAGTTGACATCAGATTTCTATTTTGGATCCACTAAGGTGTGACTTTGCTATTGCCTCAGTATGTGGGTGCATAGCAACCCACTCATGTCGTATGCATGTGTGACTTTTACTTTGCCACCAGGTGTCACCCCGCCCCTATTAGCCAAATCAGTCAGTTTCACTGGCTACATCACCTTGCTGTGAGTAGGACCGCTTGAAATGTGCTTGGATCCATACAAAAACTTTTTTTTTGAATTTTTGAAATTGTTGCTATGCTGTGACGTAGCACTTTCAAGCCCTATATGAGGACATTGTAGGTTTAGGTCCAGGGCATGAACTACAATGATGATGACTGTGCTTCTGGGAATTTATACAGTCATGTACAGTCAGTCATGTATGTGTTGACATTATGTGCCAGTTGAAAAGGGGTTCCCTTCTAGCGACTCAACCTTATCTAATGTCCAGTCCACTTATTGACTAAGTCGTGTCCCATCTACTTAGAAGTACTGTATTTTCAGGAGTATAAGCCTCACTTTGATTAAACACTCGGAACTCCCCCCCCCCCAATAATCGGTGTGCCTATTTCTACTAGTATTCTAATTGTCCGCAAACTCCAACGCAGCCACTTATACATCAACTTCACTTCTCAATTCCAACGCAGCCACTTATACATTAACTTCACTTCTCAACTCCAACACAGCCACTTATACATTAACATCACTTCTCAACTCCAAACTCCAACGCAGTCACTTACACATCAACTTCACTTCTCAACTCCAAACTCCAAAACCGGTCTCTTCACTGCGCTTCATTTTCAAATTTACATTACACCAAATTTCCGCGCCTGGCCCGTCATTAGGGTAATGAATGCCTATTACTATGTCGGTCAAATGAACGGTGCGGATAAACAGGGTAGAGATGAAGTCCAATGCCGCAGACGGCAAGCTGTTTCGGCCATCTAGGCCTAGGCATTGGCGGATAATGCTCGAAAAGCTGGCAGATTCTGCTCGAAAAGCAGTGAAATTGGCAGAACCATACAAACCTTATGGCGGGCTATTCCTCGAATTCTTCTCCATTTCTTTATCCATATGCCAAACATGCATGAAACTTACCAGAAAAAGTACCGAATTCTGCCAATTTTTCTGCCGGCATTATCCGCATCGGCCTATCTAGGCCTGATCAGCACAACTACAAGTACGGTCTCAATGTAAGCCGAACTAGCGGCCATGGCACAAGGGTGGCACCACGGATATTTTTAAAAGATAGCTCGTCGCCGCTCTAGTGCCAGAGTGCTTCTACTAAGTAGGAAAAGTAGCGAGCGATGCAAAACTCAGCAGCAGCAAAGCAACCAACCGAGAGTGCTCAACACGACAAATGCCAAGTAGCGTGTAGACAGCAAGCTGTTTCGGTCATCTTCTGCAAGTCAACAAATATTCGCCGCATTTGTATTTTCGGCCTGGTCACGTTTGGCCGAATCTTGTTTCGCAAGATTCAGTGTGACAGTGTATACAGGCGGCAGCAGAACAGGCTGAAAATTTGATGTGGCCAAAATGGCATTTCGCCCTGGGAGGCCGAAATTTGAATGGGCCGAAACATGTAGACTTGCAGCAGGCCCGATCTGTACAGCTACGAGCTTTTAAAGAAATGTGAACTACTGTTCAGTACTGTGGGTTGCCGAAGAACTGGACGGGGGGGGGGGGGGGGGGGTCAGCCTCCTAGCCTAGACCGTTCCTATTTTCATGTACTACAGTTGATGGGCAGTTGAGACACCGTGTATACATTGGTATGCTGTGCTTGACGACATTCTAGCTTGGTCGTTCTTCGGCGCTCCGTTCTTCGGCGCCCGACAGTACTGTAAGACCAGTAATGTTCGTTAACATTACTGGTCTTACAGTATCGGTGTCACGTAGCACTACCCCCCTCTTTGCAGTTGGAGCCCGGGGGAAAACCACTATGCACAGGACTATAGTGATTGGACTAATGTGGGAAAACGCACGCAGTGGTCTGTTTTAGTAGTTCACCTTTGAAAAAAATTCACGGTTCGCGTGAGACTCGGCTGGAAGCCGGGCTTTCCGCATCCGTAGGAACGCCACCACCCTTCAAGGATCAAGGCGCAGATGTAGCTCCTCAAGCGGTGGGAGGTGAGTAGATCAGCTCACCAGCAAGTGGTCAAAGACCGAAAATCCCATTCACTGCATCCATGTTTTCCTCGTGCCAGGCCACGAGTTCCCAATTAATATAAAACATGGTCCTAAACGGAGACTCCCTCGATTTAGGCTATGGCCTGTGGAGAATCCATAAATACAAATACAAATACAAAAATAAAATCCCTTTCGTACGCTATTCCACTTTCACAGGTTCTGGCTGGCGATCACGGCACGGAGACATCACACCATGGCCGCCCCATACTGTATGCTGGTGTGCACCCTCACCCTGTCACTTCTCCTCTTTGGACTTGGTAAGTGTTGGCGTAGACATTGGTGCAGCCACAGCTTATGCATAACCTGCCAATCAGCCCGATTTGGCTGCCGTGGACCGTCCCAATATCAAGGGTGGTAATAGGCACCCAAAAGTGCATTTTTCGCATGCCCCACAGCTACATTTGTACTTTTGTATACATTTTCATACCTAGTTATGTCATTGTCCCAATCTCAGATTTGCATGGGTTGGCAGGTATAGTACTACCGGGCACCAAAGAACGGCCAGGCTAGAATTTCACCAATCTTTAAGAACGGCCAGGCTAGAATCTCACCAATCTTTAAGAACGGCCAGGCTAGAATTTCACCAATCTTTAAGAACGGCCAGGCTAGAATCTCACCAATCTTTAAGAACGGCCAGGCTAGAATTTCACCAATCTTTAAGAACGGCCAGGCTAGAATCTCACCAATCTTTAAGAACGGCCAGGCTAGAATTTCACCAATCTTTAAGAACGGCCAGGCTAGAATCTCACCAATCTTTAAGAACGGCCAGGCTAGAATTTCACCAATCTTTAAGAACGGCCAGGCTAGATTTTCACCAATCTTTAAGAATGGCCAGGCTACAATTTCACCAATCTGTAAGAACGGCGTAGGCTGGATTTCTTGCAGATAAGACCGTAATGTACACTATAATGTACACTCAGACGTGTAGCTCTGCATAAATGTACATGTAAGACTGTAGCATCGAAGAAGAAGAACGAAGCTGCTGTGTTCGCTGAAAATGAGAACGGTCTAGGCTAGAACCTTGACCCCCCCCCCCCCCCCCCCAGTTCTTCGGCGCGCGACAGGACATGTTTGCTAAAGCACAGAGCATGTACTGTTTTGGACATGGAAATCCAATGGAATGACCTGGGCAGCCCGGCACCCCTACTTGCTTAGCAGGTACACGCACTGTAACACTGCAAAATGGACCGACAGTGTCTACGGCTGCATGGCCAGCACTCCGTGGTCGCTTCGCCTCTCTTTCTCATACTCTCTTCCTCCCCTTCCCTCCTTCTCTGCCTCTATCTCTTCCTCTGCCTCTTCTCTTTGTCTTTCTCACACTCTCTACTTCCCCTCCCCTCTCTTTCTCACTCACACTTTCTACCTCTCTTTCTATCTCTCCCTCTCTCTCCCTCTCTCTCTCTCTCTCTCTCTCTCTCTCTCTCTCTCTCTCTCTCTCTCTCTCTCTCTCTCTCTCTCTCCTCTCCTCTCCTCTCCTCTCCTCTCCTCTCTCTCATTCTCTGTCCCTCTCTCTCTCTCTCTCTCTCTCTCTCTCTCTCTCCTCTCCTCTCCTCTCCTCTCTCTCATTCTCTGTCCCTCTCTCTCTCTCTCTCTCTCTCTCTCTCTCTCTCTCTCTCTCTCTCTCTCTCTCTCTCTCTCTCTCTCTCTCTCTCTCTCTCTCTCTCTCTCTCTCTCTCTCTCTCTCTCTCTCTCTCCTCTCTCTCACTCTCTGTCTCTCTCTCTCTCTCTTTCTCACTCTCTGTCCCTCTCTCTCTCTCTTTCTCTCTCTCTCACTCTCTGTCCCTCTCTCTCTCTCTCTTTCTATCTCTCTCTCTTTCTATCTCTCTCACTCTCTGTCCCTCTCTCTCTCTCTCTCTCTCTCTCTCTCTCTCCTCTCTCTTTCTCTCTCTCTCCTCTCTCTCACTCTCTGTCCCTCTCTCACTCACTCTCACTCACTAACTCACTCAATCTCGTTTCTCATCCACTCTCTATTTCACTCTCTCTCACTCACTCTCTCTCTCTCGTTCTTTCTCACTCCAGTACTCTGCCAAGTCCCGACTACACCAAGCATTGATGCCAGAGACACAGATCTGTTAGTGGACTTGGTGGAAGGAGATAGCAGTACGGGGTTTGCTGTTCTTTGTAATGTGTCAATGGACGATGATAACGCCCTGCCGCTGGAGCTGCGATGGACTTTCAATAGAGAAGCGCTTCCACTGGAACGACAAGAGATCGAGACCATTTTCGAGAGCAATCGTACTACTTACACCAATATTCTAGATCTCAATGTCCGTGGAACATGGCTGGAAGCTGATGCAGGAACGTATGGCTGTACGGCACGAACCAACGACACCGACGAGATACCTGCTGCTATGACGTTCCAGCTGGTTGTCAATAGTGAGTACGATGACTCCACACTGCCGATTACTGTGTCCGCGCTTTTTAACTGCCCGATTTCGTCGATTTAAATGTACCGTTAGGCATCGCTAGAGAGCCCCACCGCCACCGCAATCCCTTGGCCGTGTTTTGGAGGTGGGGTCCACCCCGTCCTGTCTGTAGGTCATACCAGAAGTACCTTGTACTGTGTGTGTGTGTGTGTGTGTGTGTGTGTGTGTGTGTGTATGTGTGTGTGTGTGCACGTGTGTGTATGTGTGTATGTGTGTGTGTGTGTGTGTGTGTGTGTGTATGTGTGTGTGTGTGTGTGTGTGTGCGCGTGTGTGCACGTGCACGTCTGTACAATCATGTACATGTACAGTACGACCTGAAGTATTGACACTGGAGGATGCGCAGGTTGGACTGCAAAAAACGGTCACACTGACTTGCACTACGCGTGCTACGCTACCTCTCAATGTGAGTCACACTTTGACATCAGCTGTATACACATTCTACACGCAACCCCTAAGAACTGGCGAATTTGCCAAGCAATGTCAAAACACCCCCCCCCCCCTCCCCCTTTCCAAAAAAACTCACCAATAATGTCAAGTGATGTTACAGCATGTTCCTCCCCCCTCACCCACCCCACCCCAATGCCTCCAAGGTTTTGAAGGACAATAGCTTGCATAGAGGTTATGAGTAGCTGAAAAACGGGTGTCGTTTGGTGGAGAGGCGCTTGGTCCCATGTTTCACACCTTTCTTATCGTCATTTCCGAGAAAAAGGCTATGTAGCAATTGAAAATACATGTATAGGCTCTTTGCCCTTTTCTCGGTTAAATGTTCCAGCTGGTGTCATGGTTGTTTCCTCTCTGCTGTGTAGTTTACGTGGAGTCGAGGCGGCACCGTTCTGCAGACAACAGCTGAAGTGAACAACAACAATAACATATTCACACTGACCAATGTCAGTCGCACAGATTCAGGCAACTATACGTGCCGCGCTACCAACCGCTTCGGCAGTGCGAACAGCTCAGCCGTCGTCAATGTAGTGAATCAAGGTAAGAGATCACATGCAGAATCTGTATCCTTTCCAATGGCCTGAATAAACGTGGAAGGCAATTGTCTTGATGTGTAACCATGGCAATAATGGCAGTCTTGTTTGAGTCTTCGCAAAGCAGTTGCAGCCCAATCAGGCCAATCTGTTCGCTTCAGAAAAGTGGCGTGATTTCTTGAATACTGCGAGTTGCTCCGTGGCGTACGGTGCCAAACTAAAGCCTCGCGTGTGCCCGCACGTGTGTGTGTGTGTGTGCGTGTGTGTGCTTGTTTGTGTGTGTGTGTGTGTTTATGTGCGCATGCTTGTGTGCGTGTGCGCGTGTGTGTGCAAGCGTGTGCGTGTATGTCATGTATATCCGTCTGTCTGCCAACACGACCTGATCACCCGTTTGGATCTGTATGATGTTGTTCATGGCAACACCATGACTGTGTTTCTGCAGGGTTGCCTTTCTTTGCTAGGTCGTTTCGACTGACAGTTACCTCCAACAGCAGTCAAACACTGATCCTGCAATGGCCGACGGGTGTCTTTGATGGCAACTCACCGATAATAGGCTTCGACACACAGTGCTTTGGAGTGGGATTTCACCGTAAGTCGTGTCGAAGGATACGAGAAAAGGGTTGTGTTGAATGTGTTTGTACACGTGTATGTATATATTTGTGTATGTGCATGTGTGTGTGTGTGTGTGTGTGTGTGTGTGCGTGTGCGTGCGTGTGTGAATCTATACACATGTGCGGCAGTGTGCGTGTATGTATTCTGAAGCCTAGCATAATAATAATAATATGATCATGTCTGGTACTCTATTCTGCTGGCAGGTGACTTGCACACTTCCCGTCCAGCTCTAATTCCACCAGATCGACACCAGTTTGTCTTCCGTGAGCTTCACGCGGGTCGTTTGTACGCTTGCACGCTGACCGTCATCAACGCACTGGGCTCCACTGTTAGTCAGCCGGCCTTTGCAACAGTCATGCTGCAGTATGGTAAGTGAATGTACAGCGCTGGCCAAAGAAATCCAACCTCATGATTGAAGACAACTGCTTTGCGGAAAAATGTGCAAGCTCTGTAAAAAAAGGCGACGTCGACAAAACATTCCGCCATGGGCCGGGGTATCTGCAGGTTGTGCAGCAGAGATGGGGAGTTGCACACTCTTGTTTACCTACTCTTGGTATTACACTGGCGGCAGCAGTGGGATTTGTACCCACGCCTCCGCAGAGACTGGAACCTGGAGACCTCTCCTTTCCTCCCAATTGTTTGTCACAGGAAGGTGTACCACAATTTCCGGAGTGTAAGCGCACTTTAAACACTCATTGTTCACTCAAAAAAAGAAAGGTCGATGCGGCGTGTACTATGATGATCAAACGAACGGTGATATACAGAATAGGTGTCAGTATTTCACGACAAAAAAACTGAGTGCAGCTTATACTCTAGTTCGGCTTGTCCATGTACTCCGGAAGATATGGTACGTTCATTAGGAACAAAGGATGTACTGGTCCTTTTGTTCGTGAAAAATGTGTTGCAATTATGGATAGCTCACCATCTTAGCTGGCTAGCTGAGGTCTCTATGAGTGAGATGAGGCCACGATGCGGGGATGTCTGAGTTCCAACCAGTGTTATTGGATAAAGCAGGTAACTCGTAACTTGTGTGTACGTTTGTGTGTGTGTTTTGTGTGTGTGTGTGTGTGTGTGTGTGTGTATGTCCGTGTGTATTTGTGTGTGTGTGTGTGTGTGTGTGTGTGTGTGTGTGTGTGCTTGTGTGTGCGTGCATGTGTGTGTGTGGGGGGGGGGGGGGGGGGCGGGTTGTAACTTTGTATATGCGCGCACATGCACCGGCATGTGTGCAGCATGTGCACATAATTATGTGTGTGTGCGTGCGTGTATGTACGTGTGCATGTCGGTGTGTCTGTGTGTATCATGTGATCGTCTGCGTGTGTGTATCATCTTTTCGATTCATCTCTCTGTTTGTGGGCATGTGATGGTATCGAACCCATCTCTACAGTACCGGATCCACCGACATTAGTTCAAGCTTTTCCAGAGCACGGTGTTAGCGGCTTGCGGCTGATTATTTGGGTGCGGCTCGAACCGAACGATGATGTGCAGTATTATGAATTGACGTACGATTCAGTGCACGTAGACCATCCGATCGCTCCCGAAACTCTTCGAGTAGAGAACACGGGCAGTTCCGCCATCCAAGTTCGCGTGCAGGGTCTGCGACGGCTGACTGAGTATCGATTCGCAGTCCGGGCCGTTAGCTCTCATGGCGTGGCCAGTCAAGCTACATCAACAACAGCCACCACAGAAGGTAAGAGTTTCTCTTTAAGCTATCCATCTTTATTTTAAAGGCCAAGCAGCTTGTTGTAAAATGATGTGTTGTTTTCCTGTGTGATGACATTCCCAAAACTGTCTTCGTCTAGTCGCATGCATTGTGTGATATGAGCATGAGCGATGTTGTAGACGGCAGCCCTTTTGTCAGTCTTCTTGTTCGTCTCTTTGAGTGTAGTCTGCATTTCCGTCATGTCAATGATGATAACGTAACAAACAAGTCTTGTCCCGGTTGTGTCCTGCGTCCCGGGGAACCGGAATGGCTGCGATTCCGTTACAAGCTTGAAGCCATGTTGCTGGTGTGTGCGAGGCCGGCCAAAGAGGGCGTTTGGCGCAGGTGGAATTACTTTATCTTTATTTTTATTTGCTACAAGTGCCCATGGGCTCCAGTCCCGGTTAGAATCGAGGAGCAAAGGGGTGGTGAGACCTAGGGCACTCGGCCGGCCTGAGGTCTCGGCTTCGTAGTGAGCTAGATGCAGCAATCTAATAGCAGCTACACAACCATGCTGTGCACACAGCTAGTTGTTTCGGCCGTCTAGGCCTCATCAGTGCATTCACATACAGTGGAGATCGGATATAACGACCTTGCATATAACGACAGATTGAGTTCAGCGACACGATTCTGTTGCCCAAGTCGTATAGCAAGTCCTTTGTGAAGATCGGGTTTAGTGACAGATCGAATATAGTGACATTTTGTTCTCTCCCGGAGGAGCGTCGTTATATCCAATCTCCACTGTATGCGATTCCGACAGACAATCCAAACAGCACAGAGTGTTTTTCTAGGAAGGACAGTTGTGTCTGATCTTGACTACCGTAATGTCGCGTATCAATACTGGGCTTATTCCTGTGAAAGGCGATCTCTGGTCTAGGCTTCTGTTCATGCCAGGCACTTCATATATGTCGGCACTAACGCAATGATTATTTTGCCAACAGTGTATCTCGAAAATCAGGGTGTATTGAAAACAGGCTTCTATAGAAGGCTTTAATACAAGACACTACGGTATTTGCCGTCTAGTTGTGATCCCCCCCGTCGGGCAGATGTTCAGGTATCACAGTTCTGCTGCGGTTGGATTGGATCTTATGTGTACGTTCACGTCTAGCTGTAGATCCACTTGTGACGAGCAAAACTTGCATTTTGGTCCGCGCTCATTCTGTGCTCCGAATAGTAGTCATGAGTCACGCAATTAGAGTCAGCGGATTTGGCTGGAAGGGCTACAACCACCACATAGGAGCAGTCGACTTCGCCGATTAACAAGTTGACCCATATATTCATTAGTAGTGGGAATGGAAAAGTGATAAAGTCTGAAGAAAAAACTTAGTATCCTCACCAGGACTCAAACCTTCGCTTAACCCTAGCAAATAGATTATAATTATAGAAAAGAAAAAGGACCCAGGAAGTACAAGTTACGTTATATTAGACACCCTTAGCAAAAAACGTTACATTGTAACGGTATTATCGTAAGGGGGAAAATACCGTGATTTGGGTTCGACCTTTAGCAAGATGCACGCTATTTTTAGTACGCTGTTGCCACGAGAATAGCTTTGATTTCGCGCGGTACAACCATTTTTGTCACCATATACGCGATACAAGGTGAAATGCGTACGGACTATGCAATATTTGGCCAAAACACGTACCGTTGGTAACAACGATAAATCAGCCCCCATAACATTTATACGCTGCAGCTTCAACGCTATTTGGGTGATCAAGGTACGAGTACCGTAAAAAATAGCGTTACCGTTGTTTGCTAAGGGTGTCTACTAGCGTTATAGCGTAACTTGTAGTTCCTTGGTCCTTTTCTTTTCTATAAATTTATCCTTGGCTTTCCATCCGAGTCCAAGTAGTGAATAATTTTGACAACATAGCCTGAAACATGTCCTCCTGTCTGAATGTTCTCTCTACTTGCACGCAGCATTCCCGATTATCACTGACCCACCGCCGGAGACAATGGCAGTGTCGCTGGGCACAGACATCACTCTACCCTGCTCTAGTGAAGGGGACCCCGTCCCCGTCACCCTCTGGGACACGCCGTCCACGTCCGCCAGGACACTGGGGATGGACCCAGATGGCCGCCTGGTCCTGTCCAACATCCAGCCAAGCGATGCCGGTCTGTACACGTGCACGGTAGAGAATGTGTGGGGTTCAGCCAGCAGCACAGCGGTGATCACCGTCGCCGTAACACCCAGTAAGTGAACCGGCTGAGAGAAGTTCCGCATCGAATGGCTTCGGGTACTAAGTTGTCGGGAAGTGAACATCCACTCCTGCCTTATTAATAACCATTCCAGAACATGTACTCGTACAGCGAAACCTGTCCAAACGACCGCTTGAGGAATCATGGTCTCTGATACCAGGAGGCCTTCTTATCCATTAACTTTTGATAAGGAGACCACCTGGTATCAGAGACGGTGATTTGAAGGTCCCTGAAGCTGTCCTTCACACAGGTTTCCCTGTACTTGTTTTCAATAACTTTCTTGGAGACAGGAAGCTTATCAGGGAAAGAAAACTACAAATCTCAAGCTATTCTTCACCATCATCAGCAATAGGGACTCGGAAATTCATGAATCAGTTTTCGGGCAGTCTCTTGAAGTGAAATCCAAGCAAACAGAACCAACGAAACATAGGGGTACTTATTTTCCGTTATACAAAAAAATTACTTTGCCATACTAGGTGACTTTGCAGGAAGATTTGCACAGCCCTTCTTGAGCTGTTTGCCGGAATATGTTGTGAAGGCAGGCGCGTGCACCGTATGAGTTTTTTGGTGTCTGGAAACCACCTTTTTTCGGGCAATCTTGCCAAAAGAAAAGCGTGTAGTACTGGATTGGTTATCGATCCTGCAAACGTATCGATCGACGGGCGGTTTACAGTACAGTGACTATGTCCTTATTTCGAAGTGAGAGAGAGTTGCTTTGCATGCAGTTCGAAATACATTATTCTCTTTTTCTTCAGTGGAGAGTAGCCACGGAGGGATCGATCTCTAGCTCTGGTTCGCTCCTGGATTGGCAATGACGTTCTAGAAATCCGTTTTGTCTCGAAATTTGAGTCAAGCACGCGCGATGCAAGTCAGTTCAAGGATATGATTGACGATATCTCCTTCCAAACCGTTGCCTCAAATCAAGATCGCCACAGCCTTTCGTTCTCGCTCATGTGCGCAGCAGAGATGTTCGTCAAAAACGTTGTCGACTGGAAGACGTAAAAATGTGCGTCCATGATCCACTTGCGCTGCTTCAGAACGAAGCGCTACTCCGGCCGCGACTCAAGGACGCGGGGCTTCGCTTTTCTTCCGCGCGTTTCCATCGAAGCAAGGTCCATAACTCTCTATTGAAATCATGTGGAACATTGCCAATACATGCTGAAAACGTCGTCATAAGAACAGAAAGAAAGATACGTCGAATGTAATCAGTGTTTTGATGAAACGAACATGCCTGGAGTGGACTAGTGAAGTACCTTTTATACTGCAGTGTAGCCCGGGCGGCTAGGTCTATCAAAAATTTTACGTGTTCAATATGACAAACATGTATACTAGTGTGTACATTGACTTTTGCACCCTCTTTGCAAATGCTTTTTGAAGTGCTGGTATGTAAAAGGTTACCCGTTTTATCCTGCTATCGATTATACATGTACCAACATTTCCATGTAACTGGCATCGTCCCCTCCCTCCATTCCTCTTTATTCTGATTTCTGTCCTTTCTACCCCTGTACCTAGTACCTGGTTCCCTCTCAGACGCGTTTGTGCCTGCATGATCTGATGATAGCAGTCGGACGAGCCCCGCATCTCATCAGCACCAGTGTTCATTGGTGCCCTGCACCCCTGATCTTGAGTCCCCCCTCCTCCCTCCTCCCTAGCCGGCTGCCCTCGCCGTTATCTCCGACGGGATGTTCGGGGGATGCGCATGACATGTGCACAAAATTCATAATTATACAATGGGGCCCCAGAAAAAAATTACCAATTCTAGAAACCCCCCTTTCAAGACTCGGTGCACGCCACTGGAAGGGATTTACGTTTCCCACACCTTTGGTGGATAGCGAATGGATGATTCTGGATAATCATTACAGGCAAGGTAGCAGTGAATATGCACTAGTGGGCACAGCAGTATATTCATGTCGTGACCTGTGTACTGTACGCATGTCGTAGCATAAGTACGCCTGAGTGGACTCGGAAGGAGAGCCAAGGATAAAGTTATAGAAAAGAAAAAAAGGACCAAGGAACTACAAGTTACGCTATAATGTTATCGCATTAGCTGATTGTTACTGACTGGTGGTGTTTGTGGGCATTATAGCGTAACTTGAAGTTCCTTTGTCCTTTTTCTTTTCTACAAATACGCCTGTTACAATTTTTCTGTTCGGGCACGCTTTTGGTTCTGCAGCAATCGGCTCCAGCACGGCCGCTGTCGAAACCACCTCTAACCCAGCCATCAGCAGCCATATCAATATCTATGCAGGCACTGGATTTTGTAAGAACAACATGGTTCAGCGTCTGCAGCACAGTGGCTGGGTGGTATAAGGGGTTACTTGAGATTCATACTGTTGTGGGTTCGAATCCTGCTTGTTCTCTTCCTTTGTCTTCTTTCTTTCAAATTTTCTTTTTGAAGTGGAGAGAAAATTTCTAAGTCCCTCCAAAGTCGAAAGATTACAATGCCTAAGTGGTCAATACAAGCGGTCGATATTACGGCGATATGGGTAATATAGGACCAGTCAAGGATCACAAGAATTAGTGGAGGGCGATGTAGAAGAGTGAAAATGGTCATTTATTGCGTAACTTGTAGTTTCTTGGTCCTTTTTTCTTTCCTATAAATACGCCCGTTGCAATGTTTCTGTTCGGGCACGCTTTTGTTTCTGCAGCAATCGGCCCCAGCACTGCCGCTGTCGAAACCACCTCTAACCCAGTCATCAGTAACCATATCAATATTTATGCAGGCACTGGATTTGCCGCCCTTTTCTTCCTAGTGTTCATAGTTACAATCTGTCAGTGCCTCAAACGATCCAAGAGCCAACGCAACTTAAACGCCATAAGGGACGCGTAAGTGAGATTTGGGATATCGGTGAATGATGTGTGTGTGTGGGTGGGGATACTGTGTGTTTTCTCACTTGTTTTACACTATTGTGCACGCTAGTTGTACTGCATAGGACCCGTATACATGTATGTACGATGCCACCCCTTTTGATGTGCCACATGCATATACAGTATGTGTGTTCAGTTATCCGGTTCCCTCGTCTGTCCGGATATTTTCGTGGAAAACAGATGTGTGCGGTTAAGCAAGGTCTGACTGTACCCGTGGTGACAGGGTTAAATACACTGGCACGGTGGTGGCTACGACTCTCTGCCGGCCACTTTGCCGCGGTGACTGTTTTTGGCTGCGTGCCCTGCGGAACTAGATGCGTCGCATGATGTGAAACATTCCTGTCGCCGCACTGGATACACACGGTACATACGGTACATACGGTACACACGGTACATACGGTACATACGGTTGCACACTCTTGCACTTACAGTAAAACCTGTGACTAACGACCTTCCCAGAGAAAGCGGTCTTTAGTGGCAGGTGGTCGTTAGTTAGAGGTTTGCACCGCACCACCATAACAATAACAATTATGAATGTGAGACCGTCCGTGCCTGGCAAAGTGGCCTGTAGAATCAGGCTGGTCGCTAGTCACGGTGGTCATTAGTTACAGGTTCTCCTGTACAGTAATAATTATTATAACAATTACAATGGAGTCTTGTCGCCATTGTGCTCTCAGGATCAGAATATGAGGTTTACTGCAGCAATGAAGATTGCCAATACCTATTCTGTGTGTTGCCATAGGAACAACATGGCCGCCATAGGCCTGCGAAACCCGAGTTTCAGCAACCCTTCCAGAGCCCTAGATACACCGTCTGGACCGCCACGGAGGACAAGTTCATCACGCCAGGTGGGAGCACAACAACGGACGTCGCATCCGGCGCTCCAACAGGGGACTGATGCCTCCCTCAATGAGAGGCCATTGTTTAGCACGGCACATGCGTTACATGGCCCCGAATATTTGCCCTACCGCACTACATCACGGCCACCACCACCCCCATACAGCAGTATCAGCAGCATTAGCAGTCTTAGCATTGGCTCCAACAACCCCAAGCCAGTCAACCCACCTTCGTATCAGTCAGTGATCGAAGCCGAACAAATGGTCTGAACGCCAGCGGAGTGGATTTGTACATCTCTCGAGTGACTGAGCTGTTTTTTGTATGAGAGTGAGCGTGTTGCTTGTTGCTTGTTGTCTGACCCACAACGGCCATGTAGAGCACACGAGAAGTCCATGGAGCCTTCCACTTGGCAAACCTGCAAGAAAGCAGCACTCCCTGCATGAACAATGTTTCAGGATATCTCCCCCTCATCAGCTGTTAAAGTTGAGCTTAAATTAAGTAGGCTAATGAAATGTGTGTTCCAAGAGCACCGCATTATTGTAGTGCTCTCAGGGCCAAGACTAAGCATCACCATTACATTTTTGTCCACATACCAGGTCTGAGCTCTGATACTGCAGGTTCCGCGAACGTACTCTACTTGGCCCGCTATTTTGCCCACTTTTCTCCGCAGGTCCTTGCGCAGATTTCTGAATGATCCTGCTGATTTTCCCTGTTGAGAGCATAAGCATCGGTGTGCCACTCCATAACAGAGACGCACATAGCTTGCTTGAATGATGACCTCATTGCCATAAGGTTCCATGATCCATGATAATTATCGCCCACAATACTTACATCAATATTCTTAATAACACAGAAGCCTTGATTGGTAGCACTACGCGTCCTCGCCTTGTAACATGCTGTCAAAATCGAAAATCAAAGTCTTGTGATTGTGCACACTTCACCCACGACACCCAGTAATGGAAGACAATCTGGCTTCGCTGTCCATATTTGGCAGGATTCAGTGGTGGCAGACTGATGGCAAAACCATATAAGGATGAAAACATGCTGTCACGTGACCAATCACATACCCTCTAGACTATAGAGGTTGGAAGCTGGTGGATGAGTTCGTAGCCAGCCGGCAAGCTGTGGTGTGTGTAGTGATTCCATCTCAGCTCCCCCGCGTTCAGCGCCAACCAGGTGAGCGCGATCGTTTCAGCGCCGTGAACCTACATTATTATAAGCGCCGAATTCTACAGCGCCAGCAGATAAGCGCCGAATATCTCAGCGCCATGTATTGTACCACCACATACGTCGGCGCAACCTTTCTCAGCGCGACAGATCTCAGCGCCATGTTACTCAGTGCCATTAATTTTTATTATAGTACAATGTATGTATGGACATTGTCACATCGCCTGTAATGACTATGACTGTACAAGTATTGACTTCGCGCTCTACTGTGTCACGCTGTACTTTATCGCGCTCTACTGTATCGCCCTGTACTGTACCGCGCTCTACTGTATCGCCCTGTACTGTACTGTACCGCACTGTACTTTATCGCTCTGAACTGTACCGCGTTGAACTGCACTGTGCTGTGCTTGATCGCGCTGAACTTTTTCTCGGTGTAAACTACCGCGCCTCACTTTTTAGCGCGGGGTTGCTGGCGCTGTACTTTACCGCGCTGACAGTCATGGCGCTGAAGAAGCTGGCGCTGTGAAATCCTGCGCTGAAATGTATCGTGCTGAAACAGTGGCGCTGAAGTGGCAAGTCACCCGTGCAGCTGCATGGGCCATGCGGCGACAGGCAGGCAGGCAGCAGTGAACACCAAGACAACAATACTACTAGCATGAGTTCAGTAACACGACCAAGTCACCGACTGCATAACTTCGCCGGAAATGCTGTGCACTGGAGACCAATAGTCTACAGGACTTGCAAGCCAATGGTAAACGTCAAACCACAACCAGCCATTTCAAGAAAGGATAGAGCAGCGGCAATCCGTATAAGGAAGCAGTGCGCAACGGGATCCTTATGAAAGGCAGCCTACACCTAGCCCTACTGCGAAAGGAGAGAGCAGTGATCGTACGTATAAGGAAGTGGCTTGCGCAGCGGCCTAGCGGAGCGGTTCTCAGGAGAGAGAGAGAGAGAGAGAGAGAGAGAGAGAGGGAGAGAGAGAGAAAGAGAGAGAGAGAGAGAGAGAGAGAGAGAGAGAGAGAGAGAGAGAGAGAGAGAGGGAGCAGTAAATGGTGCACACACGCTGCTTCTGATACTGCACGGAAAATATTTTGCCAAATACTTCGAAGTAAGAATATCGCACACCGGTTACGCGGTACAATACAAGCTCAGACAGCTGATAAACCATACATGAAAGTGAGCAGCGGTCAGGCAGTGGAAGGCTGGGGGACCAGATGTCAATAGTACTCTCGGAATACACACAAATACGGCTTTGAACTCATAAAGAGATGATAGAATGCAACCTCAACGGCAAGACATGAATGAGAGACAACATGGGGAGAGGGGTTGGAGAGTTCCAGAAAGTCGGTGCCTATAAAGTTGGTACTAGAAGAAAAAAACACACGCAGGCATACACGGCCACACACACACGCACGCACGCGCGCGCACACACACACACACACACACAAGGGTGGGCATCCATCAACAAGCACGAGGTACACCACTGATAGAAAAGTAGCCAGCAAACCAAAAAAACAAGCGCGTGAAAGGAGATAAAACAATAGATCTAGAAGCGCAGGTCAAGGAAGAACTCGGCGCACACAAGTAAATAGTACAAGAAAGAGCATGGCAGGAGAACAGAGCAGAGCGCGGGATGTAGCACGACGAACTAGGGTTTGTCCTCAGAGTGCAGACATTCCTTAAAGCTGGGACAAGGGCTGATGGTCCGGGAGGCAGAGGCCTCTGGCACAGCACGCTTTGTCAAAGATGAACGACGAGCGGCGACGACGGAGACAGGAGGAAAAGAACTAAGGGGAGAAAGCGGAATACAGCGGCAGCAATGCGTCAACAAAAACAATCACACACACGCATCACGTGAGCAGGTAGTCACCAATATATCCATATGTGAAATCCAGACGCAGCGGCGGTGGCAAACGCTAGCGGCGGTAAGCGGAAGCAGGCATAGTTGACGTGAAGCGGCGATACATCTCAAGTGCGCGTTTGCTACGCCGCAAGACGGATGACAACGGACCGTAATAGCAGCGGCAAGGCGGGCTCCACAGCACACACGAGGAGAAGCGCGAGCGAGCTTTCAGACGGTAACTTAACGGCCAACACCCGGCGGACTGACCGGGGGGCAGTATTGGTCAAACAACACCGTGAAGATGCCCGGCGGACACGATCCCGTACGCGTGGCGGCATGTGTTACGCCCTGGCGCGTGTGCCTCGGTCACAATCAAATCCTGCTGGCGTTGGACCCAAACCAGCAGAGCTCTTCTCTTCCCAGCGCACGGCACAGCGGCCCTATTTCAACCTCGGCGTGCGCTGCAAAGTGTGATGCGGATACGATTCTAGACACAGACGAATGCAGGATCAACAGCCGAGCACACTATGGGGCAAGTGTGGAATTCTAGCCCAACGGCCCGGCAAACAGGATTGGCAGAGTGTACCACCGGCGCGGCAAAGATCCACTCTGCGTAGCGCCCGGCCGACGGAATTCTGCACGCTACGGAGTTAGCAACTGACAGGGCTACTACGGCTGAGACTTGATCCCTGCGATACACAAACACAGACAAGTGGAACCAGAGATCAGGGCACGAGTACGTACAGTGAATCAATGATGCGTGTGCACACATACATACGCCGTGCAAACTTACACACATACACAAAGACACGCACGTGCACACACACACACGCGTGCGGGTGCGCGCAAAAGCGCAAAATACCCCAAAACCCGTATCCGTGGCAACCCCACACCAAGCCAGTGTGCACCCAGTATAGATGGTAGGTGCGCTCACACGACAGACAAACCTACACGCTATTGCAGCAATAATAACACGAGGAGAAGGCATACACATGACAGTAAAAACAACAAGTAGAGTGAAACCTGTCCAAGACGACCGCTCAAGGGACCTTCAAAACGTGGTCTCGTTACCAAGTGGTCTCCTTATCCAGGGTCATTTGACTGGAAATAGCATCCCTTGGTCCTGGTTTCAGTGGTCTTCTAGGATAGGTGGTCGCCTTATCCGAGTAGTGGCCTTGAGAAAGGTTTTGCTGGACCGTTAATCGGCCCCGGCTCGAATTCCCGCCCCCTGTCGAATTTCTGCCTGTGAAGCGACGTTGGCGTATACAACGAAGTACGATGTTGAACCGACGCATGTACTGCTGTACACAACATGTGCGGGTGCAGGACGGAAATGTGCACAATCCAGCTTTCCAGGTCTGATCTTCTGCTTTGCTGTACATCGTACTGCACGTGAACAATTTGATCTAAAGCGGGATTCACAGAAGCTTTTTTTGCGATGCGATGCGCGACGCGAACTCGCGAAATATCTTTCACAGAAGAAGAAGTCAACGATGCGACGACACCTTGCTAATTTGGCGCGACGTTCAATGCAGGTGAGTATGTCACCATGGTATTCGTGTGGCTTGGTACAACTTTTACAAACCTACAAGCAACTCTTGAACTTTCGTACAACTTTGCTGCAGGAAAGGTCAAAATTGTGCGCCTCATCGCTTGTCGCATCGCGAAAGCTGAGCCAAGCTGAACTTCTGCGATGGCCCAGTTGCGTGAGCTGTGAGACGGATGCGATTTGGGGATTTCCCGGTTTCGCGGCCGTCGCATTGCAAAAAAAGTTTCTGTGAATCCTGCTTAATTCCCGCCCCCTGCCTAAAAACTAGCTGGGAAGCGACACGGCGTGGGGGGGGGGGGGGGGGGGGGGGATCAACTGTGCTTTACGGTACTTGCACACACGAGGTAGTGGGCTGCTCACTGAAATCCGATCACGTGAATTTAAAAGTTTGCGCCCTGCACCAGTTCATCATCCCAGTGTTCACTGGTCTAGGGCCGCACAGCGCTGCCCGGCACAGCATTCACTACCTTGATCAGATGATCAGATTTCATTGAGCGACACTGAAGTTTATTGAAGAAGAAAATGTTCAGTGCCAAGACCCCAGACAAAAACAGCAGCAGCAGCAGCAGCACTAGATACTCAATCGGCTGAAGCATACGCCAAACACACATACACCGACACTCAGACACACAGACACACGCACACACACACACTCACTCAGTCAGACACAAACACACTCACTCAGTCAGACACACACACACACACTCACTCAGTCAGACACGCATCCCACATCCGCCCCAGACACACACACACACAACGGACTTACTCTATGATAAAGAACTGATGGCCGGCTGGGCGTATGCTATTTGCCCGCCGCTAGTAAGAGCTTTTCTTTAAGCTGCCGTACGCGCTCCTCCTGTATGTGTATGTCCATATCGGATATCGATGCAGTGTCCGCGCTACGACTTGTGCTCGCGTCCGCGCTACGACTTGTGCTCGCGTCCGTCCGGGGCAAGCTCGCCGTCTGTAAAAGGTAAATCAAAACACACGAGAGACAAGGAATATTTTTTTTAAGGGCAACAAAAGAACAAAACAAACTGTGCAACCATCACAGTTTAAACAATGTGAAAGATTATACTTGTACAGTCAGACCTCGCCTATCCGGTCCTCTTTTATCTGGATCCCTCGCCTATCCGGTCCTCTTTTATCTGGATCCCTCGCCATCCGCATCAAAATAGTTGGTTACAGATTTACAGCGTATCCAACATAACCGGTGTTCGGTTATCCGGTTCCCTCGCCTATCCGGATATTTCGTTTGCGGAAAACGGACGCGTGCGGTTAAGCGAGGTCAGACTGCACTGGTTTCCAAACACGGCTTCGTGTGATATAAAAAATAAAAATAAAATTTCACGGTTCGCGCGAGACTCGGCTGGAAACCGGGTTTTCCGCATCCGTAGGAACGCCGCCACCCTTCAAGGATCAAGGATCGTGTGATATACATCAGTGGAAATTCTTCACGGAACTAGGAACAACCAAACCAGTCAATACAATATTCATATGGCTGTCGAGGGAGTAGTCAACATGATAATAATAATAATAGGGAATAATTCTTTTAATGCAAAAATACCTTGGGCCTCGCACATTGCACAAAAAACAATACTAGAATAGTCATACGTCGAGGGAAGACAACACATCGGGGTCAGGTTTCGTTCATGAGGAACCCCATTCCCCCCACACCCATACACTCCGATCAGTACATCGACCTGGCCTGAAAGCTGCCGATAGACAATTTTCAAGTACAATACTGCCGGGCGCCGAAGAACGAATAGAGCATACCAATATGCGCGGTGACTCCACTACGCATGGACTGCTGTACATGAAAATAAGAACGGCCTAGGCTACGAGGCTGACCGCCCACTTCTTCGACACCCGACAGCACCGTAGAGTTCACAGGAACCAACATAATACCGTACTGGCAATATATGTTGCCGCAGTGAGGCCATGAAGCGTTACATTGGCACATGTTTGCCGCGCGCATGGCGTTACATGCAAAGTCGCACAGGAGCCGTTACACAGGTTTCTATATTGCCGCAGTCCTTTTTTTGCTATTGCCGCATCACTTTTTTTGCTATTGCCACATCATTTTTTTGCTTTTGCCGCATCATTTTTTCTTTTCAAAAAAAAAGATCGCCGCACCCCGCCGGACGCGCGTTACGAACTCAACAAAAATTTGTCGCACTAGCCTGGTCGCGCGTTACGCCGCACCCCCTGCGTTACGCGTTACGCGGCAACATATATTGCCAGTACGGTACTCATCAGCTGCTGTAGCTCGCCAGGAGCTTGGCATCTATGCACAGCCAGCAACCTGTTCACTCCTAACAAACACAATACACCTGGATTTGCAGTGCACTTTCCAGTCACCCCTGAGCAAAAGAAAACAGCGAGTGCTCACCACAGCGCTTAGGTCTTGTCAATGAGGAACACGACCCCCCCCCCCTGCAAAACAAAATTTCGGCCGTAGCAAATTTTTTGGCCAAACATGACCTGGCCGAAAATAGATACCGTATTTTCCCCATTAAACGTACACGTCTCCATTACTAGTACGTCCCCAATTGTAGTACATGTTGGGTGTGGATCGAAAATATAAAAGGACACGTCTCTAATAATAGTACATGCCGGAATGATGTGATGGGCATTAGTGGGGTACAGATACCAGGGTCCACCTTACTTCGTTTTTTCATCGTCATTGTGTCTTTGTACACTGATTCCTACCATGGTTGGGTGTATTTACAGCCTTACAGCATCATTATCACGAGTTGTTTGCCACCCCACCCAGGCAATCAATCTTCCCAGAAACAATAAAAGTACACGTCTCCAATACTAGTACAGTCTCCTATAGTAGTACAGGTCTGACCACCTTTGAAAAAATAAAAGTACTGTACATTTATTGGGGAAAATACGGTATGCGCCGAATATCTGTTTGCTCACAGGATGCAGTGAAAAGGTGACACAGTCTGAAGATTGTGTCGTTACTCGGGAGTTGTTGGTATACCCGACGACGATATTCACAAGGTTGACTGTACAGACATGTACAGTCGGATCTCGCTTATCCGGTCTTCTGTTATCCGGATCCCTTGCCATCCGGAAGAAAAATCGTTGGTTACCGATTTCCAGCATATGCCATGCATACATACAGTGTGTGTGTTCGATTATCCTGTTCCCTCGCCTATCCGGATATTTTTTTGTGGAAAACGGATGTGTGCGGTTATGTGAGGTCTGACTGTGTACGCATGCATCATGGAGGATCCCCTACCAGGACTCCAAGCCCAAGCGCAAAAGAGAGGCCATGGAGTCCACAGGTGATTGAGCAGCTAGACTGCGAGTTGCACCCACCAGATAGCCCGTACAACATGTTTTGCCCCGGGCCGGGCCACTTACAGGCAGAAGGAGCAGAGTGGGGGTTTGAGCATGGGTAGAGATTAGCTGAAAGTGAGCTGCTGGTGGCAGCGGCGGCTGCTGTAGCTGCTGGGGTAACTGCTGCTGTAGCTGCTGCTCTTCTTGCTGCAGCTGCTGCTGCTGCTGTGGAATGTAATGTATGTGCTGCAGCGCATGCTCAGTGATAGTAGAGTTAAGTATTAGCTGTTAGGGGATCCAGAGAAGAAAAGCAATTATTCAAGCTGTCAGCTATTACAGATAGTACAGATATTAGGAGGAGTGAGACACGAGACATTAAGTCATTAGCAATGTTCGGTTCAAATTATGGTTAGTTTAGAGAATTGCAATCAGCTGGGTACAAACATAGCTGAGGTGCAAACATGTGCATACACACAACGCCTGCATCACCATTACCATCAGCACAACCACCGCCATCACCATCACCACAGCCACCAACACCACCAACACAACCGCCGCCATCAACACAACCAGCACCAGCATCACCACAACCATCGCCTCACCATCACCACTGCTGCGATCACCAACACCACAACCACCACCATCACCACCAGCACCGCCTTCATCACCAAGAACACAACCACCATCACCATCATCAACACCAACACCACCGCTGCCATCAGCTGCGGTGCCAGCAGCACCAGCGCCACAACCACCAACAACTGGTCACCTGCACCGTCAGCAGCCGTGGCACCAGTACCAGCAGCATTGTCGTCAAAAAACCATGTGTACAGCTGTATCACAGCCTGACCATCACCGCTCAAAGCAGGGTGTGGTTGCTATGGTACTGGCCATTGTCAGCATCAGCATCAGCTTCAACAGCAACAGCATCAGCTTCAGCATCAGCATCAACAGCTTCAGCATCCACAGCATCAGCTTTAGCATCAGATTCAGCTGTAGCATCAGATTCAGCCTCAGTATCAGCATCAACATCAGCCTCAGAATCAGAATTAGCATCAGTGCTAGCACATTACATATTAGCAAAAATCAACTTAGTTATTTTAGTTATTTAAAACTCATCAATCATTAAAGTAGGCAGAATATGGCATCATAATTTTTTCACCGAAGAAAACCTTGAATATTTCGTTTAGTCCAGAGGCGGCTGCAGTGCATAAGCAGGGTGAGTTCACTCCGGGTTCAAGGACATATGAACGGAAAGAAAAGCAGCGCGCCGAGTGCAGCAAAGGCAGAAATATTCACCGAGTTTGTCTACCCCACCCCAAAAATATTTACCGAGTTTGTCCACTCCCCTTACACACAGACGCACGCACACAAAACACACACACACACAACACACACACATATAATTTACGGAGTTTACAGAGTTTATCAACTCCCCCTTACACACGTACACACACACTCGCACACTGCCGAAGAAGCAGTCTGCGCAAAAAATGACTACGGGCCAAACCAACACAGAGCACTCCCTGCACCACGGTGGAGAAGACTTACTTTGCCGTGCGCCGTGGCAACACTTGCGACCATTTGCCGACTGTTCGATGCCGGTGCCGCTCCTATTCTTGCGCCCGCCCATGCGTTCGCGTCCGCATGAGCCCCGGTGAAGTTTGCGAGAGCTGCTGCTGCCGCTGCGGCAGCTGACGAGATAGTGGCCTGCGGTCCATTCGTCCGACACGCTACGGGCACGCCTTGCTTGGGACTTGCGGACGATAGCAACGGTGACGCTCCTGCCACGGCCTTGACGAGCGGCGTGAGCGAATGCAGAGGTGGCGTCGCAGTCTGCGACTTAATGACGACGGGTTTGGCGGCGGGCGAAGTTACATTCGGCTCTCTTTTTACCACTCCTGCCGCCACGTGTTGCCGACCGGCGGGTGAGTTCATTGCCGTTGATCCAGCGCCGGCGCTTGTAGTCGACGGCGATTTGACGGCAGCGGCCGGGCTCGTCTTGACTCCCGATACGGGCATGCCGTTGGGTGCTAGCGCGCGCAGCTGCGGCATGGGTCGGTTGTGAAAGGCGAGCTGCTCAACCGGTACGGCCTCGCCGGTGAGGCCATCTACGGGGTGCAGGTGGTGCAGACGCTGCTCGTGCATCCACTGCGAGTCGCGCAGATGCAACGTGGTCTTCTGCGCGGTCGATGCGGGCGCGCACTTGGCCAGTACCATGTCGTGCGACTGGGGCAGCAGGCAGGTGACCGGCTGCCGGACCAGGCCGCAGTAGTTGCGCTCCAGCTGCGGTTGCCTGCTGATGGGCCGCTGATGTTGAAGGTTCTTCACGGCGCGCGCCAGCCGCGAGTCGTTGTGGCGCGGCGCCCGACTCTGAGCGCTGGCGCGGTGGGGTTTCCCCGCTCCGCCACCGCCGCCGCTGCTACTGCTGGTGCGTGCTGGCGGTACGTAGCCCGCCGCGTGCGTGGCATGGAAGTCAAACTCGGCCGGGTTGAACGCCTCGCCGAGGAACTCGCGCACCTGCAGACGCGAGCGGAAGCGCTTCCCGCACGGGCTGCGGAAACGTAAGCGCATGCATGAGCACACACACGTACACACACACACACACACACACACACACACACACAGGAACACGCAGAACACAAAAGCAATGAAGTCAGCAACATGCATTTAAATCACAAACACACAAAAAACCAAAAACAGAAGAAACAGAAACAAATGCGATGTAAAATGTATCCATTGGCAAAAATCCAATAAAATATTCCCAGGCGTGGCCTCTAAGTCCAGAACTGCATGTAAGAGCTATGCAGCTGTACCACTATTTCAAGATCCATTCGGAAAGTGCACCGCACCGGAGCTGGATGCAAGGCATTACCTGTGCAACCAAAAAATCAGGCTTTCCAGGTAAGAATATACTCAAGATAGGTGTGCGCAACCAGCCGGGAAACATGCGCGAATGCCGTGATACGCTACGCAAGCACCACGAGGCGGCGGAAGGGCAAATTAAAGCCTGGACGTGATTTCCAAGAGCTCACACAATGGCCAACTTGCTTGAGGCGGCCGCCATTTTGTCCAGGTCAGACTCTAGACCTCGCACCAGGACACTACCAGCCATGGCGGCCGCGGCTTTCCCGGCGGCCGATAAGCTCTAGGTGATGCCTGGGCACACTGGTTGGGCCTTTGCTCGGGCTCATCAAGAAACATGCAGCCTCCAATATACCACTAAAGGTGCCCTTCGGGGACCTTGCCCTCGGAGCCGTCCACAGTTGGCACTGAAAAAAATCTTTGCCCTGCAGCTTTCCAGGCCTACCTGTGGTAGTAAACATCAGCACGACCCGCAGTAGCACCCGACTTGCGATAGACCACCTCGCGCCTCCATCCGTTCTCCATGGTCGTGAACTCCTTCTTCGTCTCCATGCTTCCAGGATCGCGCTTGGACGCGTTTGCGCGAGCAGTGTTTCTTTCTCTCACAGTCACACACTCCAGTGCTTGTCAGTCGACTTCGCAATCACTGCACTGAGCCTGAGGACGACTGTGCGTTTTCTGAAGACTCTTCACCCACACACTCTAGACTCACTATCACGACAGCACTCGATTTCACACGTAAACTTGGTCTCCACCTGGGAAATTTTGAAGTCCAATCCACTTTTCTTTTCAATCACTGGAATCAGGCTTGTCCGCCAGTGCAGATGTAGAGGTTATGTAAAAATCCTACCCGCCAGTGCATGCAGTGCAGTGAATGCCATATGCAGAGATCCCCAAAAATTCGCATAAAAATAGCAATCGCACTGTGCGTGCATTGTGCAGTCTTCTCTAGCTCTAGCTCTGTGCAGTCGATCCGCCAAGTCGCTGATGAGGCCGATTTTATTTGTGACGTGGTAGGCCAAGGCCATCCAGCTGAGCCTGATCCAGGCACGTGAATGCAAACAGCAAAGAAGAAGTGCAGTGCAAAGACAAGTCACTACAAGTAGTGAGATCGAGAAGTACAAAAGTGCAAGCAGTGATGACGTACATCACCAGAAAAAAAGGAAAGAGTCTGTAGACTCTGTACATCACATCATCAGGATCATGGTAGACCTACATACTGTCTGTGTGTACTGTGTGGAAGATGGATGACGTCAGCAGCAGGGCCGCTTTGAGTTTGTGCAAGAGTACGGTGGGTTATACAGTACGGCGTGCCGCGCCGCCCGGGGGGCCGGGGTCGGATTTCAGTTGCCAGCATGCACTGTACACGTACTGAGGTTTGTGCAATGATTTTATGACTGTGCAGCCAGCTGAGCTGGTCACGTACGTACATGTGACGTGCCATTTTTTTGGAGATAAAAAACAGCCTCTTTGTAAAAATTATTTGAATTAATTATTTTCGTCTGGCTACATGACGATGATAATTATGCATGCGCGCATGATGACTGTACACAATGACGTAGGCTAGGCTGTGCAGTGCAAGTTTTTTGTAGATCTACGAGTGAGACTACGACTAGACTACATAGACTACAACACACACACTGTAGAGTAGAGGTAACATAGTTACAGAATGGCTCAGACCACGCAGTGGTTGCCAGCTATTCTGGAATAGATGAAGAATGTGATGTCGAACATATCAATGTGTTTGGCCTAGTTTCCTAACTCTTGATAGCTTTTTTGTAGTGAAAATTCATGAATTTTGTGATTTTATTTGAATCCTTGGTGTTAACGCATGCGTGGAACACCAGGTTTCGTTGATAAAAGCCCTTGTTCCCTCTATGTTCTTCGGCCTTTTGAATAGCGAGCCTCGGAACAAGCATATTATGTGCATTATAACACAGGGAGGGTCAGGGTTGGGACATTGATATGTTCGACATCACCGGCATTCTTCATATAATCCAGAATAGCTGGCAACCACTGCGTGGTCTGAGCCATTCTGTAATTATACTTCAGAATGCTCTGTCTCCATATCAATGTGATTTTGTAGCTCTCTGCCAGTGGTTGACAGCTTCGAGAGAACTGCCTGAGCATATTTCTCATCATGCTGGGGTTTAATAATAGAGCTTCCGAAAGACCGACTGGCTGCTCCAGTCTGCTGCTTTCAAGATATCATTCGTAGTAGTACCAGCATCCGCTTTTGCGGATGCAGAAGCACTCTGCACAGAGTGTGCTTTGAAGATACTAGTATCGATACCCGCACGAGATACCATTGGGTGTTGACCAGTGTCATACCTGTCAGTTTTTTTCCTGGACGGCAGGAATTGCTGATCTGTAATTATTGTCAATATTGATAGAGCGGTATTGATAACCAGCTTTGTACAATGATGCCAGGAAGTTGACAATCGTGGCTATATCACTTGAAAAGGGATCATTGTTCCGTTCACGACACCAGCCCATCCATTTCTTGAATAGGGAGTCGTACGTCTTCGTAGATTTCTGCCTCCATGATGCAAGGAGGAGTTCTGAAGCTTCCTCAGAAACATTCTGACTGGTGTACTTTCTCCTGAGATATTCCACGCGGCTAGACGAGGGACTATCTCCGGTTCGTTTACGCTGTGCGTCGGCTGAATCAGATCTGGAGTGCTGGGAAGCAACAGGGGCTCCTCTACCGGCAGGTCCAGGAGGGCTGGATACCACGGTTGACTCAGCCATACCGGTGCAACAAGCACTATCCGAGATTTCTGAGGGCAGACCTGTGCTACTACTCTGCTTATCAGGTTCCAAGGTGGGTTGGCATAACCTTGACACTTTGTCCAGTCCGAGAAGGCATCCACGTCTATCGCATTTGGATCGGGACGCCGGCTCACATACATCGGCAGGAGATGTGTCAGCCGAGAGGCAAACAGGTCTACATTCATGGGACCCATTCGAGCAAAGATCTCCTGGAATACATCTGGATGCAACATCCAGTCCGATCGATCTTTCATCACGCGAGACTCCTCGTCTGTAACTGTGTTCAGTGATCCTGCTAAGTGAGTGGCCTGGAGAGTTATCTGTCTTGCCATGCACCATGTCCACACCTCTTTGGTGAGGCGATTGAGGTCGGGAGACACAGTGCCTCCGAACTTGTTGATATACGTCAATGCTGTGGTGTTCACGGTCCATCTTCAGGTGAACCACAAGATTTCGACTTGACTTCAGAAATGCTTTTACAGCCAGGAAGGCTGCTAACGGCTCCAAGCAGTTTATATGCATCTCTCGTTCCTGACAACTCCACGGACCGCCTGTTTGGGAGTTCTGGCAAGATGATCCCCAGCCCACTGTCGAGGCATCCGTCTCTATCACCAGGTCTGGTTTCGGCGTGAGAAGACGACGACCGTTCCAGTCTGTCAGGTGATCGATCCACCAGTCCAATTCCTCCAGAGCTTCGCTGCTCAAGAGACAAGGATGATCGTAATTCTGAGATCCCTCCTCTAGGGCTTTCTGCAAACAGCCCTGAAGGTTTCGATAGAACAAAGGACCTGGTGGAATCGCATGTGCAGCATGGCTCAGTTTGCCCAACAGGTGAGTTACAGAAGTTACTTGATTGCTGAGTGTGTTTTTTCCTCTCGCAATTTTTTGCATCTGATCGTGTTTTCTTCACGGTAAATTTATCTCCCGGCAATCTGATTGTCAGATTCTCGGAGTTCACCGGTATTCAGCCGAGAAAATCTATCTCCTTGGTGGAGTTCGGTTGTGGTTTCTGGCAATTCACAATGAACCCTAGATTCTCCAGGAGGAAAATCAGACCGGCCGTGTGGTCGTTTGTCTCGTTCTCCGCCATCATCTCAGCTCAGGATATCGTCGATATGAATGATCACCCTCAGTCCTGAGTGTGATTATCACCGCCCTTGAGGTCTTGGTAAAAACCCGCGGGGCTGACGATAGTCCGAACGGCAGACAGTTGAACCAAGAGTACATGGGTTTTCATGTACTCTTGGTTGAACTGATACATCTTTCCCTGCCATGCAAAACGCAGCAACTTTCGCTGGTCTGCGGCAATATTCCCTGGCAATGGGAATCATGAAGTGCGCAACTTTCAGGTCGACTTTCGTCATGAAATCGCCTGGTCTCAGCAGATCTTTCAACATGTGTATACCCTCCGTTTTGAAATGGGACACTTCCACAAATGGTTCAGAGCTTTCAGATTGATAATCGGTCTTATCGCTCTGTCTTTCTTCGGGACAGCGAAGAGTTGAGACACAAACTGATTGTTCGTTTGATCTGCAGGCATTACTTCGGAAATCGCATGTTTGCTCAGTATTGCGACAACTTCTGAGGAGATCTTTTTCGTTTCCTCCTCTTGAAATACAATCTCCCTTGGGGAGACGGTTTGAAAGGGTTTTTGCACAAAGTGAATTTTGTAACCCTGAACACCCCGCAACCATGCTGGGTCGAGACACTTTTGTGTCAGGTCTCTGACACCCATTTCCAAGCTCGGGTATTGAAACTTCTGAAATGGCCTGTTTGTTCGCCATCAAAGTTATTTCGAGGGAGATTTTGATTTCTCCTCCTCCCGAAACACTATCTCTCTTGGAGAGTGAGATTGAAAGGGCTTCTGAAGCCACTGAATTGTGTAACCCCGAATACATTTCAAGACCCACTGGTCTGAGCTGATTGCATTCCAGTTTTGTGCAAGCATTGCTACTCTTCCCGCAATCGAGAACTGGTGAAATACGACACTTTCTGTCATGTCTTTTACACCCATCTGCTGGAGAGCACTCACAACAGAAGTAGTTTTGAAAACTCCTTTTGAAAACTTATTTCCTTTAGAGGAAGGGGTAAAGGCGGATGGCTCACTTTGCTGACTCCTGACGACTTCTGTCGTTGGGCTTCCTGTTGAACTGGGGATTGTACTGGTTTCCGCTGTAAGGTCGGAACCGGTTGCCGTTCTGATTGAAACTGCCCCGATTTGAATGGCCTCCCCGTGGGGCATGGTTGGCTCGGCCTCCTCGAACAAACGATCCGGTGGAAGCCTTGCCACCTCGCGAGGACGCCGCCTGCGACAAACATTTGAGCTCTTCGCTCCGTTCCTTCGCTTTTCTGGAGAAGCCATCTCCAAACAACTGGGGTGCAGACGTTTTGAACGTATCGTCATCTTCTGCCATTTCGGCAAGGTCGCGATTCATACAAAGAATGGCATTTCGCCGCCTTTCTCTATTCAAATGCATATTTGCATTGCCAATAAAAGCCAACGTCTGCTGGCATGCTTCGACCGTGGCTTGTACGGTGAGAGTCTCTTTCCCAGCTTCCTCTAGTACGTAGGTCAAAGGACCTACGGCGTCCAAAAGCAAGGCCTGTTGTTTCGACAGGGCCTTGTCTCGCGACTTGGTCGCAGGGTGTAATCGGGACTTCACCATCTTGTCCATGATGGGCGCAGAGGCCACATCTACTTTGGGGCGCCCAAAACGACTACGCCATTGGCGCCGAACTTCGTTCGAGGTAGTTGTTGTAAATTTCTCCCGAAAGAATTCCAAAGTATCCGAGGACACTTTGAAATCCTGAGACGATTTGTCAAGCAAGCTTGACTCGTCCATTTCCTCAGACTCACAGTCCGAGGGGTTGTATTGGGGATCTCACGGGTT